GTCATCTGTATATCCAAAGCGTCTCTTTTTCGTACCAAGTTGTGCACAGATTGGCTCTGTATACAGCATATAAAGGATTGGAGAGGCTGGTGAGTCTTGTGGTAGCCCACAAGTGAGAGCTTTTATGTCGGTCACAATACCTTCAAACCGAACTCTTGCGGACCGTTCAGACATGAATGACTGAACCCATCTTATGAGAAAGTCTGGCCAGCCCTGTTCTCTCATGTGAACCACCAGCCGTCCCATTAGGGCAGTATCAAAAGCCCTTTTCACATATGACGTGACTACCGTTGTAACGAGGCCTTGGTCGAGGGCCTGCTCAATATCGTGTATGAGTGCAGCTACCAAGTCAGTGGAAGAGCGCTTTGGTAGAGCTCCAAAATATTGTGGAGCTAGAATTCCAAGTTTAACAACAAATCAGGTAGTTCTTTTCGTGATGAGTCGTTCTAAGCCTTTGCTAAAACATAACAATAACAATATTGGTCTGTAGGCCTAGGGATTGGAATAATTTGTCTTGCCTGGTTTTGGGATCATCACTACCTCAGCTATTTTGAATGGTTTAGGGTGGTGTCCGATCTGTAGACAGGTCTGGAAGAGGGCTCTGATATGTTCCCTAATGACTGGCCAGCAAGCTTTCAGAATCCGTACTGTGAGGGTGTCTATTCCCGGGGAGTTGCTCTTGGTCCCTATAGTGCACCCTTCAGCCTTTTCCAGTCCGACATAGTATTCAAGTGGGATGTGTGGCTTGGGTTGTGTGATCTGAGCGGACCAGGGGTCAATGATATCGTTGTCTGAGGTACTTTGTTCAAACGTGGCTGAGCGTAGTGCATTTGCCTTGCTCTCTTATGACTCAAATATTTGGTCTCCTATGATGATTAGAGGGGAACGCAATCCTGCTGACAGCTTGTGCCAAGAAACGATTTTGTACAGATCCTTTGGCTCAGTTGCTGAATCAATTAGAGTCTGTCAGTACTCTCTCTTAGCTTTCCAAACCACGCGGCAAAAGTCCCGTTGGGCTGAATTCCGCCTTTCTTGGCTTGTGGTCTGTTTGGACGAGGCCTTGTATGTCTGAATAGTTGCTTTGTATTCATCATTCCATCAAGCAGTGGGCCTAGATTGTCGGGGCTTCTTGCCCACTGTTCTGACACAGCCTTGGATTATGTTGATCAAACTCTGCGTAAAGGCATCTACCTGGCCAGGGGATGCACCCAGCCGGGGGAGCTTATAAATCCTATTTTGGACATTATTCACCAGCTCTTGTAGTTTATCGTCCGGGACTATCCACCGATTAGCCTTGGGGACCCGGTCCAGGTCTCCCTGAACTGGGACAACTATTCGTAATGTCTCATGATCTGAAGTGCACTGGAGTGCATCATTTACTGAGGCTTCGGCCATGGGGACATCTGAGAAAACCAGATCTAGTACATTTCTGTTATCATGTGTTGGGACATCTGGTTCAGAAATCAGATCCAGTCTGTGATCTGCCATAGTCTGTGCAAGTATAGCATTACCATGATATCCTGGATTGCTTGAGTCCCTGGATGTATCGCTAGCATTGAAATCTCCGGCTATGACACAGCCAAAGGGTGGAGTCCATACTTCTAGAATGTCATCCACTTCCTGTGGGTTATGGCATGGTCAGTAGACGCTGGCAAATGTAATACCTTGTACCTTGACCTAAGTGATATCTCGTGTAACGTAAGGCCGAAATTGATCCGCTTAAAGATATTTTCTCACATAGATGAGAGATCTGGGCCGTGTACTGTCGCTGTCCCAGGAATCTACTGAGGAATATATATCGTAATTGGGGGGTGTCTTTATTCCCATTCTCTTGCCTGGTGGTATATCAACCTAGGGCTCTTGCATCAAAATGATATATGTTTTTTCTTCTTTGTAATCAGCCAGGTTGATGGCTAACTCTGTAGGGCCTGTACTCTTTTGTCCTCTTGCTGTATTTACAGAATGGATGACTAGATGCCCATGTCAATGTGTTTCGTTTGATGTACCTAATATTGACTGACAATAATGGTGTCGGCATCTCTGGGATGAGCTGTATCTGTTGTATCGATTTGTATTGTGGTGTTTTTGTTATTGTTGCTAGGTGTTGACCCAGCTTGGTTTCTGTCTGTTTCATTAAAGGCCCTAGATCTGGCTCTTTTTCCGGCCAGCCTTATTTCCTGGATTTGCTCCCATGTGTGCTTATGGATGATACCTTTCACGACCTTGGGGCGTGCAGGGCATTTGTCGAAATCAGCAGCATAATGCCCCTTGCAGTTGACGTATTTTGGGATTGATTTTTCACAATCCCCCTGGTGTACTGCGCTGGCGCAGTGTGCACATACTTGTTTTTCGCATCGGTAATTCCTACCATGGTATCTGAAACAGCTTGCACACTGGTGAACCTTGGGGGTGTGTTGAATATGCCTTGAGGTCATTGAATGGGCAAAAAGCGTGAATGGTTTCCTTGCTGCACTGGACAGAGAGATTATTCACGTGGTTTCTGGATCAGAATTAGTCGTGTTCTTGGGAGTATGCACCTCAGAGGTCTGTCGCCTGTTTGGCCTTCAATTTCATCGGCAACAACAGTGTCAGTAATATCGATTATGAACCTTTCTGCACTGATGACCTTTCTTGGGCATCCATCGACCTTATAGTGATGCCAGACTGTGTGGGTCTCAATCTTTTGTGCCTTAAGAATGTCAGTAATTTCTTCTTGAAAGGCCAGGAGCTTGGCCTGAGTTGGTTTGTCCCTTGGGTGTAAGGTAAATCCGGAGGGGCACCGGGTCACTTCTCTAAGCTCTTGAGGGTGGAGCTTAAGTCTTCTGTTCAGTGTAGACTTTATTCCCTTAGGCTCTAGGTGGCTATTATCTATGCGGACAAAGACCCGGAGATCATCCTGTTTCTTCTTCAGTTGGTTGGCAGTAATAAGGGCGCCAGGCTGTGTTTTTTTCATGGTAATGTTGACTGTCCGTGGATGCTGTCGTTGGCTAGAGGAGACAGCTTGGGCGAAGGTCATGGTGGGCTTCACCATTCCTATCCCCCCAGAAATAGTCTTCTTTTGGGCGGATCTCGGGTTTCTAGCCACTTATTTAGGCATTTAGAAAAAAAAGCGCTGAATTTCTTAGCATAAGAGTATAATTCGGTTCCAGCTTTCTTAGGTGTCTTATCAACTGTTGCAGTACACTCCTGAAACATTGTCATCCTGGCTTTATAGAGGTGCTTGTCTTTAGCCAGTATTTTGGCAACTTGGTCCTGGCACTCTGAGGAAGAGGCTTTATTCCCTGTATTGCATGTAATGGCTTGGTCTGTAGAGATTTTATTCAATTAAGGTCATTTCATTCTAGTGGTGCTGCTGTCATTAATATTTCGGGATTTTTCTTTTAGAGGGGAAATAATAGTGAAGTCAGCCTCAGAGACCTGTGACAAGCTGCTGCTGATGTCGTCAAGCAGCGCCTGGTAGAGCCTGCTCGGAGTTGCCGGGCTGTATGTCTTTCTGGGGGCCGGGGATTTGAGCACGCCGCCGGTGGTCGTCTTTAGGACGGCCACGGGCGTGTTTAGAGGCCCGTCGTGGAAGGGTGCTATCCGGCTTGTAAGAAAAGTTCTCTTATATCTTAGCAAAGATAGTCAGTTACTGAGAGAAGTGCCTACTTTAGTGCAGATATCGAGGTTGCGCCCTAACAGCGGGGCGCCAAGAAAAATAGTTGTTTTTGTATGGTTGTGTGTGCGCCTTATAGGTTAGACGGCTCGTCACAGGAACCCTGCCAGCGCCGCAGCTTACTTTCGGTCGTAACCGGTTCTGGTGCTCTATAAATAGGCTCGTGCCCTCCAGATGACGGTGATGATGGATGCCTCTGAGACGGGTGGTAAGAGCAGAGAAACATACCAAAGCTTGTTCACTCACCTTCGTTGGGAAAGCTCTCCCGGGGCGTGTAAATCCAGAATTACTGACTACTCGTCTTTACTGGTGGTTCCCCCGTGGATGGTGAGTTTCTTGGGCCACGAGGGTACGTCAATGTGTAGGTTGCTGTAGCTCTGTAAGGTGGTTCTTGGTACCAAGGTGTGTGCACAGGTGGGTTATGGTAGGGTGTTGGGAGAAAGAAATGGTTAAGGCAGATGGTGCACTGTCTTGATGACGAGGATGGGCAAGGTGCAGCGGCTCTGTCAGGTGCCACGATACTGACAGCAGACTCCTAAGCGCATGAAGCATGACAGAATTCGTCCTTAAACTATTCAACTGCACGTGAGCCGAACCCAACCCAGATTGACTTTCTCTTGGCTGGTACTGTCACAGTCCGACTGCTAATGACTCCAGGAATGACTTTGTCGATGTACGCGAAGACAAGAAAAAACTATGAAGCTAGCTAGAAGACAAGAACAGGTATATATAGGGGTTGACCCGTGGGGCTGTGGTGTTGTTTTCTAGTGCCGTGACAGGTACCGTCGGTCCCTCGCCTCATCCCCAGGAAAGAGGAGGGAAGCTCAGGTCATACGTTAGACAGCACTCGTCCGACGCAGCATTTTGCGCAGGAGGGAAGCCAGAGCAATTGATTGTCAGCAAGCAGAGACACGTTCCAGACCACAAGGCTATTCATGTTCTCCTTTCTATAGCGACAGCAAGTAAACCTCCGCCATGGTCGCAGTCCTTCCATGGGACAACCTCCAACACAGATATTGGTGAATGCACCAGCTGCTAGCTCGCAGGGCACCACGGCATTTGATCAAAGAATTTCGATGCCATGATGTTCGTATCTTTCCCAAAGATGCCGAATGCGGAACTGATTGTCTTTTCGGGGTCCGTCAACGGTCGGCCCCTTCTTTGTCTTACACTAATCACATTCCAACCTACCGGAAATGTCCAGAATACTAGCTAGTACCCATGTTCTTTGATGTAAAGCAATTGATTGTATTGCAAAAGCCCGCTACCCGTCCAAGGTTGTCAGCGCCTGACTGATCTTCTCACCACATCGAAAGCTCAAATAACCCAGTGCCATCATAGCGCCATGGCCGTCGAAGACCACAGTCTGTTGACTGAGGCGAAAGCCTTTGAGCAACGATTAGGCTCTACTGTGCAAGCTGGCGTATCATTTGCCCTTGATACTGTAGCCAAGGTAGGTGTCCATGATGGCAGCGCACCCATGTGTACTTGCTAAGGAAGGCAAGTTGGCTAACAAACTTTGGCGCTGTAGCTCGATGGCATCAAAGCAGCTACCGAGGGCATCCAATACAATACTAAGCAGTTATTCTTTTGGACTTCGACGATCATCATCTCCTTCGCGGCCCTCTTCCTCATCGACCAGCTCGTCAGGCTGAAGCGCCAACTGCAAACTTTGAACGAGTACCAGGCGACATTTCAAGCCTTCTGGGAGCAGGACAGGGAGGATGAGAGACTGGAAAGGAACAGACGGAACCAAGCAGCGAATGAGAGAGCAAGGAACAGAACCCGCACACCGCGACAAGTAGCAGAGGCACGAGCCGCACAAGAAGCACAAGCCGTACGAGGTTAGTAGTGAACTGGCAGGGCCTCTTAGACGATGGCAAATAATCTATCAATGCTGACTGCCTTGTAGAAAGGGACGAACTCGCGAGGCAGCTAGCTGCGCCATACACCGTCGAGGAAATCAACGCGGCACTCAATGACGCACCACCAGATGGCACACCGGAGTTTTATGACTGGATGGATAACGGAGGTCCTATAGCAAATCATATTCGAGATAAAATGTACGAGCCACCTGAACAGTAGCGGTGGTACCTAGGAGATGGTTGCGAGCGGGATGACCAAGCGTCGTACCGTTAGCTGTGGGCTATGGGTAAATCAGGGATTGACCGATGGTAGCCGACTTGTGCTTTTGGCATTGAGACGCGGAGATACTTGGTTAGTGAGAAGTAAGAGACGGAAACGGCAACTGCGTCGTAAATGTCAAAGAATAAGAATAAGGATCATCCATACGTCAGCTAGCCTACATCAATCTCATACGGCAATTGCTTTGTTGTATCCATTGACATAGAACAGTTCCCATGTCCAACTGGGCAGTCAAAGGCCTTTGACATACTTTGCATCACTGACCCCCTTAATTCTTCTCATTCGTAACAAGGCCCTTGTGTCCTGGCTTGGTACGAGGAACAATACCATTGTTTGACCCAACACAGTTACCTTTCAGCATGAAGGCGTCGAGATGGCCAGGACTCATATATAAGTGATGGTGAGCACCAACCTTCGGGCCTTCTCTTCTCCTCCTCATCATCATCTTCATCACCACACAAACCAGGCTCCTAACCAGAACCTGAACCTGAACCTAACAAATCAAACAACTATCTTCATCGCCAACTTACTATTACAGCAGCAATGGGTATCTTCCAGTCTCCAATCCCTGCGATGGTCGTCTTCGGCCGAGGCACATACGACACCACTGGCAAGCCCCCGCCTCCCAAGCCCAAGGCTCCGGAGTCGTCCGAGGACTTTGAGGCGCGCGACTTTGGTCGTGGTTCTTATGACACGACGGACACAAAGCCCAAGCCCGCGCCCACGAAGCCGACGAAGTAAGAGTAAGTAAGAGCAGCCTTCGCACATTCTTTTCCTGTCATTTGTAAGTTTTAGCTCGCAGCGGTCTGCGAGGAGTTGTAGCAATATAATCTCTTACTAGGCCGCAAATAGTACACCATCTATCCTACACTGTATCGTGAAACATGTGATTTGTTATACATGAGCGTCATCGTCTCTGTTCCATTCCAGCCTGTTTAAAAATCGGGCCCTGTCGGTGACCCAGTTACTCATCAACCTCCATTCAATGAGGCTTGCTGGCGTGTTATAGTAGCACCGCGGTAGCGTGAGGTCGGTTGCGGAAGCTGTTGTAGCCACAGGTTCGCCGCCTCCATGTTTTGCGCAGTCGATCAGTGCCTTATAGTACGGCTGTGTCGTATGTTAGCATGGGTTTCGCTACAGTGTAGACAATGTGAAGCTGCGTACCAGGAGTTGTAGGCCATGTTTGGTGATCTTCTGGTAGTACTGAGGGTCCTTGTTGACAGTCCAGGGCAGGTTGCAGTTCAGAGCCTCCTCCTTGCACCACGAGTATGCTTGGCCCGTGAACGCGCTGATGAGATACCAACAGTAGCCCTCGATCCGATACTGGCCCGTACCTGTGCAAGCATCCTGCTTGATACTCGTATCGCCGACAAGGCGCGTCAGCGTGGTGTTCACCGCCATGTCGACTATCTTCTTCCGTAAAAGCTGGGTAAGACCGTCTAGCTGCTGCCTGTTAGCCATGTTGTCATCATCGACAAGCCATACGCCGTTACTGTAGTAGTTGGCTATAGGGGTCCTGTATACCACCATCATGTCGCTAGGTGGCGCAAGGCGCGTTGGTGTCGCCTTTACCAGTCATTGCAATTTGCAAAGTCTCGTCCAGTGATTTGCTTAACATCTCGAAGGCCTGGACGAGCCACTCTGAAATGGTCTGGTAGTCCATCTCGTACTCCCAATGCGGAACCAAGGCCCCGGTGCAGAGCCCTGTGGCCAATATAAACAAGCCGCGGTACTGGCCAACCACCTGGGTATCGTCAGTCATCCCACCGAGCTTGCGATGGGATGGGCCACACGTACATCGGCCACTGTGGTGGTACCACTCACGATGGCGCAGGCCACGGCAAAGGACTTGATGGTCGCTTTGGTTCCGTCGACTTCGTGCATGAAATCCTCTTTGATCACATTGTACGCCATGTCGTTGATGACTCCGCCGTCGGCGATACGATCACGAGAATAGGCGGTCCTGCAATCCCTGAACGGCCTTGAACACTAAGAACGCGTTTTGCGCATCCTCGTCCGATAAACCCCCACGTCCCAACAGCTCTGTACAGTCGTCGGGGACGTCGCAGTTCCCACCGACCATGCTACAGCCATCTAGACTGCTAGGCCCCTTTTCCGGAAAGAGCTTCTCCACAGTCTGCTGAGCCAATTCGCTTGACCTCCTGGAGACGCGTCAACACCACCCTCTCGGCTGAGTTCGCCTAGACTGCCTACCTTCCTGGATGAATTTATCCAAAAACTTCCCCGCGGGCGCCCATACCTTCGAGACAGCCTCGGGCGTACTCGTGTCGATATCCGGGCTGCATATCTTTGAGTCATCCCGTGGCTATTGGATTGAGTTGGCGTCCCGGGCGTATCCAACTTGGACGCGTTCGGGATGGAGAGTGGTGCAGTGAGCGCAGAATTTGAGCGCTGACAGCGATAGCAAAAGGCGGCCGTAAGACTGCTCCAGCATGATGGCGTACCGTGACGTGCAGATACAGGAAAAGGGAAAATTGATAAGTGTTGATCGACTCGATAGTACAGCTCAACTATATAGTCGCGAGTCACACTCGGTACACACCACGAGTTGTCCTCCATTTACACCATCATAACTGAGAAGGCGACGGTTAGCCACATAAGGTGGCGACTGGCGACCTGAGATCCACGTGGGCGGTTTGCGATTTATTTTTTGCTCGGTAAGGCCGTGACTTATAGCATATGTGCGGGTAGCCAAGATTATGGCGGGAACCGATACACAAAAGGATGACAACTCCACGCCGCCATCCACACTCTCTCGAGCTAAGCAGTTCAACCTACCATAAAATTGAAGGCATCGGCGGAGTTGACAAATGCCTAAGTAGGCAGCCGAGGCCAGCAAACAGCAAGCAGCAAGACAACTCATCCTCTGTCGAATAGTGTCGGGTGTCTATGTAAACCAGGACGCCCCAATACCTCGACCCTTATAAGAGAGGTGCCGTATACCAGTTCTTTTACTACAGCTGACAGCCGCAGCGCTGCAAGGCTTACGTATCTTCATCGAAGCAGGATGTAAGCCAAGCTTGAGACCCGTATTCAAGCTGCTATTGTAGGCTCCTGCTCCTGCTGCATACATCACCGAGCCGCAGTTGCCCGGCAGTAAAGAAGGGCCAGTCGGCCCAATTGTAACCTGATCAAGGGTAATCCCAAGAATACGCGTCTGCACAGGCCTAGTCCGCGCGATTCTTCAAATTAAGGTATACAAATGTATCAGCCGCTTGATGACATGCCTGCAGGATCTAGCCGCCCAGCCCGGTTTGCAGATGACGTGCTGAATGCGGCGACGACCCGGCTGGCTTGATAAGGCGACAGACATTCATTGGCTACCATGACCCACCCCCTAACGGGACACACCCCCCACCGGGACAGCCAAACCCCACCATCACCACCAAAATACCCCCTTACTCACTTACACGCAATTGAGGCTGTATATGCCCAAAGAAATCAACAAAATTATCATTCTGTGGTGTTGAGGCTCCTCAATCCACGTATCTAGCTGGCGCCCTAATTGACCGACCGCTTCTCGTCACCTGGGGCTCTGCAACAGGGGCTTCTTCACCCTCCTCAGCCTCCTCAACCTCTTCCTCCTCCTCACCCTTATCTTTAACAACCTCTGGCTCTGCTTCTGACTCTAAAGACTCTATAACCACGGCCCTTAACGGGTCACCCCCCTGGGCCAATATCTCAGCCATATTCATGAACTTCCGGTTCGGATTTGGGACCTTCTTCCTCTTCTTGGGCCGTAGCCGCTCTAGTTCAGCCTCCAGGGCCTTGATCTAATGATCTTTTAGGGCCAGCTCCGTCTCCTGGTTCTCGAAGGCGTGGGAGATCTTCCTGAATTTCAGCCGAGTGGCTGGGGAGCGGTTCTTTGTGAAATCTATGATCTGTCGGCTTGTGGTAGGGGTCCGCTGGTCTTCTGGCTCTGAGTCTTTAACTTCCTCTGGCTCCGGGGTCTTTCTTTTGTCCTCCTGGATTTCTGGGTGTTTTAAACACTTCCTGCGGCTAACTAGGTAGCACCCTGTCACTCGGAAGCCCGAGAGGATATTCGGCTTAGAAAAAGCCTTGTCCTTAGCCTGAGAATAACAGCGGATGAAGTTGATCTTATCCACGGGCGAGGTATTTATGAGAGAATTTAATTGCGAAAGAAATCTCTGGTAGTAGGCTTTGAGCGCGTTATATGGTCCGTTATCTAGTGTTTGCATGCCGTGGCTGGTATAGGCTGGGAAAAAACAAAGCAAGATGTTGGCAAAATAACACCGCAACATGAACTCGTCCTGTTAGTTATACAGTTAGTCAACTGATTAAATAACCCCTAAAAAATAAATAACGTACGGAAGTATGGCTACCATGGCCATCTAGTATCAAAAGGATCGGCTCTGCCTGGTCTTCCCCTCGTACAGCATCCACCTAGGGTAGGAAAACGTGGTCTAACCATAGGCACGCAATCTCGTTACTGGTCCAGCCGTTATCTGACGTTATGTAGTACCAACCCGCAATTTTGCGGAATTCTTTGATGAACCATTGGGCCTGGAGATCTTTTCTTTTGAAAATTATGCCTGGTTTGAGAACTTTTCCCCTGGCTGAGATGACTTTGATAAAGGAGGTCCAGCCACGCCCCTTGGGACTCTTTAGGAAGGCTTTCATAGTCTCAGAATTTCTTAAGACTAGGGAATCGATGCCTATAGGGGTTAGCTAGTTAATTGACAGGATAGGGGTAAATAGGGGGTTAAAAGACTAACCAAAACCCGACATGATGCCGCCCTTATCGACATTGTACGTATTTTCTGGCTTTACCCATTGATAACCCCCCAATATGTCAAAGAACCAGTTGACAGACTTAGGGGTAAACCCCTTAAACTGAGCGGATTCCATCCGCTTACCGATTTTAGTCTGGATGGTAGGGTTACGGCGTTTATAGCCCTCCATATAATTCGGGCCCAGTGGTGCGAAATCCCTCCCTTTTTTCAGCAGTTGTACAATAATCTCCCACACGGCTGTGTGAGAAGGGGCAAGCCCTAGGGGCTCCTGGCGCAATATCCATTGAGCCACCTTACTCTCTTGTTGAGGGGAGAGTCTCTGCTTGCTAACCTGGGCCTCGGCTCGGGTGACTCTGCCGTTGATGCGTGCTGACAGCGTTTGCTTAGGGATGCCGTGTTTTTGGGCGGCTTTTCTCACAGACATGCCGTTATCTGTCACATCTAGCCAGGCATCCGCCATATTATCTTCAGTGTACGTGGGCGGAGGCATTATGGCTGGCTTCACGATGCTGTGGTGGCATAAGGATCAGGGGCTCAGAGAGAGAATTCTATAGCAAATTTGTATTTAGGGGCGGGGCACGGAGGCTCCTAATCACTGATGCCGATGGCTGAAACTTCACTAATCTACATCCGGCTAAACACCAAGAAAAGTGCTATCTAACCATCTAAAGAGCGTATAGATAGCCTCAAAGGGGGCTGTAATCCGTGTAAGTGAAGTAGAGGACTTTTGGTGGTGGTTGTGGGGTTTGGCTGTCCCGGTGGGGGGTGTGTCCCGTTAGGGGGTGGGGCATGGTACCGCCAAGAAGGATTCGATGTAGTTAAAACTACAATGGAGATACTAAAGACTTTAGAGAGAATTCGCATCGATTAGCATCTTGGCAGCATCCTATTCATAGCCAGCCCACATGCCACCCCTCGTTCCACTCAAACGTTACAGAACTATATCGTCTGTTCCATCGACATCCAGTCTTCGGTTCCTTCAAGACGCTACGGAGACATCGAATCTGGAGCCTCCAGTCTGGAATAGATCTTGGCTGCTGTTCTCGTTCCAGGCCCATCCCTCTTTCGCTTATCTATTTGCAGCGATGGGGAGGAATTGATTGATTGATTGTATTTAACGTGGGGGATCGCTCCTCAGTAGTGCAAACCACGCCTCCCAGAGCCTCTGCATCACAGGGTTGTGGAGGTATCAAGATAACAAGTACAGTCAGTCCCGCTCCCGAGCCCATTCCCGTTGTTGCGGCTGTATGACTTTGGGGTCATCCATCTGGTCCTTCAAGAACAGCTATCTATCGGAGCGATGGGGAGGAAGATCCAAAGAAAACGCAGTTACAGAGTAGCAAATGCTCTATTCCTCTCGACTTGGCAAAAATAATCATCCTTTTCCCACAGTGCTGAGATTTTGACATACGGTATGTTCTGGGAGCCTGGGGCCCTGGGATTCTGCATCACCAAACAAGCTACGACATTATTTCGCGTGCTCTACGAGTACCAGCTCGTCCATACGAGAAAAGTGGCGATGAGCCAGATCAAGTCGGAGAAGGCGTTCTGTCAAACGGTCCCCGACGCGAAGACTCCCTTCCCAGCTGTGGTCGCTCTGCACGATCTCATTCTCGGTCCCGGCGCCGGCGTCGGGGGCGTCTCGCATGGTTGACAGCAAGGACGTGATGGTATGAAGCGCGGGCTGGGAAGGCTTCTTGAGAAAACGCAGCATCGCTGACAGTCAGACGAATATCGAGAACAGCGCGGTGTCCGCGTAACCTGAACACCATCGGAATGAGCGACATCGTCACGGTCAACAGGCGGGCATTACCTTTGTTGTGTTCAGGAGAGAGGCTGTGTATGGTGATGCTGAACGCCAGTGCTCCTGTATGAGGACTTATAGACTGTGTCATGATCGTGTCGGAGACACTTGTTTGTGCTGTCCAGGATGGGGCGTTCTCCTCCAAGCACAAAGGACCGGGCGATATGGTCAATGCGATATGTGATCGCAGACCAGAACTGTCGGGGCTCTGGCCTCCATGCCCGGCCAGAAGCTTTTGGTCCTGCTGGACCGCAATCGCGATGGCGGCAACCCACGGCGGACTATACAGAACCGTTCCATGCAGGAGGAATATTGCGATTGGCTCGTCACGATGGCCCGTCTGCGGCCGCTTGAGTCCTGTCCTGTAACGTGGCCACCCCCGGGCCTACACCCAAGCCTCATTTGCGGGGTGTAAATACGATGTTGAAACACCACATGGACCGGAAGGCCTTATTGCAGAGATCGGCGCATGTCAAGCATCGTCAACCTTATCTTGATCCTCTGTGGGACGATCTAGGGTGGACGTGTGGGGGTGATCTGCCCGTTCTTCAGTGATTACCCCAGGGGACGCGATCCGTCGATCGCATTGCATCCCCTTGACCATACACCAACCGTGGCCTACTCGTGGGCATACTTCTGGCTGTCTGTTCTCGAGCATTCTCAGTGCCCGGCCATCAATGAAGTCATGATTCAGCCTCGGCGCAACAGCTTCTTGAAGGTAATAAGGGCACGACCAAACGGTGGGGGTTAGGTTTCAGTCTCCAGGTTCCAAAAACGCGGGTTACCATGTTCGGGCCTCCTCATGCTGCTGCGCCTCGGGGACTCTGGCATACTCCAATCGAACAAATAATGCCGAGGAAACGCTGGAAAAGGCAAAGTGAGTGTCCGAGGTGGGAGAATTTGAAACGGCTTGCAGGTTTTGTCGATCACAAGGCAGGGGTTCTCATTATGGGGTCGCTTCAATTCGAGGATGCGATTCGCTGCGCAGCTGCTGCTCAAGTGTTTGGTCAACCGTCTCGGAAACATTGGACAAAGATAGAAATGTGAAGGTGCCGGCGCGAAGGGTCCAACTTCGTCACTTATGTAAGGCCTTCAGGAAGGCTGTTCATTGAGCCAAGTGCCACCGCAGCGACTCTGAGTCGGCTATATAAGACTCGAGGAGAACAGAATGAGGATGGCTTCGTTCCACCTTCTCACCATTAGCAACACATTCAGTCTTTCACCATCTTCGCCTGGCTTTGACAGTTCTCGTTCACTCATCCAACATCCATTTCTTGTCTTGACGACAACATCCCCGGTGGCATTTAATGAATCTTTACCCACACACCACGACCAATATTCATGATCAAGATGCGTTACTCATTCATCGTCGCCAGCTCCGGCCTTCTCGCCACGGTCTCGGGCCACGGCCTGGTGACCTCTATCCAAGGAGCCAACGGCGTCACAATGCCTGGTCTGTCTGGTAAGCAAACTCCGACATATACACAACCCGCGGCTTCCCATTACGGCCCCATTGCTAACTGCGACGTCCCTAAGTGGCGGATGGCACTCCTCGCGACTGCTCCAGCAATGGATGCGGCTCGCAAGCCGACACGGCAATCATCCGCGACAGCGAGCTCGGCAGTGACAAAGCCAGCGCCCTGGGCAGAACCCAAGGCAACGGGCCCATCGACGCCGCCACCATGATCAGCAGCTTCATGGGCAATGGCACGGCGCCCAAGAACAACGGCGCCGCGGCTTCTGCAGGCGTCGAGGACGACGTCAAGGGCAAGGCCGCAGGCGGCGCGGACAAGGCCAAGCGCAGCCTCCTGGCCCGCGCACTGAGCGACTTCTTCACCGGCCTCACCGGTGGCGGTGCCGACGCCGGCACGAAGACCGAGACGGCACAGGAGACCAACGTCGCCGCGAAGGCCGGCGAGGGCGCCAGCTCCGGCCTGCCAACCTGTGCGGACGACGGCTCCATCACCATGACGTTCCGGCAGATCAACCAGGACGGCGCGGGGCCCATGACGGCCGACGTCGACGGCACGTCCGGCGGCACCGACCCGGACGCGTTCCAGAGCGTGGAGGTCACGCAGAACGTGCCCGGGGCCGGCTTCGGGGGGCTGTCGCTCGCCACGAACACCGACTTCCCCATGACGGTGCAGATGCCGGCGGGCATGACCTGTGACGGCACTGTGGCGGGGGTGGACAATGTCTGTGTTGTCCGGGTGCGCAACAACGCCCTTGCTGGCCCCTTTGGCGGCTCGGCGGCCTTCACCATGTCTGCTGGGGCGCAGAAGCGCGCCCTGGCTTATCGCCTCAAGAAGCGTGCTGAGCAGGCCAGCAACCAGAATCGCCGCCTGAGATAAGCGTCTGGACGCTAGGTGTGAGATTTGATGCTCGGTGGCCTGGCGAGGTCAGAGCCATTGGCATCATGTTCGTTCGCTTGTATCGATCATCATTATACAGTGACACTTCAGGCAGGCCGCACTATGAGTAGGAGTTCCTTGTTCCTTGGAGGTTTTAGTAGTAGTAGATCTAGATCTGAAGCAGGCGCTGGATTCAATCAGCTGAGCTGACTGAGCACTAGTAGGTGGCAGTTAATTGAAGTAATCCTTTCACATGCTGACCTCGTATTGCCTGCATACAGTGAGTACCCCTGATAGGAGATATGCCATATAGCGCATATTTTGAGGATAGCGCATATTTTTCTGGCGACGGATATATCTAGTAGGTGTTGGATTAAAGGTGAGCTCAGAGGGCACCTTGGTAGGTAGACACCGGAACCTAGTTGTTCCATCCCGATCCAGCCCCCTCTGGCACAAAACTGCCACGGTCGCACGAGGACACTCCAGACAGAGAGAATACACACACACTTCACTCTCACGATTGGCTCAAATCTGACATCTGACAACAACAAACACAAAGATGTCGTTTAATTTAGGGGTGGAAAAATACCGTGGATGTTAAAAAACACTATATAATACAATACACGCATATAATACGTATTATTGTTGGAACAGGCTTGAACGATCAATCATAATACTCGAGTATTGGGTCAAGGTTATAATGTTGCTGATGGTTTGGTTTGAGAGGTCTAGCTGGACTCCCAGGTCTGGCTAAGTGACCTCACAATCCGGTATCTAATCTCTTATCTAATCATACATATGGGTGCTGGTATAGATGGTTTGCAGGCTGGAATCGCATAGATCCAACAATTATATCGTATTATATTATTAGGGCAGGAATAACCTCCAGAATAGCTTTTAGCTAGCTGTATATACGTTAACTATTAAATTCTTTTAACCGTTAATGTGACGGCCTGCACAGACCTTCCCACATGACAAGTGGATACTTCCCAATAGAGGAAGGATCTGACCAGAAGATCCCCTTAAAGGGGCAACCTCCCACTGTACCTATCTCTCTCTCTCTTCTATTCCTCTCTAGTCTTGATATTCTCGTTAATAGAGTAATAGCTGCTTGCTGCTGGCCATGTCCCAGCTCCTCAGTATGCTCGCCGTGATAGTTAATAATTTTGAAATTTAATTTAAGTGGTTTGTAGTACTACTAAGTATGATCTATTACGTTATTATTAATAAACGTACTTTTTTTATTAAAATATATAATATAATACTATATTATTATTAGTATACAGGTGCCGTGTAGGTGTCGTGCAGGTGTAGCGCCAGCTGCACGGCAGCTGGAATGGACCAGAATAGCTGGTCAAAGAAAGAAAGGTGCAGAAAGCCCCTATTCAGGTATAGAAATCCCCCATTCAGGGGCTTTCAGTGGTGATAGACAAGAAGTTAATGACAGTTAGATCTAAAGATGGGCCAGTCTTTTAGGATTGCACTGTCTTTAGTACTGAGATTCGGCCCATGGACCGAAGTTAGATCACACAACCAATACACTCCATTCTTGACCCCATGATATAGTCCTGTATTATGACAATTATATAGTATTTATATTATATCGTATTTAAGCTTTATTCTTAGTTTAAGTCGATTATCAATTAAACTTTAACTTTATTAATACGGCTAAGTTATATAACTATAATAAGATCTTTTAATAATAGATAAAATTCGTTATTAGAAAGATATGCGCTATTTTTTATCTATACGCTATTTAAATACGCGGGTAGTTTGTGCAAAAGCCTTTTTAAAGGTTAGATAAGTGGTAGTTGAAGCCTACTGAGGCCTGGCAGGTATTTTAGCTGCCGAATTTGATAATATATAGGGCGGTATATATGTTATAAAGCGTTGAAAACGATCCGTGCAACCCTGGTTTCTGCTCAGAGCGTGTGCTATATCTGATTTGTGCGGTATATGGGGATATCCCCTCCTGTCAGATTTGAGCCAATCGTGAGGGTGAAGTGTGTGTGTGTATTCTGTCTGTCTAGAGTGTCCTTGTGCGACCGTGGCTGTTTTGTGCCAGAGGGGGCTGGATCGGGACGGAACAACTAGGTTCCGGTGTCTACCTGTCAAGGTGCCTTCTAGGCGTACCTTTAATCCAACAGTTGTTGAAGCGGGCATCGAGAATGAGAGAACCTCCGCGATCGGATCCGCACATTGGGCCAAGATCACGTGGGGACCGCCCCGGGGACTCGTCACATCGGTCCGCCGCCAACCGAACACATACTGTTTGCCTATTTGCCTACAACGTCACTTTTTCACTCACGTCGGCTTGTTCGCCAATTGGTGCGTATGGGAGACGGAATCGACACAATCTGGCCATGGCCACGGCACTCTGACAGATGGAACTGTTGGTTCTCTGCAGACTGCAGGCTGCAGACTGCGAGGTGACGAGGGTGGTATTGGGGGCTTCGGGGTCTTCGGTCGCAAGGTCCATGTGCCGAATCACGAACCAACAGCGCTGAATCGCTGATGCGGTGGGGTGATCTGGGGTATGATAAGCAATGAGCATCCACCGTCGAATGACTCGGATCCTTCGACAAGTTCTGACTATCCCCGCAGCTTCTCAGTGCTCACCCCTCGTCGAGAACCCACCAGACTGCAGAAAACCAGAAGGCCGCTAATTGCGGTTGTGCCAGCCACCCAGGCAACCAGGTACCCTAGCCATCCACGTGGCAGAGGCTGTTCGTCAACCACTACGGTACTCAAGTGGTCAAAAACACTCTGACGGTCAGCACTCAGCAGCTATCTAATAAGCCGCACACGAAAATCATGACCGAAGAAGTCAAGTCCAGTAGCCCCCCGCCAGCTGCTGCAGCACAGGATCCCGAAGCCGTGATCGAGGTCGAGGTCGACGACGACATCGACTACGACCCGACGTACGGCGACGAGAACTCCACGGGCAGCACGTCCCTCGGAAGCAGCGCCCTCCGCTATGAGTTCAAGCACGGCCGCCGCTATCACAGCTACCAGGCCGGCCAATACAGCTGGCCCAATGATGACACCGAGCAGGGCCGCCTGGACATGATCCACCACGTCTTCTACCGCCTGCTGGAAGACCGCCTCTACCTGGCGCCCATCAACCCGGACCGCGGGCTGAAGGTGCTCGACATCGGCACGGGGACGGGCCTGTGGGCCATCGAGATGGGCGACCAGCACCCGGGCGCCGTGGTCGTCGGCAACGACCTGAGCCCGATCCAGCCGGACTGGGTGCCGCCCAACGTGCGCTTCATCGTCGACGACGTCGAGCTGGACTGGGTCGAGGAGCAGGACAAGTACGACTTCATCCACTGCCGCTACATGGCCGGGTCCATCAAGGACTGGCCGCGCCTGGTGCGCCAGATCCACGCCCACCTCAAGCCCGGCGGCTGGGCCGAGTTCCAGGAGTCCGTCAACGTCCTCTACAGCGAGGACGGCAGCCTCAAGCCCGACGACCCCATGGCGCTCATGATGACGCATCTTACCGTAGCCTGCGACAAGATCGGCCGCACCATGGACCCGGCGCCCAGCTTCAGGCGATGGGCTGAGGACGCGGGCTTCGCGCGCATCACCGAAGACCGCCGCAAACTGCCGATCGGTGGCTGGCCGAGGGACCCGAGGCTGAAGGAGGTAGGCACGCTGATGGGCTTCAACTTTATCGAGGGCGTCGCTGCCTTCACGGCCGTCTTGTTCTGCGACGTGTTGGGTTGGTCGAGAGAAGAGGTCGAGGTTTTCAATGCCGAGGTCCGGAAAGCTTCGAAGAATCTGGACGTTCACCCTATTTTCGATTTTCTTGTCGTCTCGGCGCAGAAAGCAGAGTAAGTGATGAGCTTATTGGACCACTATGGCGTTGGTGGTGCAGTCGGTTCGCGTGAGCAAGGTTGACTATAGGTTCGAGGGGAATAGGTGGCCACGTGTATTGAATGAACGCACTATGATCTCTTCGGAAGAAGTCCCAAACCAATGGCTCATATATACTCGGTTCAAGAGGAATAGGTGGCCCCGTATATTGAATGAATGCATTATGACCTCTCTTGAGGAAGCTCCGAACCAATGTACCGCTAATGACCCTGCGTATACTGATCGCAGAAGTACAGCCGTCTTTCTGTTACCGTTCTGGTCCCAGTAGCAGCCATGGGCGTCGCAGGTTCCTGGAGGGGTCGCGTCCATCATTCAACGGTCCCGGCATAGGCCTATCCGCCTCTTCTTGGGACGTTCTGATCAGCGCGGGGAACTCCCTTGACAACATAGAGTTGTCTAGCTCCGTCTTTGGCGGCTGGCGCATGCAGGCCAAGGTCGTCCCATTGAGCGTGACGGCCGCCATGTTTGACCCTTCACCTAACTTCCACATTCTGCCTCATTTGGAGATCGATGATAGATAATGATGCCGAATGCTCGAAATGTTTGGACTTGAAGCTTGACGGTTGGTGCCTATCTCGTTTCGGGGAATAGAAAGGTGACTTTGGCTCTTCCTTTTGTGTCCCTCCCTAGGGAAACGCCAGGGGCTCTTATGAATCAGAGGTGATTACTTGTTATGAGTGATAGGGTTTATGCCTTGCAACACCCATCCGTGGTAACATTATCACTCTCGGACCCGAACCTCATCCAACGGCCACAGAAACACTATTCGAATAGAAACACGACCCAAACCGGGTGATCAACATGGCAAGCCATTCAGATTATCAACTAATAGAGTACCGAAAGAGAAAAAAAAACGCCACGCTTTCCAAGCCCCAGCCGTCACCCTCCCTCCAATCCATCATCCCTCCGCAGCATACTCCAGGATCTGCTTCTCGATCAAGTTCACCGTATCCAAATCCCTATTGTCCTGCCTCAGCCGCATAGCGCGCCGCTTGAACTTAGGTTCCTCCAGGATCCTCCCCACGGCCTCGGCAACCGCCTCCGGCGTCGGCCGCTGGGTTTTAAGATTAACCGCCATGCCCGAGTACTCGGCCATGGCAGAAACCTCGACCTTGTCCTCGGTGACACCAGCAAGGACCAAGGGCACACCATTAACAGCGCCATGGACAAAGCCGCCGAACCCGCCGTTGTTGATCGAGACATCGGCGTGTGCCAGGATCGCGTCGTAAGGCAGGTAGTCGACGACGCGCGCGTTGGCGGGGACCTCGGCGTCGGGCGGGAGCGTCGCGCCGCGCGAGCCGAGGATGGCGACCACGAGCACGTCGGCGCGGTCCGCGAGCCCTTGCAGCGTCGGCAGCAGCAGCTCGCTGTAGTCGAAGTTGACGGTGCCCTGGGACACGGACACGACCTTCTTGCGGTCGGGCGAGTCGGGCGGCAGCGCCGCGTTGGCCGTGATCTCGGCCCACCACGACGGCAGGGCGAACGCGGGGTCGAGCGGCCGGGGCGGCAGCGCGCCTGCGTAGCGGATGCGCAGGTCCAGGTCGTGGCGCGGGTAGTCCACTGTTGCGAGTGACCTCGTGTTAGCAACTCAGTCCTCCTGATGGGCTCGTATGAATACGGCAAGGATGCCACTCACTGCTGGGACTGCACATCTGGAACATAGTGTGACAGGCCTTGAACCAGATATCGAACATGAAGCCATCGGGCTCGCGCGTACAGCCAAGCTGGTCGCGCAGCACCTGGCGGAAGTGGTCGTCGCTGCTCTTGAAGGGCCCGCCGTACATCAGGTCGTAGAGCATATTGTTGCGGGCGCGGCCGGACTCGCTGGCGTCGGGCGGGACCCCGGGCCCGAACGGCGCCGTGTCGTCGCTCCTAACCACCAGTGGAACGACCCCCAGGCCAATGGCCTTCGGCAGCTTGGCGTAGCCGCGGGGCAGGGGCGCGCCGTGGAAGAAAGGTATCATTACCATCTGTGCGGGAAGCAGGCATTAGTGAGCACTCCGCAGACCTGGACATGAGCGACTCCTCGGTTACACATACGCTAGCCGCCTCCGCAAAGACGATGACCTCGCGCTCCGGCTCGCGCTCGCGCACCATCTCCAGCAGCGCGCGCATCCTGGCCGCGCGCTCGATCATCCCGTCGATGAAGAGGTGATGCATGTCGTAGAGCATGCGCGGCGGGCCCGGGGGAATGCCCTGGCGCGCCGCCTCATGGGCCGCCGGCAGGAACTCGGGGCACTCGAACCACTCGGCGCCGGCCTTCTCGACGCCGGCGCGGAACTCGGTCGACGACATGAAGACGACGTCATGGCCGCGGCCGACGAGCTCGCGCGCAAGCTGCAGCGGCTGCGAGGTGTGGCCCGCTGCCGCCGCGGCGGTGAAGACCAGCAGTGGCGACTTCTTCGCCGGCGGCATGCTGAGGACAATGAGGTCTTGTTGGGCTTGGTCGGCGGTCATGGTGGCGATGGGTGAGATGGGGCGTTCACTGGTATGCTTGGGTGGAAAGGTTTGGAGTGATGGCTCATCTGTCGTGCAACAGGCGACGGGCGAGCAGCCCCTCAAATACTCTGGGTCTCATGGCGGACGACGGTCTTGGGCAGAGCTGATCTGCAAGTTCTAGGTCGTAACAGGCATTGGGCTCCTCACTGTGTTACCATGTAGCTGAAAAGGGTGATGGACGTTTATTTGGCGTCATATACGACCACAGGATCTTGGTACGCTGTAGGCAGGCTAGGGTAGCGTTCCGGTTGCTATCTAGGGACGAGCTGGGACGACGAACGGCCGGGCTAGACAAGGCCGGTGAGACGGTGAGACGATCTGCTGACGGTGCATCTGCCATCTAGAGCATATCTAGACGATGTGGGCTCCCGAGCTGGGTTCGCCGAGGATGTCGGTATTGTATGTGGGGCTTGGACGGGATACTTCAAAGAGGCCCCTTGCAATGCACATCTGTTATAGCTGGGAATTGTTGGGTTTGTAAGTTCGGATACCAATACCTATGATGGGCGGTACGCTACCTACCTACCTTTCCACTGGCAGTATAGCTGCAAGTCCACGGGTTAGGTACTTGCAACCCAACCTTGTCACACAACATGAATACTGGAGGGTGAGGCTGAGCCGTTGAACGGCCCTAGCATCGCATCAACGACTAATAAGAAGCCCCCAACCCCCAGACAGCTGTCAAGTGCTGACGTGAGATTTGGAGTATCCCTTAGACGAGGTAAATTGCAATGCAGTCATTTCGCGGTAATAATTGAGGCTCACCGTGGCCTCCACCAAGCACCCCCTACATATGTGATTGATTACCTATTCCTTATCGTGCTTATCCAACGTGCTTAGCAATCCGCCAGCAAGGTTCGGCATCCCGACGGCAGTTGCTTCAAGCGAGGTTACCTCCCTAATTCAAGCGAGACAGGCCTATGGCCGCAGGAGGCAACATGATTGACAGCACCTTACGCGACGTCGCGACCAAAAGTTCCCGGAATCTTATATTATGCCGACGGTACACTTCCTGATTCCGCAAGTTCCACGCACCATTATCAGATAAGAGGCGACTACCACTCAATTACCAATCCACGAGAACACTGGTTGTACTATAAATAGTAGTTGTCTAGCTAATACACAGGCCGACGGACATCTGGCCGCGTCTCTACTGGAGGTTTAGCTGATTGGTTCGGGGACGCGACGAGGACTCGGATGGTTCGAAGGCTGGGAGGATTATCCTCAGCTGAATGATATTGCGCCTAATAACTGTCCAGGGTGAAGAAGACACTGGGCAAGGTTGCTACTTTAGTTGAAATAAGTCGTATTCAAGACCAATCCAGAATGCCATGAACTAAGTACACACATCGCGGCAATTAAGACAACTTTCAATTGTTCAATCATTCTTTCATCACTACTACTTGGATATCTTTATGCACACACGCCACATTGGCAACCCGTATGTGGCCAACAAGCTTCAAAGGCTTTGTCTAGTAAGCCACCTGCGAGTTGAGACCATCAAGCTCGCGGGCAAAGTTCCTGTGTTGCGAGACTTGGAACCAAAACTTCTCCAGCAGGCCAGCACCCTCCTTTGCAATCGTCACCGTCTCGCTCAAGCTCTGCGGCGAAACCTTCGCCATGGTCACCACACCGTAAGACTCAACGGCCTTGTCATCGGTCGACACATTGATGCCGGGCAGGGCAAATGCCATCTTGAACAGCTCGACGGCCTCGCCAGTTCCGCCAATGGCCTTCAGGTGGCCAAAGGCTTCCCGAACCCAGTGAACCGCACGACCACTCTTGGACAGGGTCTTGATAGACTCGGCGCCACCAGGGACGAAGATGGCATCGAACATGGTCGAACGCATGCCCTCGAGGTGGTGGTCGGGCTGTACACCATTGCCAGGCTTCTTCTCTACTCCAGTAGGGTAGATCTCGGACCGCCGAGGAGCAATCGTGAACGGCAATGCGCTAGATGCCTTGAGCGCCGTCGTCACAGCGTCGTAGACAGTCTTATCGAATCCATCAGCCACGATGACAGCAATTCTTCGGCTAGCGATGGTAGGCTTCTCAGGCGGGTACTCGGTCTGACTGAGTCCGCTCGCTGTCTTGCCATGGTTCGCTCTGGTCTGCTTCTCTGGAATTGGGCCTCCAACCATCTCGGCTACAGTCTGGGCAAGCTCGATATCAATCTCAGCAAGTCGTTCCGACATGCGCTCGTAAACGATGGGATCCTCACAATGGTCCAATTCGAACGCAAAGGCAGCGGCCATGTGGTTCTTCTCCGGAGGGGACATGCTGTTGTAGAACAACTGAGCCTGGTTGTAATGTTCCCTGAACTTGGCACTCTTGGTCCTGACCTTGACTCCAGCAACCGGGACCGGAGGCTCGGGGTACGCGCCTTCCTCCTTCTTCGCTGGCGGGCGTGCCTCGAAGCGGTTGGGCCAGTAGTTGACTGTGCCCTTGGTGATGGTGTGACGGCCCTGACCATCGCGGTTGAAGTTCATCATGGGGCAGACGGGCTTGTTGATGGGGAGCTCCTCCCAGTTGATACCCAGACGGGAGAGCTGCGTATCTTGGTAGCTGAAGCTACGACCTTGCAACAGTGGGTCATCCGAGTGGCCAATGCCAGGAATCATGTGCGAAGTGCAGAAGGCAACTTGCTCAGTTTGGGGGAAGTACTCGTCAACGTTCTTGTTGAGCTCCAGCTCGCCGATGTAGCGGACAGGAATAATGTCCTCGGGCCAAACCTTGGTCGCATCGAGTACATCGAAGTCGAATTGGTCCTCCTCACCCTCAGGGATGGTCTGGATACCGAACTTCCATTTCGGGTAGGCGCCGTTCTCGATGGCTTCGTACAGGTCTTTGCGGTGGAAGTCGGGGTCCTGGCCAGCCAGCTTCAAAGCCTCATCCCAAACGAAAGAGTGAACTCCGAGTGTGGGGGTCCAGTGGAACTTGACGAAGTGGCGCTTGCCCTCCTTGTTGACGAGGGTGAAGGTGTTGACACCAAACCCTTGCATCATTCGGTATGAGCGAGGGATGGCGCGGTCAGACATAGCCCACATGTACATGTGTGTCGCCTCGGTATGCAAGTACACGAAGTCCCAGAAGTTGTTGTGCGCCGTCTGAGCCTGGGGCACTTCGTTGTGCGGCTCGGGCTTGACGGCGTGAATAATGTCGGGAAACTTGATGGCGTCCTGAATGAAAAACACGGGAATGTTGTTTCCCACAATATCCCAGTTTCCCTCCTGAGTGTAAAACTTGACGGCAAAGCCACGAACGTCGCGGACGGTATCGGCACTTCCTCGCGACCCTTGCACGGTGGAGAATCGAACGAAGATGGGTGTCTCGCGGGAAGTGTCGGTAAGTACGGGTGCCATAGTCACATCCTCGGCGCTCTCGTACAACTTGAAGTTTCCGAAGGCGCCAGCGCCACGAGCGTGGACAACACGCTCGGGTATCCGTTCATGGTCAAAACGGTGGATCTAGAGGGGCGACGTGGTTAGATTCGTCTTTCTTCCAACAACAGGTGGAAGACAAACCTTCTCTCTCGCAGCACTGTCTTCAAGCAGACTGGGGCCAATCTTGTCCCCGGTCGAGATACTCAGCCAGTCATCGGTGTTGGCCTGCTTAACGCCCCAATCGGTGGTGATGCGGTCGTCCGGAGTGACGTTCTGGCTGACCTGGTCGAGCTGAGCGAGCTTGCGTCCCTTTTCACCGCCTGTGGCCATGTCTTTGATTTTGTTCAAGGCCCCGGGAACAATGCTGGATGAGATTGGTGCTTTCGCAGATTCGCGGTTGTCCATTTTGTTTCCTTCCACGGCTCGAGTGAGGATAGCTATGTACGGTAGGATGTGTGTTCGGTTGACAGCAGGTCAAGAGGTGAACTGACAAGGTGACACGGGAGAGGACTGGCAGGCTGGCTACACCTGGTTATATACGATCAGGATGATCCACTTCTTGCTGGCGGTCTTCGTCAAACAGGGGGGAACGTGTCGTTGACGTCAATGTCAAGTCAGAGCAGCATAACTGGCTAGCTTGTGTGGAGCTGGAGGCACCCGTGGAGTCGTCGACGCTCGCAGCGTTGCACTATTTGATTCGAGTGGGACATGATTGGACAGCCATATACCTGGGCATTGCCAATGATTGCCTGGATTGCACGATCGAATTTCGACAGCATGATCGAAAAGTCCAATTCCTCGATGTTGTGCAGATGGGGAAGCTCGAGAGTGTTGATGTAATGCCGGAGCTTTGTGCCCGCTATTCACCCCGCCACCCCGCCACCCCTCCCAACTAAGGCCAACCAACGACCCCTCATGCCCAATAGAGCATATGTAGGACAGCGGTCCGGACCAATCATGGAGCTAGGACTCTACATGAAGTGCCAAGCACTGGGGAAAGCTCGGCATGTCTGCTCTACCCACTGCCGTCGGTGTAGGGTTGGTATCGCGGCACGCACTACCGGTACCAGGTAGGTAGCTCCATGTGCGGCAACCTCCGACAACCTCTATGCAGGTGCCACCCATCAATTTCGAGAGTTGGCTCATCCTCGGTTCATCATGGCAACCTCATCATTTCCAACAAACCTGGCATTATCACCGAATGTATGCCTACGACATGGCATCTGCCGACAATCTTCTCACCACCTACGGGTTCATCGGAACAATCGGGAGAGTATTTTTACTCGAGGCCCCGGCTCTGCAAGGTGCAAGGCTATGGAATTATCTGAAGGGAGAACGCACAACGTTGAAACGATCGTGTCAGTATGAGGTTATGGTAAAAGGTAAACTAGCCCGACTTCCTGTCAGGTACGGCCCGGTACCTGACTACCTTACCTATCGCGCGTGGTGTCCGCGCCCTACGTAAACTAACAGACGTTGTGGCTTGCTGTCAAATCGGCACATGCATGTGGAGGAGGTGCGGACTCGTTGCCGCTCTCCACAATCTGCCATCGCCTTGTGTTAGATCATGAGCCGGCCACTTGTTTGCCTCACTTTCATGTCCCAGATGTCATTGGCCGAGGTACCAAGGTAGACTGGCCGGTCTAGAACGGTGGCATCAGGTCAACCTAGCCCATTCTCCCCTCAGGGGGCCACTGTCTCCCAAGAAGAAGCTCTAGATCAAGGATCGTGGTCGAGAAAGGCAGGTGGAGTATACGTGTATTGGGTAGGTAATCCATGTCAGTCTTTCTGCTTGGCGGGTTCCAGCTCGGGGTGGTTGAAATTCACCCGCTCATGGAGTTTGTTGCCCGTTGGGTAGCTGTGAGGTGTGTCGCCGCTTCTCATGAGTCTTCCAGCTACAGACGTATCGGCCAGGTTCGTCGGATGCGGACCGATACTCATACCCGCCCAGACTATCAACGTCGCCAACCTTTACTTTTCGGGCACGAACGCGGTGTCAAGGAGACGAGTATCTAGCCTTTCGATGAGTGGTCGCCTTTCGTTCTCCCCATGCGGCACGTTGTGAGCGGTGTCTTCACATGTATCAGGACGGTTGCGACGTCGTGGTCAGCAACCGAGTGGAATTCCCAGCGAGCTCGGCCAGGCCAACGATAGATATTTCAAAGTGGTTATGCGTACAAGCTTTGATCTTATCAACGGGCGCGGTGATACTTAGGAAGAGATTTGACCTATGCTATGTTCCTACCTGAGATGGTTATCCCACTGACGCCTTCATGTTGAGGTGATGACTGTACGTTACCGTTACTGCATGACATGACCTTGGGGTCCAGATGAGATCTGCCATCCTACTCGTCTTCGACTGATTTGATTGATTGATTGATTTTATTTATCGTGGGTGCAGTCCCTCAACAGGGCAAATCACGCCTCCCAGAGCCATTGCATCGCAAGGTTGTAGAAGTGTCAGTCTAGATACATTCAGATCCGCGCACGAGCCCATCCTCGCTGTAGCGGTACCAACCTGGAGTGACCAGATGGTTTTAGTCAATACCCAAGCACGATTCCGTCAGAAAAACCTCCTGTCTAGTGATAAAACGACCCAGCGAACCTCAGTCCTCTGGTGTACACATCGTTCCAGTAGCCGTTCGGTATATGTCGCATTGGTGGGTGAAGTAGGTGTTTGTTATCTGCTGGCAAGGGAAACCATAAGGGAAAAAACCTCGCAGGAGTGGGTATTGTGGAGACAAGCTGCTTGGCTATCGGGCTCTGCGATAATGGGGCCTCTCCACTGTCGTGTACTGGTTATCGACTCGCACAAGCCGGGTCAGAAGGGGGCCGTAACAGGATTCGAACATACTTGTTCTCGTCGCCCACCGCACAAACGAGAACACAACCAAGCGCATTTGACCATTGCGCCATACGGCCCTTCGACTGATTTGCTGCCGAGACATAGACGCACGTTGCAGCTCGTCGGTGGTCAGCTGGCGTTCATCAAGCGCGGCGGCTACCATTCTTGGCGGCTCAGCCCTACCCCCGTATATTCCTTACCGAGTCAATGAACTAACAGGCCTGTCCCCCTCAGGTGGAGCTTTCTATTATTAGTATATAAAGAAACACGTGCTGCTTCTGCCTTGCTGAAACCGAGGATTTGGGAGGGTGAGGGGTGGTGATGTGCCCCTGGATTGGTTTGAGGTCAGCCATTTCACCATAGCCATATCGAGCATGATGCGAGGCGTCACATTCCATGACCGTCAGCGACCTCTGCAATGATGTCAACAAGCCTTTGAATGAACATGAAAGAGCGTCACATCACTTCTGGAGAGAATTATCCTTCAAGGGACGATTCCGACTGTGTATGAAAGGGTACGAACTTGCTCTCTTGGACTAAACATTTCAGTCGCAGACCATCACTCGCACACCACAGCACACTACCAACCAGACAGCTGCTTCTACACATTACTACCTTTTGAAACTAGACAGAGTTATTTCAATCATCAGAAATCATGTTCATCAAAAACCTCATCACAGCCGCGGTCTCGTTGCTCTTAGCGTAGAACGCGTTGGCAGCTCCGTATCTCGATTATCGCTCCGACTCCGAGTCGGATGACGATAAGGTCGTGATAGGCTATAGAACCTGTATCAAGGCAAGCTATTTCTGTTGGAGCCCAAGCGTAGGCCGGTTCGGGGCATTTGATTTCGGGCTAACTCTTGGGCGCACAGTCCGAAGCGGAAAGCCTAGCAAAGGAGGTCAGAAGAAACACAGAGTTCGAAAATGAAGCCCAGCGCTCTCAGCTGGGCTTTGGCATTTACACGAGCCCAAGCCCGGGCGAGTACCTTACCAACATGCCCGGGCAAACCCTATCAAGCAACAGGTAAGTTACAACGGGCCCGCCGGGGGGACACCTCTCTGCTACCATCCAAGCTAATGTATCTCTGCAGGTACTGCGTGTTCTACATGGACAAGGCGCTGTTCAAAGGCATCTACAGCGCATGGATCTCAGAGACCTATGAGGGCAGTCAGCTCTGGGAGACGCCGGAAGCGACGATCGCGAAGTACGTGGCGGACGACTCGGGCGTGGACAAGGAGAACGCGCAGCAGACGCTCCGCCTGTCGCCCTTCAACAATAAACCCCTCGAAGTTGCAGATGCTGATCCCGACCTTCCTCGCCAACAACCACGGCGGCCTCATCACGGCGAAGTGCGCCGCGAAGGTGGACGACCTGCCAACTGAGGAGAAGGTAACTATGATGACTGGGACCACGTGAAGGGACACAAGACTGATCCTGATACTAAGAAGGACGATTAATTTTTGACGTTCCATCTGCATTTTTTTGGTAGCAGTACGCCTGTACCTACGGTGTATTTGTGGTCATGGGGAGAAAATTGTGTGAAAAGGGTCGGGCGGGGGTGGGGTGTGCGCTTTTCTTTCGTCTGTATTCATAGGCTGGACTCTGCACCACCACACTCATTATCCAATTTCAATTTACCCAACATTAACCTTACGCTTTTTAAATTGTCGACCACGTGATACAGAGATGGGGCCAGCATTTGCAGGTGGCGACTCCGCTGCGTTGACATATGCCCTAGAGGTCACATTGCTGAAGGATGCGGGAGAGCCTGGATTGTGATGACATTGGTGCCATTTTTCAATCTACTTGGCTGAGAAGCACGAAGTCTTACGATAATTTTCTCGAATCGAACCCTAATCGGTCCAGCAGTAATCCTTCTGTTCTCCATGACCGGAGAGCCCAAGGCGACGACTACATAGACCCCAACTACCTTTCCTTGGTGATCTTCTAACGACTTCGCTGCTATCGTTTGAGAACTTTCACAGCAGCCTCCAGACTTTTGATCTGGTGGTTCAGCAGTTCTCTTCGGCGCTTGCCTTCCGCATGCTCGCCGGCGATCTCCTCGAGTCGTTCTGCCTCCAGGCCCATGACGAGCTCCGGGGTGAGAATTTTCAGCGGACTGTCATCGCACTCTAGGAGGAAGTGGAACACGACTTGCTGGTAGATCGTATCCACGAAGCGCTTGCGGAAAACCTTGTAGTAGCTTGTGGTGATATCAAGGATATTCTCGCAGACCTTCTGGGTGTTGGATTTGTTTTCTGCGTAGTTTTCAACGTGGTCGAAGTCGATGTACGTGCCTTTCCCATCACGAAACTCCTTTCTGTGTTTCTTCAAGGCATCTCGAAGACTTCCACTGCGTTTCTCCTGCAGAACCGAGCTGAAATAGTGGTTGAACGTCGTAGGTCGACCTCCTCGCTCTATCCGCAGGAGGAAACGAGCATGATCCATAGCTCTCCGATACGTTGGCGCCAGTAAGTCCAGGAGAAAGTTCCAAACCTGGTCTTGAACATGAGGCTCCGGGCATATCGAAGCGAGAAGCGTATAAATGTAGTGGTGTACCGTAGCAAATGCTTTGCTAGTGTGGGAGAGAACAAGTGGCTCCCACTTTTCCGTTTGGTCGACGAACATGGTAGCAAGGATCATTCCACCGAACTAAAGATAGAGGTGAGCATATGGAGACCAAGCTATACATGGATAAAAAATTGCTCGGCTACTTACGATTCCAATTTCCGGCCCACGGCTGGACTGGTAGGCATGCTCGATACGATCCATCAATGGACCCTTCAAGGGCGTGGGGCACTTGTAGTCATCGGGTGAGATGATGTCGAGAAGTTCGGGGTACTGTGCAGTTTACTCCTTCAACGTGGTGGGACTCTGGGCCGACGCATTGTTGCTGCTGCTGCTCAATATTGTCTCGCCTTCGTCGTCCCATGCGCTCTCAAAATATTGCCTGTGGCCTTTCCTCCAGAAGTCGTCAGAGAACCTCTCGTTGAGCTTGACTAACGCTGTGATCAGCTTCAAGCTGGGTTTGGTCTGGAAGAGTGGTTCGCCGACATAGTATCCATCCAGCGCGCACCGAGTGAACGCTTGGAATCGGGATGCGAGCTTCACAAGGTACAGACCCTGAGAAGAAGCGTCACCTCTAGGCGCACCCATCGCTTCCAGTTCACTTCTGCCACTAGTGAGGCGGTTGCTAATCTCGGATCTGACGTGGGGCATCTCGCGTCTCGAGATATCCAAGAGTAGTTCGCGGATCCGGGTCTTCAGAGCTGGAATACCGCAGCGGTCGGTCACTATTGACCAACACGGTGCCAAGAAGAAACATTTCTCTTCTTCATGACGCCCCACGATAGTGGAATGCATATCATCAGCGCTCCGATTCTTGACGACAAAGTATCCAAGCTTTAGCGGATGTGCATTCCCAAAGAGTAAGTCCACGACCGCTTTCCGTGGGCTTAGGGTTAGATCTGGATAGGTTGAAGTCCGCTTGACCACGCATGACGAAATCTGCCACCCACATACCACTGAAAAGAAAGGACTTTTCCAAGCCTGGGTTTTTACGCCAAGTACCGAGTTCAATTCCGAATCACGACTGGCAGTCCGGTATTCAAAACCATGATACGACTCCACAACGCGACATGACGAGTATACAATCTATTCTCCTTGGCGGTGCTTCAGAAGTCCGGGGATTCTGGTAGATGCCGGGCTTCAATGGCCGCTAGCCAAAAGGAGCCGTCGTTGCCGGACAAATCGAGTCGTGGATGGGATGCCAAGCAGCTGGAGTTGTTTCTCCACCGCTTAGATTTCCGCCCAGACGCGGATCCTTTCCCCCTATTTACTATCCCAATCGTAGAGTCGTAGACCTAGGCTGCCAAGACGCATCTCCGAAGTTTCAACTTTGCGGTCGCGGATAGATGCGAGGATCGAAGTCCCTCAATCAGACGGCTCGCTCGTTGACAGGGGAGCCTGTCGAGGTCGTATGAGGTCGCATTCAGTATTCACGGACAGCAGATCAGTTCCTTGGCGTCTTCCACGACGATGCATGTTGACGGTAGTTAGGGGTCCTGTAAGAGACTTCATATATACCACGGCGACGTCCCCCATGAGTACAACGACTGGGAAACCAGCTTCAATTTCAGATTTCTTCTTTTGACAACTTCATCATTTCTGTCACAAGCAGTGCTTAGGTGATCTCTTCTTCTCTCCCAAGCCGGCTTCACCCTCATCCTCCTATATCAGTACTCCCACCAACACTCCACTACTCCACCACCCACACTCAGAATGCAATACGCACTCATCCTCGCCTCCACCCTGGGCTCCCTAGGCGTCTACGCCTCCCCAGCGCCAGCACCAGGGCCGATGGTCACCCCCGCACCGCAGCGCCTAGCCGCGCGCGCCGACCTCCCCGCCTCGTCCGGCAGCTCGGCGCTGGCGGACGTCTACACCGTCGCCGCGGGCGGCTCCTTCGACGGCGGCATGGTCATGTACGACCGGGGCGTCGACTGCACCGGCCAGGCCGAGGGCGGCGACTCCGATGCCGTGTTCCAGGTCGAGGAGGGCGGGTCGCTGTCGAATGTCATTATCGGACCGAACCAGATCGAGGGGGTGCATTGCCAGGGCGCTGTGAGTTTTTTGCTCTTCCCAGATATGATATCTTGTCTTGCTCCTTGCGTAGTGCGTAGGGAGGGGAGGGGTGTCTGTTGCCCAGCTCAGTCGAACTGGAGCGGTGTGCCGCAGACCAGATCTCTCCCCCGCATAGGTATCATCGAACCATCAAGAGCAAAACAAAAACTAACTCCATACTCTCTCCGCGCAGTGCACCCTCACCAACGTCTGGTGGAGCGCCGTCTGCGAGGACGCCTTCACGGTCAAGAACCAGGACGCGGGCGACACGACCTACATCAACGGCGGCGGCGCGTTTGCCGCCGACGACAAGGTGGTGCAGCACAACGGCGCCGGCACCGTCAGCATCAGCGGCTTCGCCGTCGAGACCTTCGGCAAGCTGTACCGCAGCTGCGGCAACTGCGACTCCATGTACGAGCGCCACGTGATCATGGACGACATCACCGCCTCGGGAGGCAGTGAGCTTGCTGGTGAGTTTTATTTACATGTTTCATCTATAAATCTATCTATCTGCCCCCCTTTGATTGGGTTGGAAGGGCACGACGTGATGGATGTGGTGCTGAATTACCTACAATTGCAGGCATTAACTCCAACTACGGCGACACTGCCACTTTCACTAACATTGTCGTATCCGACGTTGGTGACATCTGCGTTGAGTACGAGGGGAACGACACGGGTGATGAGCCTACGAAGATCAGCTCGGGACCTTCTGACTACTGCCTGTACGACGACAGCGACATCAGCACGTAAGGTGCTTTTGGTTTGGCGAGAATCGGTTGCTACTCCGGCAGCAGGACGGCTGGGTTACGTGGAGCGTATTTAGTTCTTGCAAATATACTATTAACAAAATCTTTAATGGACTTTTGACTGCTGCTCATAACACTCTGTCGGAGATTCTTCCCCTCGAGACTGTTCCTACTAGTGAATGGGCAGGTAGAAGCTGCCCTTCCTAAAACTCATTTCTAAGGTATCATAACCAAGAGAGGCGTCAGTGGATGATAAGCCGACACAACGCTACCCGTAGTCAACACCGCTCTATGAGCAGTTCCAGGTGCTTCTCCCAAAGGTACCTAGTTCGCAACATCCTCCCTACTCCCAGTCGCCTCCCCACTCTTCTCGCTAAGAGCTTTCTCATGGGGAACGCCCCCCGGTCCAGCACCGCCCATTGCGCCCCGAGCAAGGGTGTCTATAAGGCCGTATTTGAGGGCCTCCTGCTCGACCTCTTCGTCGGACAGCAGCGGCAGTTCCTTCGCGGCCCGGACGTAGGAGATTTTCTCGACATGGCCCTTGGCGAAAATGATGTCGATCTCCTCGAGACTTCGCTTTGCGGTCTCGGGGTAGAAGAACCAGATAACGGGAAGGAAGCAGGCGTTGACGATGGCGAAGAAGAGGTAGGTACCCCAGCCGATGTTGGTTATCATGATCGGAGTCACCATTACGACTAAAAGCAGTTGTGTCAGCGACTATCCTTCGGGGGCTCGTCACATGTGTTGTATAATGAGCGACAACATCGCAACGAGCCGCATTGTGTGTTGCTTGATGCATGACCACTCATTGACGATGTCAAGTGGACTCGAAGGATCACTTACTGAGGAAGTTGAAAAGCCAGTTCGTGCATGTTGATACGGCATTAGCCTTGCCTCGCGTCTTGATAGGGTTGATCTCGGCGGGGTACCTGCGGCTGGTCAGTCACCATACCCGGCTGAATGGATCGAGGAAGTGCACAAGGATGCGGGGTGTAGGGGGTTAACGTACAACCAAGGAAGCGGTAGCCAGGTTGCACCGAACGAGGCAATGTAGGTGAACAGCCCGACGGCAGCACCCTTAGCCGCAGATGACGTGCCAGGGATGAGGCACGAAAATGTGATGACCATGGAGAGCCCCTGGCCAACAGTTCCCCAGAGGAACAGCTTACGGCGACCAACGCGCTCGATGAGGAACCACGACGTGGTTGCAAAGATTGAGTATACAATCATGTTGACACCGCCCATCAGCAAAGCCAAGTGGTGGTTTCCTGGCGTGATGGACGTCTCGAACAAGATGGGGAAGTAGTAGATGACTGATACGTGACAGTGTCTTGTTAGTACTGGGAGTGTGTAGGTTCGGGGGGTGGGTGAGCCGGGCAGCATCCAGCAGCGTTACGTACTATCGAGAAGTCAGCATATGTAAAGGTGGTACATGACTTGGGGTCTTGAGACAAGATGTTTCTATACGTACCCGGCATTGCATCCACCAACTTGCTGCATAAGTTGACTGCTAGCACCAAGTAGCATACGGCGGAAGTGTTGCGTCTTCCCATTGGTGAAAAGTGCCTTTACCGGCGTGCTCTTCTGCGTCTCGTAACCAGATGCTCTGATAGAGTCCAGAATCACGTCACGCTCTAGCTGAGTCTCGTGGCTATCAATCTCATACCCTCGTAGACCCGCAATGACCCGGTTGGCATCCTCGTATTTCTCGAGGGTCAGAAGGTAACGTGGGCTCTCCGGAAGGAAGATCATGCAGATGCACAGAATGAGACCGAAGACGATCTGGAAGGCAATGGGAAACCGCCAAGCCAGGTCTGCATTTCCATAGGAGCAGCCGTAGTCAATCCAATAGGCGATGAGGGTGCCGAATGCGATGATGCCACCTTCGATACAGATGAGGAGGCCTCGATTTGAGGTCCTACTGCATTCGGCTGGGAAGGTGTCAACAATAGATCTACACCACAAAACCGGATTAGTTCGTACCTTGGTAAGTCGGGATCGTGCTCGTGTTCATCCCATTCCCAACACCCGTCACGACTCGCCCGATGATAAACTGTGCCAGTGGCGAGTGGCCCGGGTATGAGGTGACCTGGATAATGGTTCCGAGGATCATGATGACACCTCCCATGATCATTGCCTTCCGTCTACCCAGCAGATCACCGACAGCCAGAATGAAGATTGCACCTATCAGGCATCCGATCTCGTAGATGGCAGTGACGAGGCCCTGCATGGTTGAGTTGTCTCGGGTTTCCTCGAAGACATCAGCGAACTGCGGGGCGCTGATGATTCCACTCATGACTCCTTGGTCGTATCCGAAGAGCAGGAATCCCGTGGTGGCGACAGTCGAGACGGCCAGGGAGAGCGGCCGGCCACTGAGGCCCATGAATTTTGGGGGCGCCATGTCGTAGGCAGCTCAACTATCGTCGACGAGCTCAAGCTCAAACAGTCAAACCACAAAATCACGAGTACCTTGGGGGTATTTGAAGAGGTTTTGGTGGCTGAAGAGGGGTAACAAGAGGGAGTGGAATATGAAATTCGACCAAGTCCGCGAATCTAAAGTCTCAGTCTAGGCACATGCAAAGTTGGGGAGCACAACCTCTTTATCAGTCGCCCCATACCCATCCCCGGCGCACACTAGTTAGTAGTGACTGGCTAGAGACGCCGAGTCTGGTTGGTAAGTGGAAACGGGAAAAGCATCTGCAGTGTCACGAGTGTCCCCGGTTACGACGGCCTCAAGCACCGTTGTGACGCCGGGGTCTGCAGACAGGGAAGTTGGAACCTGGAGATAGCCGACGCAAAGAGCGGGACATGAAAATGATCTCAGCGCTGGCAGAGGGATCCCATTCGACAGAACACGCTGCAGCCAAGCTTCGCAGGAGCGCAACACCGCTGCACCAGGGCTATCTTGATGATGATATCCATGGCGCTGCAGCTCCCCATGTGCGTCGATGTGACCAGATGAGGTCATTGTCGTACACTTTCATGAGCCTCGGCAGGGTGTAAGCACGGGCAGAAGTCCGAATAAGGTAGGATTAGACAGCTTCAGGGATTCAGCGGTAGTTGTGCAGCGGCACGGCGGGATGGCGCTGCCTAAGCTGCCAATGTAGCATGGAAGGCGTCCGGCTGCTCGCGGCTCTAGGTGTTGATATTGTTAGAGCTATATCGCAAGTCTCCTCGTTGATGTCGAGGTCTGGCGAAGGGATCACGAGCACACGAGCACACGAGCACACGAGCACACGAGCACTGTCAGCACTGTTCGTGATGATGGGTGTGTCCCAACTGGGTAAGCCGAAGGATGCTTTCAATGAAGTTTGTGGGAGGATCAAGTGGAAATCCCCAGGCGGTCAGTTCTCTCTTATCCACTATTCATCCACCTTCTCCGCTGGCCTAGTCCTGAACTGCACCATTTCCCCACCCCCCTAATTCCCCAACCTCCACCTCCAGGCTCCAGGCTCCACCTACACCACCACCTCCACCTCCACCGGCTCCACCCCCGCTCGGTTCCCCCGCTGGGTTCCCCTCCGGCCGGTGGTTCTCTCAGCACGTGATGATCTGAAGCAACTGGGTTGTATGTAGGATGAACTAGATGTTATCCTATTAGCTGTTCGATAGTATTAGCATGACCAGTTTGTAGTGTACGACTCTGATCGCACCAAAGGGGTTCCATCCATTGTAATAGACCAGTCGTCGTATTCTATCGTCTTGATATCTGTTCAGGTTGGATGTGCGCTGTGATACACGGGTCTGATTGGTCAATCAAGTGGCTACAGGGTACCCTGCAGGAGCAGCTAATGGCGTAAATCGTGTCTAGTGACTATCGTGACTATGCAGCTACTGACTCATATCTATCTCAGGTAGATGATCACATGAGACCAGCAAGCGGCTCTTCTAGACCAGCAAGAGGCTCTCCTAGACCAACAAGCGGCTCTTCTGTCATCAGGGCGCCCTGGCTTTTCATTCGACAAACGCACGAAGTTGCCAGCAAATGATTATTACTGTTGGATTAAAGGTGAGCCCAGAGGGCACCTTGATAGGTAGACACCAGAGCCTAGTTGTTCCGGCCCGATCCAGCCCCCTCTGGCACAAGACTGCCACGGTCGCACGAGGACACTCTAGAGAGACAGAATACACACACACACTTCAACCTCACGATTGGCTCAAATCTGACAGATCAACTATCCATCAGGTGGTTGGTGTGACGGCCTGCACAGACCTTCCCATATGATAAGCAGATACTTCCCAATAGGGGAAGGATCTGACCAGAGGATCCCCTTAAAGGGGCAACCTCCCACTGTACCTATCTCTCTCTCTCTTCCTTTCCTCTCTGGTCTTGATATTCTCGTCAATAGAGTAATAGATACTTGCTGCCGGCCAAGTCTCAGCTCTTTAGTACGCTCGTCGTGACAATACCGTAAATATTTTTCGCTTATAATTTAAATATTATCGGCGGTATTTATATCGACGTTATTTCGTCTTCAAAAAATATTGTACTTTATTAAAAAATAGCTTTTAATTATTAACGTAATATTCGCGTAATATAAATAATCGTGGTATTTCTCGTTATAACGACGGCAATATTAATACGTAAATTAAACGAAAGCCTTGACGTTGAATACTTATTTTATATAACTATTATAATTTATAATAAATAAGTAACGATTACGTAAAATTTGTAACTGAGATTTAAATATATAATCGCTATTACTATACGAAATTTTGATTATAAAAGATCTTTAAAAGTAAATAACGTTAATAATTATTATAAGATTATTACTTAAAATATCATTAAGCTACTTAATCATCGTCGCTTAATAATAAAGTTAATGGTAAAAAACGCCGTATATCAAGGTTATGCAGTTATTAATAAAATTAACGGTAATAATATTACTATTAATTAGTACCGTAATATTAAGAAACCTATCATAACTGTTATTAAGCGTAGAAAAGAGTTTATCGATAAAAAAGGGATAAATATATTAAATTCAGGGGGGGCCTTCTCTACTGACTCAGCCGCATGGAGTGAGGCGGCCCTGCTAAGCGCTGACTTCTGCACATTCCTGTACACAGCCCCCAATGTCCGCCAACGACGGGAATCCCTGAGCTTCACCATGGCACAGCCTCAACCTTGGATCAGTCCCACACATCGTGAATATATGGCATGGTTTGATCATCCAATGAGCAATGACAGATCGTTGACACAGTAACTGTCTTCTTGGCCAGTCAATATGGCTGATGAGCCTGTCGTCGTCACGAAGTTGCTTGGAGATGGATACAAGACGGATAGGCTTCGGAAGCCATACATACCTCCAGAAAGACACGAGCAAGTAGCTGAATTTCAAAGTGCCGTATGTAGTAGATCACAAATGTGGCTGAATCTCAATCATTTATCTGACCACCACTGGAATTTCAATATGAAGAAGGAAAAGCACATAAGGTCGCTCCTATGGGTCTTTTAGATGATAATATAGGCGATTACATTCTTAACGTCAAGCCGACGTGTCTGTTTTGAGGGCCTTGATATTATCCATATTTCTTATCACATCACGGCCCCTATGTCCCAGCGTTGACGTCTATTGCAAGGCAGGTTGACGACAACCACATAGCCATGGGAGATGATGAGAAATACTGGCAACTTCGGGGTTTTGAGATAGTCTTGTGTAATTCCGCATGGCAGTTTCAAGGACCTGCGTGCTTCTAGAGGTCGCATTAGTAAGAACGAGTGAATGCTCAGACCCATGCATGTAGTCTCTAGTTCTTCGTCATGAAGGACGTCCCCCTTTTTATTTAGCTGGACCTTCCCCTGGAAGCGAAGGGGGTTGCAGCCTACCGCGTCAAATGCCAGCCCCTTATGCAAACGCTACCTGTGGCCGTCCTCCCGCTGCCTACAAAGAGACACCCATCAACTATCCTCCCACAAGCGAAGCACCCCGACAGCATTCCCACCCATGACCTTCCTAGCGCCCTCGCTCCCGTCCCCCAGCGCCTTGCTGACGGCCGTCGCATTCCACGTCATGCTCTCCCACTCGCCCTGCTCGTCGCTGTTGAGCGGCGGGAAGAAGGGGTGGTCCGTGCCGAACATCAGCCGGTCCTCGCCGCCGCCGGCGTCGATGGCGGCCCGGAGCCCGACTCCAGAGTAGATGACTGCGTCGAGGTAGATCTGCTCGCGTAGGACATCCCACACGGTGCGACGCGCGGGTCCCGCCTTTCCGCTGCAAACCAGGTGCCCGTCGTGCACGATGCAGCTCTCGATGCGGCCCGCCAGGAAGGGCAGCGTGCCGCCGCTGTGGGCGAGCAGCATCCTCAGGCCGGGCACGGCATCGAAGACGCCAGCTAGGTACATGCGCGCGACGGCGATGGTCGTCTCCATGGGGAAGCCGAGCGCCAGCGGCAGCACGTGGCCGTACTCTGCGCTCGCGCGCGGGCCCCAGACCTCGCTCGGCAGCCCGTAGTGCGGGTGCAGGAAGATGGTCAGCCGGTTGGCGGCCAGCGCGCGGAACACGGGCACCAGGGCGCCGTCGTCGAGCCCCTTGCCGAGCCCCGACGTGCCCAGGATCACGCCCCGGCAGTACCTGAGGCCCCGGATGTGGCCGATGGCCGCGAGCAGCGTCTCGGGCGGCGCGGTCAGGGGCAGCGTGGCGAAGAAGAAGAGCCGGCCCGGCGACGACGCGCACATGTTGCTGAACTCCTGGTTGACCGACTTGGCCGTCTCGCCCGCTTCCTCGGACGCCACGAAGTCCAGCCACGGGTTCGCGAGCGAGATCACGGATATGTCGATCCCGTGTGTGTCCATGAAGTGCAGCTTCTGGGCCAGCGAGGAGTAGTGCGACGTCACTGGTCTGCCGGGGAGATTCGCCGAAGCTGACGACCCAGCTGCCGTGATCTTGTCTAGAGACTCTGCTTCTGAGGGTAGGATGATGTACCGGGGGTCCTTGGCGCCATCGAACCGCCTGATGAATGGTATGCTCTTGCGCGACTCGAGGAGCTCGACATAGGCGGGCGGGTACATGTGGGTGTGGATGTCCACGACCTTGGATGTTGAGGTGGCCATGTCTTGTTAGTGTCTTCTGTCCACACCAAATAGAACTATTGTTGTAGGCAAAGAATTATGAGAAAAGTTGAGTATAATAGGGTAGCCAGAACGGCAGTGGCCATCCAGGATAGTTGAGAAGAGTGAACGATCGCTGCTATGACTGAACGGAGTGGTATAGTGACAAGCTGTGTGAAGGTATAACCGACGGAGTTAGCAGGTCGTAGCAAAGCCACTACGGTACGTGTAATCTCGAGGTCCTAATCCAGGGACCGGGAGAGGACAAACTTGTGATGAAGGAAGTACTGATAGGAGACCATACGATCGGGGACTGCCCCTGTCATGGACTATAGGAGGAGCCAGGCAACCCCACATTCTCCGATGCTGCCCGCGGCCCCTCCTACCCTCCAGGTCCTGCCCCTCCGTCCCTACCTACCTAGGTAATCTCCAACCCCGAGTTCTTATCTTTGGTGGTGGGGTTACGCCTATTACTTGTTAGTATGTACGCAGTTCTGACAGTATTACTGCTGTCTAGAGGGTCCAGAAGCATCGAAAGGCCGGCCGGCAACTGTTTCAGAAGGTGCCCTTGCCCCTTCTAGATTACAGCAACCCATCCGAGCATTGCACCGAGGAGACGACTCCCTCGGCGCTCTGAAGCCACCCTCTGTCGGAAGCGGCCGAAGTCCACCGGCATCTCGAACTTCCTAGCCGCCACACCCTGCTCACCCAGAAGACTACTTCTTCGTCTTCAACAACCGTCATTCTCACGCTCCCCTAGCGCGGAACTCATCAGTTTCCGTTAAAAATCGCCAGCTGAATAATAACACTCGCTATACTAAACGCTTATACGAAACGCCTGTGAAAATGGAGTCTGCTGCAGTGAAAAGCGAGGGGCTTGTCATCCCAGTAGGCCATATGTTCGACTATCCCATTGATAAGATCGCAACTGACCTGGCCGGTACCAGCTCATCGACTTCTCCGCCTTTCTCAACGGAAACCCCGAGCAGAGAAAGGAGACGGCGGATGCCATCCTCCACGGCTTCCGGACAGCAGGCTTCATCTACCTCAAGGGCCTGCCCATCACCTCGGACTACCGCCAGCATGTATTCGGCACGTCGGCCAAGTACTTTAGACTGCCTCAAGACACCAAGCTGTCCCACTCGTACGTATAGAAACATTCCATCACAAGACCCTGAGGCTTGGTTTCAGAGACAAGCTTTGTTGTTCACTTTCCTTCTTTCTTCATCTAGAATTTGCCATATGGGTTCAAAGACGTGATGTTAACGTACACGCAGCTGGACCTCACCCGAGGCAAACAGGGGCTACTCGGCCCCGGGCCGGGAGAAGACGACGACGGAAACGGACTTCGAGGCCGTCAAGGCGCTGAGGGACGCGGCGCCGGACCTAAAGGAGAGCCTCGAGATCGGCCGGGAAGGCGAGCCGGGCCACCCGAACCACTGGCCCGAAGAGCAGGGCGAGCTCGTGGGCTTCAAGGAGACGATGCTGGAGTTCCACGACAAGTGCAAGGCTTTGCACATGGAGGTGATGCGCGCCATTGCCGTCGGTCTCGGCATCGACGAGCACTGGTTCGACAACTACACCGACGCTGGCGACAACACCTTGCGCCTGCTGCACTACCCTGAGGTGAAGAAGGATGTCTTCACCATCAACCCCGGCCAGGTCCGAGCCGGCGCGCACAGTGACTATGGCTCCATCACTTTCTTGTTCCAGGACTCGCGCGGCGGTCTTCAGGTGAAGAGCCCCACTGGGGTCTTTGTCGACGCGACTCCCATCCCGGACACTTGTGTGGTCAACGCCGGTGACATGCTGGCGCGATGGAGCAACGACACCATCAAGAGTACCATCCACCGCGTCGTCGAGCCGCCCTCGGGCGATGGCCCCGTCTACCCTGCCCGATACAGTATTGTGTAAGATGTTCACCTACCGTGTTTTGGTGTGAACATGGAACATTCAAGACTGACCTCCTTCTCACAGATACTTCTGCAACCCCAACTTCAAGAGCCAAATCGAGGCTATTCCCGGCACCTATGCCACGGAAGAAGAGAGGAAGTACAAGGGTATCAACAGCGGTCAATACCTCGTCCAGAGATTGACTGCCACCTACTAAGTCAGAAGAAGTGCTGCGTTTCGCGACTTGGAAATACTTTGATTGGTTTTACGCCTTGTTGTCGCTGGACCCTGGAAAAAGAGTTTGGCAGTGGCCCGTGATTGCAAGATGATGAATGATGAAGAGTATAATTTAGGATAATAATCACGAGCTAAGAAGTTAAAGGAAACTGCTGAGACACACGACACGTTCTCCATGTGGGCGAAGAAATGTCTTGAAATTCCAGAAATAGCGTCCTTGATTCAGCGGTGTCGCATCCCACTAGAGACGTCATCACAGAGGGGCAATCTCCCCCGGGATAGTGGGGTATGACGGGAAGCTGCTGATCCTCCACCCAACACTATCGCGCTGTCGGGTCTGGCCTCAGGTGGCGGAGTGGCCAGTTGAAGATAACCTAAGATAACCTTTGGCCATAGTGAGAACAGATTGCGATTTCAACTGGCAACAAGATACTAAATGACATTGAACCTTTGGCCATTTCTTTTCCAACCCTTCGACTATTTCCTGGGCGAGAACCTCTTTTCTCCTTTCTATTTTCCTCTCTCGATGGGGACGCAAGATGAAGAAGACACTGCTACTGTGTTTCATCCATGGGTTCAAGGTAAGACTGCCTGCCTGCCTGCATGCTACAGCTCGCGCTTCACTATCTTACTCCTTCCACCACCATGAACTAACACCAGTTCCTCGCAACCTACAGGGCGGTGAAGACACCTTCGGCTCCAAGTCCGAGTTCGCGCAGCACCTCGCCGCGCTGATCGCCGCGGCCCTCCCAAAAGTCGACGTGCGCGCCGTCACCTACCCGAAATACGAGACGCGCGGGGACCTGTACGAGTGCGCGGGCCGGTTCCGCGACTGGCTGCTCGAGAAGGTCATCGACATCGAGGTGGCCAACGGCACGCCGAGCCCCACCGTCGACCCGTCGGTGCGCGTCGTCCTCATCGGCCACTCCATGGGTGGCATCGTCGCCGCCGAGACCGTCATCGCGCTGACGTCTGAGCACCCCATCAAGGAGCACGAGAGCGCCGAGGACGAGTATCCCACCGGCGAAGACGGGGTAGATGGGGTAGACGGGGTAGATGGGGAGGGGGACGACAACGCTGAGACTGAGGCGGGGACGAAAGCGAAGGGAGAGGCGCGCACGACGCCAACAACGCCAACGCCACCGAGCCCCGGCTTGAATAGCCTCATGTTCCCCTATATTCAAGGTGTACTCGCCTTCGACACGCCCTACCTCGGCATTTCGCCCGGCGTCGTCGCGCACGGCGCCGAGGGCCACTACAACAGCGCCGCGACGGCATTGGAACAGCTCAGCGGACTGAGCGGCATGTTCTGGGGCGGGGACAAGGGCGACAGCAACATTGGCAGCATCAACAAGAAACCCGTCGGAGCGCTACCCGCGGCCGAGGAGAAGAAGGACGGCAAGCCCAACGCGCCGCCGGCGGGCGGCGGCGCTTGGGGCAGCTGGGGCAAGATCGCCATGTACGCCGGCGCGGCCGGGGCGGTCGCCGCGGGGGGAGCGGCCGCGTACCTGAAGCGCGAACAGATCAGCTCCGGCTGGTCGTGGGTCGGGTCGCACCTCGAGTTCGTGGGCTGTCTGGCGCGCGGCGAGGAGCTCAAGAACCGCGTCAGGAACATGCTGCGGCTAAATCGCGAGCTGGACGTCGGTTTCGCAAATTTGTATACGCGGCTCGGGCAGGGCGCCGCGGCCAAGCAGGTCAGCATGGTGGGCACGGTGCTGGGCAGCCAGCGCACGTTCTGCAATGTGCCGTCGAAGCAGGCGGCGGGATACTGGAAGGAGGCCGTCAACGACAAGGCGGGGGATGAGGCGGCTGCGCACATGGGTGAGTTGCCCCCCTTCACCCGACATATTTGGTATACCATGATTGGAGTGGGCTAACAAAGCGGCTATAGGGATGTTCGAGCCGAAGGAGAACCCAGGGTACTACCAACTATCCGAAGACGCCAAGAACCTGATAGTCGAATGGTCCAAGAACGAGTGGTACGAAACGAGCAGTTCGGGCGACATTGAACAGGCGGAAGATCTGATTTAGTGTACACAACAGCGTTATTGGTCATGATACCTTTTTTGATTCTTTCTATGCATATACCTAGGTAGTCTAGTAATCCGACATTGGTGGATGATCCATCGTTGCCACGGGTACTTTCGAGCTCCAAACTCGATTCTTGTTCCAGTATCGTATTACATATTATGTATGATCCGTTTGCCCAGAGGCGATTCGAGTCTATTGCGTAGCCTTTTCGTTCTGGGCCTTCAAAACCTTCATAACCTTTCGTCGCTGGGTCATCATGTGCGTGTACAGGATGTAAGCGGCTACAACATCGTCTCGTTAGCATCCCAGTCATCCCAGAAGCAAACCACGCATGCATTAGGTATCGTATCGGACGTCACACTCACAAGGCGGATAGACCAGCACCACATAGCCCAGAAGCACCCACGAGTACAGCTCCATGCCGGCGTCCCTCGCGGGCCCGACGGCGCGCCAGATCAGCCAGGCCTCGCTGCTGATGCCGAGCGGGTACAGCACGAAGAAGGCGTGGTAGCGCAGCCAGTGCAGCGCCTTGGGCTGCCACCCGGACAGCGTCAGCGCGAAGTACGAGTACCGGATCACCTCGGTCGTGGCCCACGCCACCAGCATGCTGCTGTAGGCCGGGCTCGTGGTTAGGGACGGGAACTGGTCCGTTATGCCCCATACGATCGCGTACCGGCTGAAGACTTGCATGAAGGTCGTGAAGAGGGGGGCGCGCACGATGCCTGTGGGTGGTGGTGGAGAGCTGTTAGTTGCTTGTTCTCTTGTTGTATGGACTTGGCTCTGGTGATTGAGGGACGGGGGAGGGGCGCAGGGCTTGGTGGTGCGGATGTGAGATATAGGAGGCAATGGATGTGAGGTCGAGCGTTGTATAGATCATTTGGACTCACCGAGTAGAGAGTGAAGCACCTCCATGCCCGCCAGCGTCTGCGTCCACTTGCAGAACTCGCCCGCGGCCGGGTAGGCGTACTGGTGGCCGCGCATGGCGTTGGCGCCGATGACCCGGCCCAGCACCGTCAGCCAGAGCGTGGCCGAGATGGCATTGTAGAGGATCAGGTAGCCGTTCTTGACCGGCGAAGCCTTCTTAGCGGGTTTCGTCATGTCGGCCATGTTTGCAATCGTGGGGATATGGAGTCGTGATGGGCGTGCGGATGGTTGTGTGGGAGCAAGCTGGTCAGGAGCGAAACCGAGGTGGTGGTGCTCTGGGAATTTTGGGGAGCTCCCCCTGCCTGCCGGCATGCAGGTGGAGTGGGGCTTGAGATTTTGGTTGGGATTAGCGCAGGTACGGCAGCCCCAACCCTCTCATGCCTCTGTGAGCCTGTGTGAGAGTGATGGACGAGGGGCTTCATGGTGTTCAGCCAGCCAGTCCTCGACGACTCATCACTGCAGTTCTCTACTGTCCACACCCGTCATTCCATGCTCTGCGTCTCTTGGGCTTCACCAGTCGGAATTGTTGGTGCCGTCTGGTCATATGATTTATTACTTGCTTGAGGTCCAGAAAGCTCCTCAGCCTCCATACTTCTCAGCACTATTGCTAGCTGACGGGGGTATATAGGTACATCTTGCGCCAGTGAGACACGTCTTGCGACAGTGGTTGGTATCTCCATGAAATGTACAGCTCCCTTCCCGCTCTTGAAGCCCTTCCATAGGCTGCAAGATCATCTCTGATACATGTAGTATGTCAAGCCATCCGCTTCCCCCTCTCAATCATCCGTCAAGTCGACGAATTCTGCTTGCCGTCGGCGCTTTGGGGATCGTTGCACTAGGCTGTTCCCGGTTAGATCCATGAATTCGTCGGGCTCTCGCTTCATGGCAGGCTTGCGCTCTTGCTTTACTTCGTTCTCTCGCTGGACTCAGTCAGTAAACCAGCCACATAATATCAGGATACTCGTCACATACTCTCATCTGATCGAGTCTCTCCTGCGCGAGGCGCTGGATCTCGACCTGAGACATCGTCTCAATACTGGGCAAGGAAGGTGGATCTGGCGATGGAGATAGACTTCGAGGAATGATCATTTCTCGCTTCAAAGCATCTGGTAGAGGAGTTAGGAGCCAAGTTGAACATTTCTCTTGGTAATTGCATACCTCTGGATCTGTAGTGAAATCGAAACACGCCAATAGGCCCATCATCCTCAGGGATATCATCGACCTGTGATGATTTGAGAGTAGGATTTTCGACTATCTCGCCCACCGAGGTTCTGACATGATCCTTCCGTTAGCTCCTGTCTGCACCCACACCTCTGTAGGAATATGCGGCTTACGACATTCCGTGCGAGATCGCTTTGCCTTTGAGCGCCTTCTCGGTAACCTCGATTTTGTCTTTGCGAGTAAAAGAATGCTGTGACCCCCTGGCACGCCTACCAAGGTGAATGACTCGACTGACTTCGACCTCGATGACGCCGAGGTGTTTTGCAATCTTCATATCGTCCTTGACGCGTTCCTTGCTCGAGTCGTCCACTTGACAGAGAGTTAGCTTGATCCCGCCACGCGCCATAGTCGTCTACCATACCAGTACTGACTGCAGAAAACTCGAACTTGTGCAGTAGCCATTGCTTGGAGCGCTGACAATACAACTCACGACCCTTCACGGCAGCGCTTCGCTGACTGGAATGCTGTCGAAACAGTTTGCCATGAACATACTTCCCATCAATGTATGTATTTAGCCTGAGCCGATGATCGCGGAAACCCCAATTGTAGTCGCTTGATGCGGCTATACGGATGGCGAACTCGGTATCATCGTGGCACTCGATGTAACTGCATGCAGTGGGACGGTCTGCATCTGCCATCGCTTCCAGCTCCTCCTGATTGGGAGGGTACTCGGTAACATTCTGACCATTGATCTGTACCGTCACCTCAACACCGGGAACATCCTCGAGAATGGCCATGGCGGAAATGGTCAGAGGGCAGCTTGCTGGCGGAAGAACAAGAATGAAGCACCAAGCGTTGAAAGTGAAGGGCGCAGGACGCGTAAAAGATCAAATTGGATGAGACGCGTCTGGTTCCCCCGCCAAATGAGGTTCCGCAGTAGTGCCCGGTAAGGCACGTGCCCACGACGATGGGTGCTTGGGTTGCAAGGAACAACAAAAAGATGGAGGGAATGGAGGAAAACGGCGGACATCTGTGGGGAAAATCGGTATCTGTCCTAATGGTAGGAAGGGAAAAAAGCAAGCACCTTGATGGACGAAGTGCACCTGCCCCAGACCTAAAATGCAAGGCCCCACCGCAGACGCTCTTGCACGAAGACAGTGCCTGGTCTTTACAGAGACAACAGCGATGGCAGTCGTCACTGATACGGATCGAGTCAATGACTTGCCTCTTGGTACCTAAGGTACGTACGCCTGGGTTCCAAGACGCGACAACTTACGAGAATGGTGTCAATGCCACAGAAGAGACCAGCCAAATGCACGTGGCCTCAAATGTCTAGTGCCAACTGATGAGTGGCAGTCGAGTCATTTGGTGAGGCCGAGGTCTTCGATTCCCGACGAGTTAGTAGCAACTGGGAAACGGATGAGATAAGTTATGTCTGAAGTCATTGACTGAGTCTGCATAGGCTGTCCCTCGGGCATGCTCCCATGCACCAAAGAAGCCGCAGAGCTGGCAAACATGTCCTCCCCTACTATAACCTCCTTTTGCTCCTAAGCATTCGTCGCAATAGCTGTCGCCGTCGCGCCTCTCGTCCGCGGCGGCCACTCAGGCGGTGGGGTATCTGACGTTTCGAAACGGACACGTCTTTGCATTGGCATGCCGTCGGGAGGCGAACTGGTACCGCCTACGTTGCTGTCTAGCAACTGAGATGGTTGCTGTGGAGGTTCCTTTTTTGGCCTCGAGCCTCCTGGTGTCATTTCTGGCGGCGCGGTGATGATTCCCGTGCCTGGAGATGGGCCGGTGATTTCCTCTGGAGGGATATGGCATGACTCGACATCGAAGGCGGAGGGTGGAGCAACGGTGCCAGAGTGTGCGAGCGGTCGCGGCGTCGTACTCGCTCGGAGGTTGCTTGTGGATTCATCGCTCTCGGTACTGGTGGCATAGGCTGTGAAAATTGGGGTGATCTCTGTCTGGATCGTGACTATCGGCTCTGGGTCGTCGCTCGAAACAGCTGGTATGAATACCTGGCTCGGGTCTGCTACGGTGTCGTTGAGGGTGTCATTGAGGGACGAGACTGATGGTAGCTGGTTGGGTGCGAGCAGAGTGTCTCTGGTGAAGTATGGAAGTCCCATTTGCGGTCGCTGACTTTGTCTTCGGGGATATGCTCAGGAGGGAAGAGCTGGTCTTTCTGAAGCGGGCAATGCGACTATTTGTAGACGTCCACTGTGAGGGAATGGTAACCGCCATGAGACTCATATAGTATTGACATTGAAGCTTGCAGTCAATCTCGTCGGTGATGTCTCTGTGATGTCTCGTAGTACAACAGCTCTGGGGCTATGACACAGGCAGGACCTCAGATTGTCACTACATCTAAAAATCGGCAAGATGAAGTACGTTCTCTTTCCATGGTCATGAGTCCAATCGCCCCTATCTCATAAAGATGGTGAATGGTATGGTTTGACGACACATGCACTCAAGCCAACCACTCAACCCCGAACTCCTTAAAACTCACACTCAACGGCTCCCTCGCGCCCTTCGCCGGCCGCGCCACCAGCGGACTAACATCCAGCACCCAGCCCTCACCCGCGTCCTCATCCTCGTCCGCAAGTACCCAGCAGATCTCCCGCAGCGGGATGCGCTCCACCTCCCTCTCGCCCTTCTCATCCAGCACGACCTGGTAAACCCAGATGCTCCTCCCGTTCTCGTCGCTCTCGCGCACGGCCTCGAGCGTGACGCCGCGCGCCGGGTCGACGGGCCGGCTCAGCGCGCTGATGCTCCAGTCCGCGTACCGGTCGCAGGCCACGGTGCTGAGGTGTGGCGCGCCTTGGTAGAACTCGATGCCGGTCTTGATCCACTTCTCGGGCGGGGTGGGGGACGAGGTGGAGGAGACGCGCTTGGGCACGAGGAGCATGCCGGCTTGGTCGTAGCGCTCGGTCCAGTCGGCCCAGAAGGTGACGCGCGCGGACTTGAACTTTGTCAGGAGGCCTGAGGAGGTTCGGCTAATGGGTGCTGAGATTCGGGTCAGTGGTGAGTGGTGTGGGTGTTCATCCATAGGATGCATGTGTCTTGTGAAACGAGATGTTGGTTGGTTGGGCTGGGTAGCTAACCGTTCCAAATGTTGGTGCTCGGGGGCTTCTTCCATATATCGGTGCCCGGTTCTGCTTGGAGCGTGAACCCGGCGGTGGTCTTATCCATGATGATCTTGATGTAAGACGGCTTGAACTTGTCATTCACAGAGCACAACTGGAATTTCAATATTCTAGATGAGCTGCGGACAGGGACACTCTTATATACTCTCTCAAGCTGAGGGGTAACTACGCGCGATAATTGCTCCTGTGTTCTGCTCGTGAGGTTGGGAGTTCCGATCCGGAAGCGAGCTCTCCGCTTCGGAGTAAGAGCGTCTTCGGGACGGCCGACGGCTGTAGGCGGAATGCGTCAGATGTACTGCCAAGACTACATCGTCGCCAGACCCCACGTACCTGTCCATTCCGCTCCGTACCTTACCTTCTGCCATCTGGTACCCCTTTCAGCAAAATTTCCCTTTCGGTGCTGACGAAGCCGACGATCTTTGACATATACATAGTAAAGAGCTGAAGAATCCGAACGACCAGGATTCTGTCCGCTGTGGCGGAGGTACCGCATCGGGATCGGCCGCCTGCCCTCTTGAGATCGTCACCAGCCTAGTATAGAGTGAAGATAAACAGCTTGAAGGGAAGATATATGCAGCAACCTGGTTTTGTCTATACATCCATTGTATCTGCTACAATACGATGCTTGGGTCCATAAGCATACCTGATTACCTGACCGAGTGGCTTCTCACGATATCCGTAAGACCATAGCCATAGAAAGCGACGAGATCTAGGTCTAGCACCGTCTACCACCATAGTTGGTCCAGCTATGAACACTCCGTCATGGCTCAAGAACCTCGCAGGTTTTGGTTGCAATGCGGAAGTTGCTGCTAAGTTCTTTTATTAATAAAGCGCGTCGCTAATTGTTTTGCGTACTAGTTACTCGGTATTATATCAAGGGGTGATATCAACCTTCACCGGTGTTGCGGCGACTCGGCGACATATCCTCAACTATTACGAGGTACCTGTTACAGAATGAAGCTTTTCTTCCATCTACTTGCGCGAAGAGAAGGCGATCCGAAAACGCCTTCGAGGGGTTCGTCTGGACGGCGCTGCCACTCAGTACCCGTGAACGATGAAGGGTTTCATAGTTTATTGAACAGTGCGACGTCATACATGTACGGGAAGTACCCCAAGCCCTCTTTTGCCATTCAGTATCCTGATCCGGCTTCATACTAATGGCCCCGCCAGTATTCCAATTGCCACTCCCTACATGTCCGCCCTTTCCCCGATGGACCAACCCGCTTCCCGGTGCCTTCAGAGACCATTTCTAACTTATCAGGCCAGATGATCGCGTCCTCGGGTTCGTCCATGGCCCTGCCCCTCTTGCTTCTCTCAATCGGAGTCTGGATATGTAGCACTCATGTCGATCTCCACAGACTCCCCATGATTGCTACCCGCGTCCGTGTCGGACTCGGTGTCATCGCCACCCGCGCCCGTCTCGGACTTCTTGCAAGCGGACTCGGGTGGCCACGGGAACCTTTCATTATTTCCATTTTTCAACACCTCGTCTTCGTACCAACTCTTCATCACCTTGTACCCATCATAGGACCCCCTCACCTCCTGCATCAGCTTGGTGATGCAAGTGTTCTGGCAATTCTCGGCTTTTTTGATCTCTGTACCGCCGGGGGTGGCAATTTTGCCGGTGATGGCGCCCTGACTGGCGCCGCAATCGCACACGCAGCGAGTCACATATCGCTTGTAACCGAGAAGGTCACTCATGTCCCAATCAACTTTTCGAGGGGTGATGGTTTGATGAGTCGGCTTGCTCCAGGCGAGAGCTGGTAGTAGGGCGCTGCATACGCCAAACAACGTGAGGAGATGCATGGACGATGTCACGTTCTTGGGAGATGTGTGGTTGGGATGTGTGGTCGGGATGTGCGGTCGGGATGCTTCGTCTGGATGATTGGCCGGGTAGCGAGGAGGACTTGAGCTTGAGAGTAGTGTCAGAAGATGAGGGATTGTGTTGCAAACATGATTAGTTGCTCCGAGCGGACACGCACACATATATATATGTGTGTGTATGTGTCCAGATTCACCATGTACACCAGTGGCGAGCATGGCGATGCCTAGGACCAAATTCACTTATGCTTGCGGCTTCAGAGCAACATCGATTTTACCCAATTTTAGCTTGAAGGTGACAACAATGGCAGGGGCCTGGGGAATCAATCCTCCAGGGGATCCATCCGCTTTGGGAAATGCCCAGTCAGAGGTAAGTAAGTACATGTAAGCTGTAAGAGTGCTCTCGAAAGTCACAATTGAAGATATACGACAAAAAGTATTATTGACGAGTACTAAGAGGGTTCCGAATATACAGAGCTATGAAGAGGAAATGCATCATATCGGAGTGCGGTACGGAACTCTTAGGTTAAACTATGAAGCGTATACTACACGCCAAATACAAAAACGTGGAAGGTCGGTAGCATACTACTGTTAGGGTACAGGCATCTAGGATGGTAATGGTTGGCGGTTCCTCATGCTGACGGAAAGTTCCGATCGCGTAAAGTTCAATAAAATCCAATAAAGTCCTATATAGGATTGTAGATAACTATAGACTGGAACTTTTCGTGTTTTCACCGTCATGTCACAACGATGGATCTGTGGTGGAGGCTGGGATGACAAGGAGGCCTCATGGGCTTCCGTTGTCCTTTCCCCATGCCGAGCCGGCGACACCGGCCCATCAGAAGGATGATCGTAGACTGGCGTACGTGTCCTAGTCACTGGACGGTACGAGCTTCACGTGGAAGTAAATGGGTGTTAGAGACTTTGCGGCAATCAGCTTTAGCCGACTAAGACCCTAAAGGTTATTAACGCTGAATGATCATCCATATTCGTTGTGGCAGCTCTGTCAAGTCAAATCCAACATGAGAGCGCCGTTGTATGAACATCTATGGCAGAATGATGGTTGCGACCAGATATCCAGACGCATCTCTTCACCGAGCCCGACCGGCTCCGTAGCAGTTCATCTTGCACATCCCGAGTTCGCTGACATTTTTCACATCCTAGAAAGACAGAATGACGCTGTCCTAATCAAGGCCCCTTTTCCGTTTTCCGTTACCCGTTTTCCGCATCCAATATGCTGCCCCTTTTTCCGTGACCCAACCATGCAGTTTTAGTTTTACACATTACAATCGCCTGTTATGGATCGCCAGAGCCTGTGCGTTCCAAAAGTGGCCGCTGATCCCACCGTTGCTCATTGATGCTGTTCTCGTCATCTTCAACAGCCTCCTCTTCATCTGACTCCGCTTCATCCGTGCTATAGATGAAGAACTGGGCGAATATGCCCAGATCCAGGAGCAATGTACCCAAGCTACCAGCCACCCAAGAGAGGTTGACGAGGATGTATCTGCCGTATATCCTGCTAGCCTCGCCGGGGTGACATCTATGACCACACTTGGGGTCGTAGGCGAAGATGGACAGGACATAGGTGAGGTTGCCCAGGCAGGCAAAGAGGAAGAAGAGGATGCTGACTCCCTCAGTTGACTTGCGCCGCCAGTTAAGCAGGAGCTGGGGAAGACGAGAACCCAGATACAGTACGGCACACAGCCACCCAAAGATCTGGCCCCAAACGTCAAAAGTCGGAAGACCCTCTTCAGCAGGCAAGCTGGGTGCGCTACGAGAGTACTCCCGGCTGAACACCCAACCCAGTACACCTGAGGCACAGACCATGAGAACAGCCACCAGGTTCCAGAGGAATGACTGTAGTCTTGTCGGCGTCGGCGGAGGAGTGGTGGGGTTCTCCGACACCAAAGGGACCGCTGGGCTCAGGTGCGACCATCCGCTGCCCCTCCTCTCCCTCTCGTCCAAATCTGCGTGCAGAAGCCCCGTTCTCTCATTCGGCTCGCCGGCAGCATGGCCATTGGATGGCTTCTTCGGCGGCGGTACGACCTCGTCCTTCCATGTGAAGCCCTTGTAGGAGAAGCACTGCGCGAGCAGGACGACATCGGCAATGGTGTAGTAGATTGCGAGTATCAGCATTGTAGGAAGGACGCCCTGTAGCACGGCGCCGAGGATATTGAAGACATCGCCGAGGAGCCAGATGATGATGAATTGGACCGAGAGGCCGTCGGCGGAGCTTCGTCGGAAGTTTTCTATGATTTGCGGCGAGAAGACCACTACCCATGCTGCGATGGAGATGGAGCTTCAAGGCGGGAATTTCAGCGTGATTTCTTGGTGACATGCTGGAGACGAGATTGGAAAAACTTACCCGCAAATACCTGATATAGCCTCGACGTCGAGGTTTAATGGCCCCGTGGGAGGAGCCATCTTGGGCGGCGGCAGGTGAAGGCCGGTCTCACGAGATGGAGTAACAAGAGAGCTCGTGGGTCATCTGCTGTGCTCTGTGAGCAAATGACTCTGAACCACTATTCGGGACAAGCTTGTCTGAGCCTGGTATCGCAATGATAGGAGGTAGATATGTTGCGACGCACAGGCGGCGGCTCGTGGACTCGTCAAGATGGTGACGAAATTTTGATTGATGCAGCGGAAAAGATGGACAAGCACCAACGCGCCAAAACTTGCCCGGCGCCACGTGCACTAAAGTCCGGTACCTATGACGCCTGAAACTTCCCCATGTTAATGCATTCTGCGGGGAAGTTACCGTCCTCACAGGTGAATCGTGATGGGCAGGGTGAGAAAAATACTCTACTTGTTGGATGCAAGCGAGTTCAGATTATTCAGGTTGTCAAGTGTGTTCTGTTGTTGTGCTTGTTCTTCTCTGCTTCTTCAGCGTACACAGATTGATCATCTGTCTTCTTGGTGGGTCAGATGCCCTGTGCGTCTCTGCCCCACTGGAGATCTTCCGGTGTCTATTTCCGGCTCCCATTCAACACTACTGAGTAGAGTATTTGCCCAATACTCTTCTAACCTAATGTAGTACTATAGGATACTAGAGTACTACTATGTAAAATTTGCTTTTTTATTTTAAAAATCCGGAAGAATTATAATCAGGTATAATTAAACGTAACTAAGCTTAATACTATATATAATATAAAACTTTATCTACATATAAAAAGCGTATTTTAAAGATTTATCTATATATAATAATATGATGTTTTCATACTTGGTATAAAAATATTATACGTCATATAAGAACATTATATAATGTATAAAAAGATAAAAATCAAAGGTTTTTTAACTTAAAAAAATAAATATCTTTATTAATACTTATCGTATTGTCAGATGGTGGATCCCAGATATGGTGCCCTTAGGTGCAGTACCCACTAGGGGGCTGTCAAGGGAACAGTGGATCTACCCTGGCATGGTGCAGTATAGTATTTAGCTGTAGATTAGCCCTGCCAAGCATACTTGAGAATGACAACAACGTTTGCAGCGACTGCTCACACCCTTAAGGCTTGTGGCCATTCTACAATCTCACACGTATAAAAATATTTTATACATGTTTAAATCACGTATTTTTTACTTTAAATCTATAAGATTTAAAATTAATATAAAGTGGAGTCTTCTCCACCTTAGTATCCCTAGTAGAGTATTTGCCTAATACTCTACTAAGTAGAGTAGGCTAGTACCCTAGTAGAGTACCAATACTATAGTATATTTTCCACACCCTGGTGATAGGGCTTCTTCGTTCACCTCCGTCAGCTCGTCGATATACCTATCAGGCTCCAACTCCATCTCCAAGCTACCTGATTCGGCATTTGAGTCCAGATCATAGATGGCGGCATCCATGCTGATTATACAGGTTCTACAGATTTGGGAAACTCGGGAGAGGCTATCGACTCATGTACATTCTGTCATCTCGGTGTTGCTACCCAGGCCTCTTCCACATGACAGCAACACCTTTGACACCATTGAGGCACGGGTTCCTGCAGACGAGTGTGAGATCCGTGGCGACAAGGGATGAGATATGTGAGATATGTCTGGCTCCGAGTCCTGAGTCTGACTTCGATTAGTAATCCACTCCATACAGTCAGCCGTTATCGTGAATCACCCCCACCGAGCCCACCACTCACGGCTTTGCAGACTAATCAGTAATCATCATCATGAATGAGCCTAGGAGTTACCGTGTGCGTCGACGGCGTTAGTGCTTTTCTCTCTTCCTACATCATTTTGCCTTTCTATCTTGCCAGCTGCAGTTTCTGATTTCTAACACTACGCCGCTTCTTTCACTCTCACTTCATCATCTCATTACCGTAGTGAGCAGAGACCACCCGAAATCCGGAGCAAAAAGAGGGCCGTTATGACTGCGCCGATCCCGGATCTTCCGATCCTCGCCGAAGACGACTCGATGCTGTCGCGCAGGTTCGGCCGCGAGGTTGCCAACTACTTTTCCGGCAGTCCACTGAATCGAGTCTCTTGGCTGCGCACCGATCACGCCTTCCTCAGCGCCGCCTTCGCCCACCCCAAGGCGTCGTTCCTGCTCTTGGACAATCTGTCGCCGCTGGCCAAGGACTTGACAACTCTGGCTTATGTCGGCAAAAACGACGTGCTACCCCTGACGGGACCGGAACCGTTCAAGAGGTCGGAGGAGGACGTGATCAAGCAGTTCAACTCCAACATCACCCAGCCCCTCATCTTGTTTCTCGGCATTGATGAGAAGAAGAATGGCTTTGAGTACCGCGGATACAAGGGCAATCCCTACTTCGCCGTCGATGTAACGCCGAAAGGCTCCGTTGAAGAGAAAGCCAAGGGCGTGGTAGAAGCCGCCAAGGCGAAGGGTGGCCAGTCTTTTATCCCTGGAACGAGACTCATGACCTTGAATGCTCCCGAAGGTAGCTACTACTTGCTTCATACCTAGAATATGGCACTAATACTATGCAGCTGCAATATATGCTCAGGCGCGTGCGCTTCTCGACTGGAACGCAAGGAACCCCTTCTGCGGCGGATGTGGTCAACGTACTATGAGCATCAACGCCGGGACGAAACGGGTCTGCCCATCCACAGATCTCGCCGACGCCCCCGAAGGCGGCGAGCCCAAGAAGCGCGCAGACTGCCCTACACGGCACGGCATTAGCAACTTGTGCTTCCCGCGGACGGACCCGACAGTCATTATGGCTATCGTCTCGGCCGACGGCACGAAGCTGCTCCTCGGTCGCGGCAAGCGGTATCCGCCGCTCTGGTACAGCACGCTAGCCGGCTTCCTGGAGCCGGGCGAGTCGATCGAAGAGGCGGTGCGCCGCGAGTCGTGGGAGGAGAGCGGCGTCACCGTCGGCCGCGTCGTCATCCACAGCTCGCAGCCCTGGCCGTACCCGGCAAACCTGATGATCGGCGCCATCGGCCAGGCGACGCCCGACGGCGAGACCATCAACCTCGGCAACGATCCGGAGCTTGAAGATGCCAAGTGGTACCCCTTCGGCGAGGTGCGGGAGGCCCTCGACCTCAAAGTATCGTTTGGGGACGAGGCGCCCAAGGGTGCTAAGGAGGGCGGCCTGCGCCTGCCGCCGCAGACGGCGATTGCGAACCGCTTGATCAATGCTGTGCTGGCCGGGTATTTGGGTGCGGCGCCTAAGATTTGAGGCGCGTGGAAGGGGTGGGGAATATGAGACTGGGACGTATAGATATTGCTTGCGAAAATGCGTGGGCCATTATCATCGAGTCAGCTTTGGAGTCACTGGAGGATAGAGACAGCGCATCAGCATTATAGATCTGAATGTATAAAGACATTTGCCATGACAGGCACAGACTCATGCTGTCTCCTGTGCTTACGAGCTTACGTCTCTACTGTTGATCGTCTGGATATGGCGAGGTTCTAAGTGTTAAACATCTCAGAGAAGCCGAAACATGGGATGGCACGCTGGGATCATATCTGCTCGCAATGCCATCACTCAAGGATTGATAATGGTCTGAGCAAGAGGCATTACTACCCACTTTGTCAAGGATGCAGTACGAGCTGGAGCCTACATAGTGCGAAATGTGTAAGAGCCACGTCAGTCGGGCATACATCGAGCATACGTCGTATTCATGGGCGTCCCAAGCGTCAAGCTAATCATACATGTCGTACAGGGTCAATATAGTACAAGAAAGAAGTGACAAAGTTGCAAGGAATCCCGCTCATCAGACGCAGCTCCCCGAGGGCTCCCCTCCCTGGCGGCCAGTAGTGTTGATATCCACCCCGTCTTTCATCTCCTCGCAGAGATTCCACCTTCCCAGCGGCCTCTCCTTCTTCCTGCCCATGAACACGGGGAAATTGTAGAAGCACTCAGGCACAGACCCATTAAGGGGCAGAGTGCTGGCGTTGACGGAGCCCTTGCCATCGGGGTGCGCCCTGGCGCACTTGATGGCGTTCTGGTGCAGCTCCTTGATGTCGAAGCCGCCGTACGTGGCATTCTTCATCGCGTCGACAAGGTCGGGCTTGATCTGCTCGACCCAGGATGCCGTGGTGGTGCGCAGCTTGCTGAACTGCCACAGGCCCGCGCATGCGCCGTCGATCCAGGCTTTGCCCTTGCCGTTGGACTCGCATGTGGTCTGGTTGGCGCCGAGGTCGTAGAAGATGAAGTGGCGGCGCGCCTTTAGCATGGCCATGACTAGGTTCTGCTTCAGATACTTAGCGAGGAGGTCGAGCATCGGCTATTTCGTGAGTGGACGTTAGCGATTGCCCTTTTCGTGACTCCCTCGTCTGCCCGGATTGGTACTGGGGCTCTGGTTTTCAGATGGGGAACGGAGAGCTAACCTGCACGACGCCTTGGATGTTAGATATTAGCCACCGACCGGCGTCGAAATACTTGGCGATGTCATTCCGCCATTCCCCGGTCAGGTTGGGAAGCTCAGACGCCTTCATGCCGGAGCTCTGGTCGCTGCCCGTCATGGCCACATTGAGGATAGCTCGAATACCGTCTATAGCGCTCGTGAACCCCTGTTGCGGCTAGTCAGCGAAAAGGGGGCGGCTTTTGCGGCGTAGAGGACGTCTCACCTGCTCGAGCTGTTGGTTCACAGTCCCCGTGTAGTCACTGTCGTCTTTTCTGAACGTGATGATATACTGCATAATTGAGACACCCATTGTCGCTACTCCGGATGTCACACCCAGAGGCACGAGTTCCAATGCTGCACCAGTAGCGCCAGCCAGTCCGGCCACGGCGATGAAGGTAGCAGACACGATGGCGGCGACGTCCAGGACGTCGTTTTCCTGGCCGTCAAACTGGTTGATGACTATATGAACGTCAGCGGTGTGAGCAAGGTCTGTCCCAGCTGCAATCGTACTCACTCGCGGGGATCTCCAGTGTGTCGGCAATCGTGTTCGTCTGCAACCACTCCGCCACCATGTTGTACATTTCGTAGTGGGTTTGAGCTGCCTGCATGACCCAGTAAAGTTGCGAGACGTTCTTCTGCAGATAGTCGACTGGGTACAAGGTTAGTTATAAATCCAGAAGTAAGAATATAGGAGGCGACTGCAGTGGTCACTTGTACTTACTGCAAGAGTCGTGGGCGCAATTAGCACCACCGAGACTGTTGCACCACATGTCTGACTCGCCTACAGCATAGAGGTCTTCGTCGATGCGGTTGACCCAATCCGTCTCGTTGTTCTTGGTGAGCCAATCGTCGAGAAATCGGCCAACCCCAAGGCCTCCCTTGTCGATATCATTCCAGACTGCGCACTGCGATGCCGCCGTGTCGTTTAGCAGGGCAGAGCATTGCACGGGACCTTTTCGTTCAAACAACGCCAGGGATCGGAATTCCGGCGTGGGCGAGGCCCAGGCCCATGCCGTGAGAGACGACAAGGTGGCAGTGGTGAAAATTCGCTGAGATGGCATGATGGACGGTAGCTTGTAGTTGCAATAAGGGAGCATATATAAGAAACTTGGGGCAAGGTGCAGGCAGAAGCATACAGACCGTTTCAATATAGATAGTCAGGGTATAATTAGGGAGTAGATCAGGAACACCTCCTGGTTGTCCTTCCATCTGGGGTTTATTTATCCAGCAGCCCCTGGTACCGATGGCGTCCATGGCCACGACGCCATCATGACCTCCACACCCCCACAGTCCCAGAGTACTCCATACTCCTCCATACCCCGTATTCTCCACAAAGGGGCCCGGTAGTCTGTCCAGGCTTCACGTGTACCTGGATTTTCGAGGGGCTGACACTCTGCGCCGCCAATGGCGTTGCTCGTATTTTGACAGGTCAAGCCAAAATCTGGGGGACCGATCCCGATTTGGTCGCCACCTTCCACCGAGATCCATATACAGCAACGTCGGGTTACCGATTACGTTAGAAGTGTATCCCCACGTGTCTGACCGAAGCGTATGACCATTGCGCCCACATTCCTCAGGCTCAAGATGTATTTTTTTCTGCCGAAGTCCGCAAGCATCTTGTCATAGAAACCTCCGGTCTGTCGTATACAGAAGGCAATAAGCACGACCCTAGATGTCCTTGCCTCAGATGACGCTATAGCGGCCCATCCCGCTGTCTGCACGAAAATAGGACCACGATGGTATGCATCCGACCACGAACGTACAACCTCACATGGGATCTCAAGTGTTCATCTCATGACGATGTCCGACTGACTTCTGGCCTCTTGAACGACGATGTAGGAAAGGAAGGACTCTTGCCGGGGCTATCCCGATCGCGCGCTCATGTGGAGCTGTCGGTAGACCCTGTGGAAAACATGATCCTTCGATGTAATGCTGGGCCGCACACTAAGCAGGACACGCCGGTCTGGCAGCGCACCAGAACGTCTTCAAGCAAATGGCCCGCGATAGGTTCACCAACAGATCACTTCTACAATGCATCACGAACCGCACGACCAAATAGGGGTTGTACTGTCATTCTCGTTCACGGACTTGGGCGCCGGCCTCCCGCATGTGGAGAAGTTCCAAGTGAGGCGACGATGTTCATCACCCCAATCCTTCCATCCTCCCATTTGTCACCGAGACTCCACAGCTGTGGCATTCATCAACTTAGTCAGTACCGAACATCCAGCAAATCCTGAGCTACCTCTCTGGGACAGTTTGGTGCATAGGTGACTCGATCTGCTGAGCCCGCTGCCGATGCTGCTCTTGCTGTAGAGCTCTTCCTTGCGCTATTTGCGATGAGCCATTTGTCATAGCCCCTTCAACAAATTTGGTACGAGACTAGAGGATCTTGACAGGTAGTACGAGCGGATGCATGGGTGAAGCAGATCATCAGCGGTCCAGGATAGGACGGAATGGACGTGGATTAATCGGAAGAGAGTGGCTGTGATGGACCAGACAGAATGAAATGAGACTTGGCTAACACATCTCCTTCCTTTTATCTTCTTAAAGGCAACTAGTACACCAATTGTAATTTCGAGCTTCCTTGAACCCCTTGTGACTATGGTTATATCGTACGTGGGAGTTATCCCCTTGACTGGTTTTCTGCACCAGCTCACCAAAATTCGGTACTGTACTTGAGGGATCACCTGTGACGGCATCCGGTGCCCCGTAGCCCCTTGTCTGACCACTCAGAGCCTTCTATCTTCGGCTTGGGGTTGTTCCGAGCACAACGATTGGTCTTTACAGTGGTAACGTGACTAGAGGGCAGTCTCGGCCGTACATTACAACTTGGTGCAGAAAACCAGTCAAGGGGATAAGGGTGCTTGACAGAATTTTAGCGTATGATCGACGCAGAGGAAGTTGCTATCCCCAGCCTAAAACTGAAAGACTGAGTCTCGGGGGCCCGAAGCGGTGCCTAAGGCCCGGGTTTCACTTCAAACTCTTTAAGGTTGAGCATGAATAGAGGAAGCTAACACGCCCTGCATCATTGTATGTGTTCGAAGCCTTGCCCGGACCCCCTTCTCATAACAACCGTTCGCTAGCCAAAGGGAAGTTTATTGGATGACTTGGTATAATAGTCACGCCTGAGCACCGAGACCTCGGTGCAAGTAGGGTAATTGAGTCAGCCGGTAATGAGTTGCTCCATTCCCAGGCTCTGTCGGGAACAATCGACTGTTGGAACTAGGACGAAGAGGATATTGCCTTGAAGTCAGCAATCCGTTACTTATTGTGAGCGCCTAGGTAGCGTGGACGATCTTGATATGTTCTAAATACATAGACAGGGGCACCGCAGACAAATTGAGTACCTAAGTCGAGACACATGATGACTCCCATAAGCGGTAAAATTGCCTTATTCGAGGAAGGATTGATCTTGGGGGCTTAGTGCTTCAGCGTTGTGACTCGTGAGCATCAAGCTGCGCCACTCTATGCACCGCGACCACCGAGGCACCTATGTTTTAGACTCAGCCGCAATTACCGTCCCCCTATAAGCAAGAGACACCCCATTTCATTTGCTATCAAAAACAAGTTGGATTGCAGTTGACCTCACCCCGACTATTACTCCACCACAACAGCTGGCCTATCACACCCTGGCCGCAACCATGTTCTCGATAGTGGGTATACTCGCAGACAACAGAAGGGGCTTGACCAAGATAGCACATGGTTGCCTACTTCTGAGCCACCTAGGCCTGGGCATTTCGAGCATCATCGCCTCCAACCAGCGTGAGGACTTCTTCGCGGGTATCCCTCTGGCAAGGAAGCATCTGCCGGGTTTCCTTGGCACCCAGAGGATGGCTGACAGGCAAAACCCCCAGGGATTTTTCGGGTTCATGATTAACTTGAAAATCTGCATTGTTCTCTCGGTTGTCGAGAGGGCCGGGAAGGCGGCCAAGCATCGCGAGGTGCATATGAACTTCTTGGTGGGGTGCGTTGTGGTCATGCTGTTGTTCGCCGGGGGCGATATTGCCGTAGCCCAGATGGCCAGCGCAGCTGGTATAACCTGGGAGTATCTGATGGCCTCCGCCGCTGCGTAAGTTGCCTCTTGGACTGTGTATCGCAGTTAAAACCAGACCCTGGAGATACACAAGGCGCCACTAACCATTGAGCTAACCGTGTGATCATGCAGTGCCCTCATTATCCTTACCGTGGCCTTACGAGTATGGGGATACTGGATTTCGAGAACTGAAAATACCAGCTGCGATGAAGAGGCTAGGCGTCGAGAAAGCCGTGATACGTTGCTCCCTTCGTACGAAGCAGCAGTTGGGTTAGGGGCTCACATGTCCGATGAAAACACAGCGCAGGGTGCTGTGAAGCCTGGCACAAAATTCCAGCTATAGCCGAGACAAAGCGGGCGATGGGGAACATGAGTAGATTATCCGATGCTCACTAAAAGTGAAGCACAGGAAAGGTTATAGGTTAGGGACAACATGGCAATAGTTGACGTGTATATGGTTATGAGAGAGCGCGCAACAGCTCCCTTGTGTTAAAAAAAGCCCTTAGCGCCGCAGAATCCGGCTCTAAGGTTATACTATCGGATGACCTTAGCCTTCTCTATTACGTGGCCCGGATCCTTCCTTTTGAGCCGTCATTCAAACAGCGCTTATCCTGGTGCCCTTTGACCTCATCGCTTGAGGCTTTCTGAGATCTCTATATCATTCTTGATGTCATCATTGCCCTATACCTCTCTCGAGTGTTATTATATGTTCACTTCATCAGCTGCGTGACCTGGTTTGAGATACCGTTTATCAGGTCTTGGCTCGCACTAGAATAGTAGAGGTAGGAAGCATATATTGCCCAAGTATAGTGAGCGTGGATGCTTCTTTTCTATGTATGAGCCGCGAAACAACCCAGAGGGAACTCCAGGCATCAACTCCAGCTTTCCAGTACGCCTGCCTTCTTGACCCCAAGCCCTTGCCCAGATGGTGAACTATGTACTGACTCGATTGGAAGCGCTACTCGTTCGGCCCACAGATCTTAGAGTGCCCTACAAAACCTGGTACCTCTGTCTTGAAGTCCACGCATCTCGAGCAAAAGACCTGATCGCACTCTGCATGGGATTTACACGGTTTATAACATCCGTGATCCTCGACCTTGAACAAGCCTTGTAAGCTCTTGTCCAACTCCTTTGAGTTCTTAGACCAGTCCTCCTCGAAGTCGCCGCTAATCTCCGGTTGACCCAAAGATTCTCCAGTGCCGGAGAAGCTTGACAGTTGCTCCTTCTCCCCGTCGTAAGCATAGTAACCTTTTAGGTCGAACTTCTTGTCTTTTTGGAAGTCTTCGTCAGCATTTGCGAACGACGGGTTACCCAATCGCTGAGAATTGTCTTATCAGTCACTTGCTCGCGTTGTTGCGCGGTCTCATATTACAGACACTGGCTTAGAATTTGCTTACCTTGGTTATCACTGTGTGGTCGCTCTGCTTCGAAGGCGCCGCAGCAGCCAGTTTCATCTCGGTTGTTGTGGCTTGTGGCTCGGATGTGGACAAGTTGTGTAGTATGCAGCACAGAGAAATAGTGTCTATGGTGGATGTTTAGGAACGATAATGCTGACTTTCAGGGCCGATGTGACGGCTTGAAGTTGTCACTTATTATACCACCAACGGTGGCGGAGATACTGCTAAACTTGATACTTTGTCATCATAGGGATAGGATGCGCTTCGGCTGATCCGAAAGGCCATCCGCGAGGAATGATGCGGAGTGGCAAAGCAGTATTCGCATTAGGTTGGCATCTGTCAGCCATCAAGCTGCTTCTAGGCAACTCTCAAACGGGGGCAAGCACGGACTGCCCGTTCGCCGCCTGTCACTGAGTCAATAATAGCTGTTGGTAAGCCTGTTGGTGGTCTCAGCAATGTCAGGATAGAGGAAGCGATGGCATAGGCAAGACCACGTGAACATAGGGGTATCCTTATCAGCCACACAGCGGGATCTGACCCATATTTCACCAGCCACATCCAATGTCACAACTACAGCAGCTGCAGCTACCCCTGCACGCCAAGACTCGAGCTAAGAACATTTGAAATGCTTTCGACATCGATGAAGCTTCTGAAGAACTTTGGCAGTGCAGACTGAAAGCTTCGGCCGTTTCCTCTCGCCAGTCCAGCCCGACGCCCTCTAATTACAACACCGTCGCCCCTCACGAACTTTCCCATTCTCTGAGAAACCAAGCAGAAGCAACAGCCCACCATGGAGTCCGAAGCGGTCAAGACGGAGGTGATCCGCCAAGTCAAGACCCAATACGCCATCGACAATGTGAAGCAACTGATGGAGGTACGCGCGGCACAACAGGCTACCCCGTCCAAACCCGCTGCTCACCCTCGCCGACCGGGCCCCCTTCAAACATCGTCCTCCCCCGACGAATAAACACTGACCTGGCCCGCGCGTATAGAAAATCAACGACCACTGCTTCCAACGGTGCGTACCGAAACCCGGCACCTCCCTGTCGGGCGGCGAGCAGGCCTGCTTCACACAGTGCATGGAGAAGTACATGCTGGCGTGGAACCAGGTCAGCACGACGTACATCAGCCGGTTACAGCGGGAGCAGCAGTAGAATTGCATACACGGAGTGGGGTGTGTTGTATATCATCGACAGGCAGAAGTCGCAGGGGAACATGGAGGATTCTGGGCCCCGGTGACGCCCGGCATTGTATATCATGATCATAGGTGGACGACCGTTGCTCGCGCTGCCTGGAGCAGGGATTTCTCCCCTCTAGGCGACAGCGCTGCGCTGCGGAAGAGCTTGGTGACGACATAGAGTGTACATTATGGCGAGCGAGCATTGCGGCGTATGCTGCTGCTCCGGCCCGGTCAAGGCTGTCTGTAAATGTGTACCAATTCTCAACTTCCGACTTCTGTCCAATACGGGTGGACCCCTATTATTTTACACTCATTGCTATTGTTGGGTTGGACGTTCATATGCGGAGTCCAACTGCGAAGATGTAGCAGTAGCGCACATTACTGGCAAAGCACTCAGGCAGCTAGCTACATTATCACCATGCTCAACAGGCCGAGGAGCCCTACGACCATATGGGCTCGCGTCCTAACCACAAACATCACCGGACATGACAGTCATTGGTTGGCTCGTTATCTGGCTCGTCCTGCGGACCTGATCGATATTGCCGGCCTGCCCGGTCCTGTTCCCCGGGCTGGTTCAGCATACCTGCCCGGTACCGCACACCTGTATGATACTGCAAGTTCGACTGGCTCTGCAGACCTGATGGGCTGTAGTAAACTGGTCCGCCTCTCCCCATGGCCCCCAAGGCGTCGCCGGCGCCTATCCATCTGTTCCATGCGTTGCGCCTTGGAGCCTCTTGCTTCTTCTCACCTTGCTCTGATCAATCGTGCTCTGTCTCAGCACCCAGTTTGCTGCACCCACAGTAAGCGCTCCTGGGTGTGCCGCCTTCACCTCTGCCTTCGCCTCCGCCTCCGCCTGCCGCCGTCTTAGTATCCTCTCATGCCGTCCTAGTTTCCTCTCACGACGGCGTATAGCTCGAGCGGCCTGTTCCGCTGTTTGAGCGGCCTACTTCTCCTTTTGAGCGGCCTGCTTCGCCGTTTGAGCTAGGCCAGCGATGCGTTGATATCCGCTGGGCAAACCTCCTTGCTCCTCGCCAGGTAGGTGTGCCGCCTCCGCCTCCGCCTTCGCCTTTTGCTATCTTAGTTTCTTCTAACGACGGTTCTGAGCTCGAGCGGCCTGTTTCGCCGTTTGAGCTGCGCCAGCGATGGCCCGAACTCCGCTAGACGAACCTCCTTGCTCCCCGGCTTGCTGCCCTCCCTGTCGTCCTCCGCTCACTTCTACCTGTGACCGTCTTTGCTGTTCCACTTGCGGATTGCTCGCTCCTCGTAGCTCTTCTCGTAGCCCTACAGCCTGTTCTTTTGGCAACTGTGGTGGTTCTCGGTGTCCTACTTGTGGTGCTGCTCGCGGGGCCCCTTGCTCCGTCGCCGGGTTTGCTACTTGAAGGCCTGATCGGCGTAGTTGGTATCTCGTTTGGCTCCCGCGCGGCTTCGCTCGTGCACTGCCCTTTGATTTTTCCTTCTTCTTAGCAAGTGGCAACCTAGGCTTCACCTTCCCCTGGAAGCTCTTCGCGATCAGGTTAACTTGCGGTCCGGTGATTACCCTCGCCTGGTCGCGCTGTACGCCTTTCCGTAAGAGCACGTCGTATTCGGTGAGCTGGTGGCGTATATGGGCTCGCACGGCCAGGGTGGCCTTTTCCTCAATCTCTATGGTGCCTGTCCTACCGACCCGTCCGGCCCCTTTCTTCATCGCCCTGCTGATGATGCCGGGCAGAATTGCCTGCCTTGGGGTCTGGGGAAACAGCTTCAGGATGTTCTCTTCGAACTGCTTTGCCAAGGCGGTATCGCGCTTCTCAACCGCGAGCTTGCGGTCAAGCCGTGATGTGATTGCGGCGCGTCTCACGGACGTGGAAATGTGTTTTGGGACGCGGATCCCCAGGTGTACCTTCTCATCCTCGTCCACGACTGCATGCACGGTTTGGTGGGCTTGCTGGGCCATTAGGCGACAATGCCTGGTGATGCACATGTTGCCCTTGGGGACAAAGTCGTAATCCGGCGGCATCGGCGTAGAGTGGTAGACGATCGGTTCCGTCGTCGAGTATAATGGAGTCGAAGCTGAAGTAGTACTGTCCGGAGCGGAACTTCCTGACCTCGCCGACGATCGAGTGATTCTGTCAGTTCGAAGAACAGAGGTGGAACCTTCTAATCTGGTAGTTTGAGTGGCGGGCTCCCCGCGAGACGCGTCTGGTGCCACCGGCATATTGGATGAGTGCGTGTGTGAAGCTGGGGACATTGGTATCTTCTGGCGTTCACGATCTGTGGCCCGGACCGCTCGCGAGTACGGTAGGCCAGCTTCTGTCGTCAATGTCCGGCCGGGCTTGCGCTTTATGATTTATCTGCGGCATCGAAGAGTCGCAAAGCTGAGTGCAACTTCAGACGCGTTTTCAAGAGGATGTCGCCTGGCTTTGAGAACGGAGTTGTATGGCGCGCACGCAATATCGTATGGCAGAGCCGATTCGATCAGTGAGGAATCAATGACAGGAATCGTCTCGTGTTGGGTGAGTGGCCTTGTACAATAGTACCTCATCAGTCGAGGGAGGGTACCTTGAGGGTTTCCTTGTCGCGTGAAGTAGTCCCATCGCGGGGGCCTCGCGGGGTAGATTTGTGCATGTGGTGGTGGGTTCCCCAGGTATCAACGAATTTCATCTCTCGAAGACACTTTAGACCGACACGGAATGACCAGAGGTCGTTCACCAAACTTACATACTTACCTGTTTAAGGTACTTAGGTAAGTACTTGAGGTAGGCACTCGGGAGCGCTGATGTGCATGAGCAGGCTTACCCCTTCGAGCATTACTCTTTTCACAGGAAGTGAGACCTTCAATGTTAAACAACAGATGAACCCATCGTCGACGTCCAGGAGGTGTACAGTAGTGCCGGTTCGATCAGGTGGAATGCACTGTCCATCGCCACGTCTCTCCCTCGAGGTACCAGCATTGAGTCGCGATATCGTCTTACCTTTGTTGCTGATCAACTTGACTCTTTTCGTTCAAAGGAAACGAGTCGATTCCACTTGAAGTAGATGTGAGTTTCAAGTGATTCTAATCGGCAGACCATTGGGAGAAATATCCCCCGGTTTTATGTATACACTAGTCCCGGGTTACGGGAATCGCCGCTATGCATGCATGTGCCTTGTGGTAGCGGTATCCAGAATAAGGACCAGGGTCACGACAGGTGGCTATTGGTCTGTATTCTGGAAGTTGCTTGACTGAAAGAAGGGATGGGTGGTGTCCCCATCCCAGAAGTAGCTATCATCCCAGTTGGGTACAAATCAGGTACAAACGGGTACTAGTTGGGCTCCAAGGTACCTTGTATCCTGGTCCGTGACCCATCCGTCATTGTGGCTGGAAAATGGGTTGAGGAGCCACATGCAGGCGCGGACTACCCGGGCATCTCTTCAACGGCAGCAGCCGTTTAAAGTGGACATTCGTTGTTCCGCATAGTCTCTTCTAAGGTTAGTAGATGCGACATTCGCTCGTCACCCGCGGGCAAAAGGGGACCCGTTGCTATGATGTAATGCATATAGCCATTTCTAAGCATGCCCCCTTACGAATTGGGCCGATAGCGACTTGATAAAACTCGTGACGCTGGCCCAAGGCAGGCATTGTGTCGTTCTATAGTTCTGATTCCAGACAAAAAGAAGAGACCGCTACTGCAATCTGAAGAAATCCGTTGACGACTCGACACCTGAAGGCCGGAATAGAAGCAAGAACAGCATCAAGATGGTGGCAAACGAGAAGACCGCCACCGCGCACCATTCGTTGCCTGAACCTCGCAAGGAGACACCAGACCCCCAAAAGCAGGCAGAGAAACATGGCATCGAGAACAAGGCAGCCAGCGGCGTCCCGTTCTTCACGCCTGCGCAGGACCCGCCAGCGGGGACTGCAGTCACGCCTCAGCCAGATGGCAAGCCCGTCCCGAAGCTCTTCACGCCCCTGAAGATCCGCGGCGTGACCCTCCAGAACCGCATAATGGTGTCTCCCCTGTGTCAGTACTCGGCGGATAACGGTTTTCACACGCTCTGGCACACCACACACTTGGGCGGTATCGTCCAACGCGGTGTAAGTTCCTCCTCCTCGTGACCACCCACGAAGGTCAAGCTGCTAAACCAATACCTATAAGCCTGGTATCACAATAGTCGAGGCCACGGCCGTGCAAGCCCGCGGCCGCATCACGCCACAGGACTCAGGCCTCTGGCTCGACGAGCAGATCGAGCCCATGAAGGCGCACACCCAGTTCGCGCACTCCCAAGGCCAGAAGATCGGCATCCAGCTCGCGCACGCGGGCCGCAAAGCCTCGACCGTCGCGCCCTGGCTGAGCGCCGCCGCCACGGCCACCGCCGACGTGGGCGGCTGGCCCGACGACGTCGTGGCGCCCAGCGCCGTGGCCTACAGCGAACAGCTCCCGCAGCCGCGCGCTATGTCGCTGTCCGAGATCCAGCAGCTCAAGGCCGACTTCGCGGCCGCGGGGCGCCGCGCCGTCTCCGCCGGTTTCGACGTCATCGAGCTGCACGCGGCGCACGGCTACCTGCTGCACAGCTTCCTGTCGCCGGCGAGCAACCGCCGCGACGATGCGTACGGCGGGAGCTTCGAGAACCGGGTGCGCCTGACGCTCGAGCTGGTGGACGAGCTGCGCGGGGTCATGCCCGAGGATATGCCCCTTTTTGTGCGCGTGAGCGCGACGGACTGGCTGGAGGACGCGGGCGATTACGAGGGCGAGAGCTGGAAGGTGAGCGATACGGTGCGCTTGGCTTCGCTGCTGGCGGACCGGGGCGTGGATCTGCTGGATGTGTCGAGTGGTGGGAACCACCCGCAGCAGAAGATCAAGTCGGGCCCTGGATACCAGGCTCCCTTTTCCAAAGCTATCAAGAAGGAGATTGGCGACAAGATGCTGGTAGCGACCGTGGGCAGCATCACTAACGGGAAGCTCGCTGAGGAATTGTTGGTTGGTGGGAAGGGAGACGATGACACGCCGTTGGATGTTGCGGCTGCGGGTCGCATGTTCCAGAAGAATCCTGGTCTGGCCTGGTCCTGGGCTGATGATGTGAGTGGTCACCTGCAATATCCCTGCGAACCCTGTGGTGTAATGCCTTGATGTGACTGACATGATCGTCTCTAGCTGGGCGCTTCCATCTACGTGGCGAACCAGATCGGTTGGGGATTTGGCGGCAGAGGAACGAGGAAAGGCCACTAAGGGCTTCTTGACCATCGTGCCATGCGATCGGTACTATACCTACGCACAGCCATATGCCCTCAGGGGGGAAGGCGTAACGGCTACGGAAAGTGATCCTTCGCGAGACCACCGCACATTTCTTTAGAGATACACCAATGCTTCATGCTTTCATAGACAGATCATAGACCTCCCAATTGACAGATCACCGTCAACAAGCTTGGTTTTTTGGGTTTTAGGTACTGTTCCATGTTGTATGGTATAGTACAAGCCTCTAGGTCAGCGCAATTCTCCGGACGGAACAGACGCTGTGACAGCTTCACACATGCTCGCGCAATCGACGACCATCCCTAGTTGCCGTGAGAGTCAGACACCCTTGGTGGTGTTTCATCAAGGCATCGTGATTGGCGGGGGAGTAACTTAACTTGGGCTAACATTAGGTGAAAGAGTGCATAGAACGGGCACCGTAGTTCCTGTTTCTAGGTCGTCGACGACATGACCAACACTATTTTAAAGTCCGTTCTAAACGGTCACTAGTTGACCACATATGTCACTGGCCCATTTGCAAGCTTCTATGCGCTTCCTTATCTGACACAACAGAAATTCAGCTAACAGAATTGCAGGTAATCCGCTACACCGGTCTTCTCAAATATCTCACTGATTGCCGTCCTCATTCCTACTCATGGAAAGACTTTGGGTTTTTTCCCGTACTCTAGATGGATATGATAGGCCCGGCCCCGAAGACGCTCGTTGTCGATGGCGTTCTCCTCATGTGGAAAAGTACCAATTTCAAAGAGAGGCAGCAGGAGAGGAAAGAATTCAAGGGGTCGGTGTTCTAATTCTTGACGGGGTCCTGACATCGAGGCACCCAAGGCATCCACCGGGAAGTTCACGCAACGCGGTATTGAAACCAACGCAGAGGCTGCAATGCTCGAGTACACCGACGGCGAGGTAGATGGAGGGAAAATTAATGACAGAACTATAATGCGCGTCGTTAGGGTAGACGGACGCAGTGGCGGACCAGGAGATGAGGGTGATGACAATACTTGATGAGAAGTATATGAGTGCCCAGCAACTCTAATAAGCGTAGTAACCTGGCTGAACTATCATACAGGGCTGAAGGGGCACGTAGCAAAACAAAAGCGAGACTGTCACCAAATGAGGTGGAAGCTGCCGGGTGCGAGTTGGCCCAGTGATGCAGTACCTGAATACAGCGGAGGCACACTGGAGATGTAGGCGTCGGCGACAAGACTCATAATTGTTCCAACAGTCATCGGGAGCAGTGCACGGGGCGGCAGAGGGTATATGTATAAAAACAAAACGAAAATTTCAAATGCACCGGACCACCATCTGGAGTATTGGTATACCAATCTGCTTGAGGAAAACCAACTGGTTTTTCGGAGGTAGCCACTAACACTTAACATGTAACAAACAAGGTATCTTTATTTTTGTCGAATCACATTCTCAGGACGGGGCAGGTTCAAGCCTGGGCGGACGGTTATTGTTCTTTTTGTCTTTATATCTTTTTCCTTCGCCATGTTCCCCGATGCAAATATCTAGCAGTCATGGCAGCCAGCCCGTTTACGTACGCCTAGAAAATCGGACTAAGCCGCACTCCTTTTGGTCAGCTGTAGATTTGATTCTCGCTCAGGGTATTGAGTGATTTCTTTTGTTTCATCATGATTCATGCTTAGACTTTTCCTGAGGACCTGCAGTCCTAGCCAATCTGGCGCGGTTTGATCACTGCCTCTGCCATACATCGGACAGTCAAGTTCGCGTTGCCATCATGTGTCCGGTGCCTTTGGCAGTCTTGGTTGAGTCTTCGCCACCCAGTGAAGACTCCCCGCCACGAGTATATATCACTACATTCTGGCTCGTATTCAGTCCAGACCTTTCTTAGCCTCTTCCGCCTCGCGTTTACGCGCCAGGTATCTCTCCTTGGCACTCGAGACATCCGCCTCGGTCTTGCGGCTCTTGCTCGCGCGTTCGACCTTCTGCCTCTCCTCCTCTTCTTCTTCCAAAGACCTCTTCAGGGACTGTTCCAATTGCGCCTCCATCATGCGCGATTGTCTCTCGCGCATAGCCGGCTTGCCACCGCCCGCGCCAACGAATCCGCGAGACGGGTCCCGGTCATTTTGACGATCCGGCTCTCTCCTCGTGTCTCTGGACGGGTCTGACTTCTTCTTCGCGCCGAGATTGAGACCGCCCTTCAGCAGCTCGCGCTTGTCCACGACCTGGCCGTCGTCGTTGATGGTGATGGAGCCCCCCTTCTGATTGATTTCTCGCGCCACGTCCGCATCCGTCTTTGACGCCTCCTCTTTCGCGTCCTCCTCACCCTTCGGTCCAGGTCCAGCCTTGGCGCGTTCGTCTGCAGCCTTCACGACCTCAGCATGCCGCTGCTCGCCCCTCTCCAGAAGATCCTTGTAGAACGCAGTCATGCCGCCGCCCTTGTTCTTCTTCGCCTCGGCTTCTTCCCGCAGGCGCTCCTCCTCCTCGATGCACCGGTTCTCCTCCTGCTGCTTCTTGTAGGCCTCCGTGACGAACTTCTCCTTGTCCGCGTACTCCTCGCCCTCCTCCTCCCGCTCGCGCGCGATCTTCTTCTCCTCGGCGATCAGCGCGTCGCGCTTCCGTACCGCGGCCGAAGCCAGCAGGTTCTTCATGTACTTGGGTTTGCGCTCGACGTCCTCTTGTGTGACTTTCTTCTCCGGCTTTAGGGAGTCGTAGACCGCGTCGTAATCGTATATGGAGGGATCCAGCACTTCTGCGGCTTCTCGGTGTTTGCGCGACTCTAGAGAGCTTGACAGGTCTCCGTACATCGACATCTGTGACTTCTTGGATTTGCTGGTCGGTGGCTGGTTGGGCGGGCCATTTTTCAAATTGAAGGGGGGTTTCTTGCTCGTTGGCGCGCCCGGTGGTCTTGTCGAGAAGTCGTCGTCGAGCTCTGATATCGCGGTAGCCCGGGGGCCGTTGCGTGGACCAGTCGCGTCGTCGTCCGAATCGTCCTCGCCGCCGAACAGTGGTTTCCGCTTCGGCGGAGCGGGCTTTGAGGCGCCAGGCTTCTTGGCCACATTGAGACCGAACGACAGGCCTGGCTTGCTCATCATGGGATTACTGAGCCGTCGCGGATGTCCTGGTATTAAGAATGCGATTGAGTAGGTGCTTGACGTCTGAGTTGAGCTTCAGTTGGAGAAGCGGCGTAAGACTAGGTACCTAGCACCAGCCACAAGCTGCGGGCGATACAAGGGTCTGAAAAGGAATTCGGGGATAAGATTAGATAGGATCTAGTATCGATCTTATCGCATCCATGTCTAGGCCACTCTAATTTTCAACGTCATCGCCTATCCTGACTGTCGACTCGTCCAGACTCGCCAGAGTACAAACACACAAAAATGATACCGCGATGACGACCGCGCCGCCGTCGCCCAAGAGGCGACACATACTGTCGTCAATCAACCCCGAATCTTGGTCAGCATCACCGAAACCCGAGACCGATGGCATGAAATCCGAAGGCCCTCCCGAAGAACCACTCGATGCAGAGCCGAAGACGACAGCGGAGGCTACAGAAAAGAAGACCTCCAAGTTCCGCTTCAAGTCGAAACACTCGCGCTCGCACCGATCCTCTCGACACCGCGACCGCGATTATGAACAGGATGCAGAAAGAGACAAGGGCAGAGACGGCGACCCCGAACCATCCTCCTCCCATCGCCACCACCGACACAGACACCACCACCACCGGCACAAGCGGCGGCGGACGCGCTCCCGCTCGCCCACCCCACCCAACCCGTACGACCCGCCACTTCTCGACTCGGACGCCGCCTTCCGCGAGTCGCTCTTCGACGCCATGGCCGACGACGAGGGCGCCGCGTACTGGGAGGGCGTGTACGGGCAGCCGATCCACGTGTACAGCCAAGCCCGGCCAAGCGCCTCCAGCAACAATAACAACCACAACCCCGAAAGCGGCGGCGACAAGGACGGGCTGGCACACATGGACGACGACGAGTACGCCGCGTACGTGCGCCAGAACATGTGGGAGAAGACGCACCAGGGCCTGCTGGAGGAGCGCGCGCGCCGCGAGGAGAAGAAGCGGCAGCGAGCCGAGAAGGAGTCCGAGGCCGCGCGGTTGACGCGCGAGATGGAGCGCAGTCTGCGGCGCGGCGAGGAGAGGCGGCGGAAGCGCAGCTGGAAGGGGCGCTGGGAGGCGTATCTGCAGGCCTGGACGGTGTGGGACGGCGCGCTCGAGGGCATGGCGTGGCCGGTGGAGAGCGGGCGGCGCGAGGATGTCGGCTCTGCTGCCGTCAGGGACTTCTTCGTCATGGGGATCGATCCTGTAGATGTTGGCGAGGCGGAACTCCTGGCAAGGCTGAAGGAGGAGCGCGTTAGGTGGCATCCGGACAAGATACAGCAGCGGTTGGGTGGGAAGGTTGACGAGGCCGTCATGAGAGATGTCACGGCTGTCTTTCAGATCGTGGACAAGTTGTGGTCAGATACCCGCTCTAAAGCACATTGACGAGATTTTACGTTTGAAAGATCGGAATGCATGGCGTACGTCGCGTGAATATTGTGAGGACTCTAATATGACTGCTACATTTGATCTTAGCAAGTGATCACGATGAACACGAATTCTGCTTGGGAGTCTACCTAGGTAGTGAGCGTCCTGCAGAGCAGCTTCGGCGTCTCCTGCCATGGGGAGGAAGTCAGGCGGAGGAAGGTGCTTCTCGCAGGGCAGCTCCCCAGATGTACGATCCCACGTTGCGTGGACACGACAGCCTACGGTGGTATGTTCGAATAAAGCCCAATTCCTGCCGAACGAATTGTATGCCTGATGATGGGCACTCTGGCTGACTCCATTCGGATGCATGCTGGGCTACTGCCGAGTACACCACAAGCAAGATACGCTTCTCCCTCCACGCTGCAGAGCGATACACAGCAGAGTACGCAGAACAGCACAGAGTAGATACGCAGCCCAGCAAAGGGTACGCATCACAGAGTACCGTAGTCATCACATCACAGCAAAATCCAAGATCTTCCTCATGTCGCCGCCCAAGGCGACGAGCACAACGAAAACAAAGTGTGGTGGGAAAGAAACAGCAAAAATTCCAGTCGGAGAGATGCCGAAGCACGCCTCTAGACAGTCAGCTCCGCGATGTGCAATGCAGGCCTCCTGTCTAGCCAGAGGGTTTTTTTGAGCGCCCCCGGGCCGACCAAGGTAAGTTTAACCAAAAAGGAAAAGGGAAGAGAAAGAGGGGAGGGAGGCCAGATATTTATGTGTTTCTAGGAGTGGGGCGGGGTGCTGGCTGATTGTGCGCCTGCAGTTGGAGCGCAGCTGGTGCTGGGCAGCTACCACGATGCGCCATTGTGCTGATTGGGGCAGGCACTGATTGATTGGTTGGGTCCCAAGCGTCCATTGTTCATTATCAGTTCATTTGATTTGGGTGAATGGGTTGTTCTCGCGGTTTCAATTCATTCATTCAAGTGGGTGCATCGTGTACTACAGTAGTACCACCCATTGTGACCATGACCAAGCCTGGTATCAGCCAGCACCGTTTGGGGTGACCGGCTCCCCTGACGTCTTTCCCAGATTATTCACGGACTCCAGGAGTAAGTCTCTCATATCCTTCGGCTCTCCTCGGATGTAAGGCCTCATGACTTGCACAGCAGAGCTGGGCTCCCTTCCTTCCACTCTCAATCGACGTATTCTGAGATAGTCATTCCCGAAACCCAAGTCATTCCCGTACCCCATTCCTCGAGGACCTATGGAGAAGTAGATAGAGTCATCGCCGTTCCGCCACCAAAACCCGAAACGAGGTTCCCGTTTGTCCTCGTCGCCCTCTTCCTTCGGCTGTTCTAGATGTCTTGAGAAGTGTGACCATTTCCAGTTTCCGTCCTTCTCATCCGGGCCGTACGGTTGCCGCTTAATGTGAGTGCCGGGATCATACTGTGTGTCTTCAATGAATATTTGCTGGATGTTTCCTGAAGAATCCTCCACCTTGAACCACAATGGACCGAGGATCTGCTGCCGCCGGTCCACGTTGCGTAGATTGTCCATTTCTTGTGGGAGCTCCCTGTCATCAATGCCGCTGGCACGGGCCTGGTGCCGGTCCCATTCCCATCGTAGGAATTCCTCTACAATCTCTCGTTCAGGCGCGACGGCTTGCGGCAGTAATGGATCAAGCCCGTTTTGTTCCCTCAGCCGGCCTGGGACATGTGCTCGCTCCTTCAAGGCCCCCAACAGGGTCTGTGCTCCTTTGATTGCGAGTATGCGTTCGAGCTGTTTAGGAATACAACCTGATGGGACGGAAGCAACATGTTGTGTTAGATATTGGCTTTCTTCGTTTGTGTTCTTGTCGTTGCCGTCTTTTGCTCCCCCAAGGGCTTCCACTGTCACACCAGTGCTCAATATGTGGTCGTGGAGAAGCGTGTGGTGAAAGGGGTATGGCCCGTCGAATTCGGGGAGCATGGAAGGATGCAAATACAGTCCACCGTACCTCGCACCGCGTATCAGAGCGGGTGGGACTGATCGGAAGGGGAAGGCAGCGATGATCAAATCAAACGCGGGGGGCATCTGTCACGATTAGTCTCCCCGTCCCAATGCTCTTGGAAGTAGAAACTTACGTTCCGTTCCTGTCCCCTGTACCGAACGTGAGTACGCAAGCCCAGCTGAGAAGCCAGCAACTTGATCGGCGCTGTATCTATGTTAGAACGCCATCCGATCGCCAGTGATATTCGAAGACAACCCACGACCCTGTGCCGACTGGTCTGCTAAGTACGGAGGTGTCTCCTGCTCGAAGGCCACCTCGATCGAGTGGAACAAGTAGGGGAGGCCAATGACACGGTGAGGTCGTTCTTGCGTCTTGGTGTAGTACAAGGCTGCAAGAGAAGCGCAACTGAATTCGTCCCGGCCGCAGAACAGAACTCGCATGCGCGTACCATCAGTCACCTTGTCTCGCGACTCTCGCCGGTGTGGCCGACTGAGGTTGCGGGTTTGCGCGCCGCATATTGCAGCCACTGCCCGCCACGGGGCTCGTAGCTTCGTGGCGAGTAGAGACATGTTGGGCTCGATGATGTCCTCAAGTAGCCGTCCAGATCGTGGGTGGTATGAGCTCTCACTTTCAGTCAGGTAGCCCACATTGAGACTGATGGCTCAGTGTGAAGCTGGATGGGAGAGGGGAAGCGAGTTGGATCGTGAGAGACTGACGCTTCTGCTCGGCCGTGACACCGCTTGCTTTCTTTTTCTATCCCCTGCGTTTCTGATTGGCGAGATGGAGGGCTATCGGAGAGAAGGGACCTCGGGAGTCCAGGGGACAGCTGAAGTTTCTGCAGACTGTCTCCTCATTATGGTCGGCACAGAGAATAGCGACGTTACGATGTCGACGCTGCGTGCCGTCTCTGTGTGCTCTTGGGCATAAGCCGTATGTGCCGAAGCTTCATCCATAGGTGTTCATGCTGCCTAGACCACGTCGCCGCAGCTGAGAAAGAGTGGCGCATGGGATAATGTCTCAGGTGGTCATCATCAAATTGAAATGTCACCTACATGCGCCGATGATGCGTGGGCTGCGTTGAAGCAACGAGTGCTGGAGTTGACGCCGTCACCCCCTTGGTCGGGAGTCGTCAGCAGCTTGTTGGGAAGCCAAGCTACAGCCAAATGTTCCTTCCTCCTTGAGTTGAAACAGGAAGCTTTTGGTTTACAGTACACGTCTAAAAAGGGGTCGCGACTGCACATATCATCTACACCTGCCCATGAGGGTTGTGTTACCAAGATATGGAGAAGGAACAACAGGGGATAGGGCAAGTGCTTCAAAACCAACGTCTATGGCATACATATTGGCATGTGTAAGCCACTGCAGTACCATATTGTATAGATCAGCTTGACTGGCTTTCTTCTGAACAATCTACTCCACGATATCTCACTCATAAGTTAATCGTCAATAATAGGCTTTCGAGTTTTGCACATACAGGCCGCCAGCCTCCAGGGAGTCTGCCCTCGGGGTCGTCTCACACCTCGAATTGTGACAAATCTTGGCAGGCTCCGATCTCCAATGGCATCAATATTGAAACGTAGCCAAATCTCCCGTCATCCAATCCAACGCTAGCTCATTACTTCAGTCACTACAAGTTGAGCTTGTCGTAGACCGCTTCGGAATCATGATCTAGGTCTAGGCAGATCAGGTGGAAAGACGCAGCAGCAGGCGCCCATGGGCAACCCGGAACGGGACTGCCACCTCATTGCAATCAGTGGCAAACAGGTCCCGTGTCCCACGAAACTGATCGCATCTCGGATGACAGCCATTTCTGTTTTTGTTTGACCTGACGTGAGTTTGAGGGGCGGTGAATAAGGCTGCCAACACATTGACGTGTCTAGTCCGTTTGCCAGCAGACAATTTAGGTGCTACCATGGGTTTCCGCATCGACAAACGTCAGAAGGTAAACGGGATGGTGGAGTAATAGCGGTACGATCTACACGTGAAGCTATCTACTGGAGTAAAGCGGTGAGCTTTCCTTTCTAGAAGCCATGCGTCCAACCTCCCCTCCTATCTCAGTCAATGCGGCTGGCAAACAAACACTTTACAGACGCTCCGTTGTCCAGTGTGCCTGACGATCTTGCATGCGTCCCTTCCCGAGAATAACTCATCCAGTCGGATACCTGACCACGACAAGTGTGCTTCTCAGGATGTTGCTACGTCCCGATCAAGCACGGAAAGCCGCGTCTATGAGAGCCTGCCCCCCCTGCTCCACATGGCCAGCCGGTGAGACTATTGATGACGGTAATCATGGTGCCCAGTCTCCATATTGATGTCTCCTTCCGTCGGATACCGGATGATACCTATCACGATGCGGCAGCATCCCGACCAGGTTCGGAACGTCGCATCTGTCCAGCGTTGCTCACCGCAATGCTTGTGGGGGCAACTTGCAGCGGCAAACCATTTCGGGTATTGCATGTGTTGTCTCCTCCAGGCAAGCAGAATTGGTGCCGCCAAATGCTCTACACGTCAGTACCAGCAGAACCCCTTTTCTGATATGAAAGTGACGTCCACGAGAGAAGCCTAGAGGTCAGGAAGCTGCCTACATATATGGGTTACTTCTGTCTATCCCAGTCGACATATCTCAGACACCAGAAGTTCTCACTTCATCACATCCACATCGACACGGAACCTTCAACTCTTCTTACGAACACTTTGTTCACTTGACTTCAACCATTCAAACTACCAAGCCTCGAACTCCTTCCAGCATCACTCATCAAGATGGGAAAGAACGAGATTATCCAAGTCTGACGCCAGCCGCGTCCAGTTCACTCAGGTATGAGCTCAACCTTCACCCCTAACTCTTTTCCTCTCGTCCGTTCATTGTTGGCTAACATCTCGTGTGACGCCAGGCCACTGGCGGCGGCAACATGTCGTCCGGCGGCTTCGCAGCCCGCGCTCAGGCCGCTGGTGACCGCAATGCCAACACCAATGCCGGCTCTGGCCGCGTGTCCTACGCCGGCCCGCAGTCCGGAGGAGCTGGCGCCGACTCGGGAAACCAGCAGACGTGCACCGGCTCCGGCAAGAAGTGAGGATGGGTTCGTCAGGGGCTGGTGCAGCTCGCCAGACATCGCTTGCTGGAGCATAGAGGGGAAGCTTGGATACTGGAGTACAGAAAAGACAGTTTGGATTGCTTGGTCACATTTAACTCAGCTGTTGGGTGCTACCACGGGTTTCAGCTTGACATCACACGTAGCTAGCTTGTACACTCACTCAATGCCAAGTATCTGACTGCAGAACCTTTTTGACTTGTTATACCGTTCGCTGGTGACTGTAGTGGAAGTCACTCTCGCCGCAGTCCTCGTGTCTTGTCGGCTGAGCCAACACTCAAGTAAGTCTCGGTGACCATGTCACTGAGGTCACCGCTTTGCTGTAGCTGCGCAAGGGAAACGGACGAGTGGTTCAGAGCGCGTCTAGTAGAAATACAATGTCGTGATAATAGAAGAGAGAGAATTCGTGCAATTACTTGCCTCAAATGGCATTCAGCAGCGACGTTCACCAATGAGATGCCTTGTGGGCCTTCCGGGGCGACCTCACCAATAGACAGTGCGCTTCATATTCTCCTGATGGCTAACCGGCGAGACACCAAATCACGATGAGACTCTGGGTTAAGTATAATCCTTCCGTAAGGGACATGGAACGTCTACAGGTTCCATACGTAGCAACGATCGCATCTTGGAGCCCAGTGAATGCGATGCCTCAGTCACAGCTCAAGGATGTCAGACACGCCATCCGAGCAAGTCGAGAGCACCAATTATCGCTGGGATCCAATACATCATTGGACAAACAAGTGCTGAACGGGGGCCATTTTCAAGCCATCGATGAGCGTTCTGGTCGGGCCAGAGCTGAAACGCATTCGGCAGTGAGGTTCATCCCCTCGAAAGCCGACCAAACATTAGAGCTTCGAGGGTGTACGATGAATCTAGATGCCGAAAAGATGGGTTTCGAACGAAAGAGACTGGTCCTCGACTTCGTGTCAGAACGCAAATGTGCGGTAATCATCCGTCTGTATCACGGGCTGGACCTATGATTCTCAACGGCTAGCCCGGGAGACTGCATGTGTGTGAATGCAGGATCGCGCATAGCGCCAGGCGATGGCTCACACGTGGTGCCGTGTATCTCGTTCCTGTGTATCCTGTGCGGCTGGGGAACCTTCAGCGACAGCCAGCCAGTCATTGCGATGGGACGCTTCAGGATTCAGGATAAGAACACAGCCCCTCTCGAAGGATCGCTCCTGTGAGTCGGTATATATTTCCTGCTCGTACCTCGTCGTTGGGCAGATTAAGCTGGCTCGCAGCATTCCACCGCCTATGTGGGCGCACATGCGAAATCATCAAGAAACACGCTGTCGATGATTGTAGCATCTGGACAGATCCGTTGCAGCCGCTCCCCCTAGCTGTCCCAGAACGATACTTAGACGGGAGGATTTCCCCTTGTGAGTCGACACAACCGAAGCCCAACATGGACATAAACGAGAAGATCCGCACCATGCCGGCGGAGCAATACGACATCGAGGAAGACGAGATGAACGCCTTCCGGGACGCGCCGGCCTTCGACCTCGCCCTAGTCCGCAACGAGTTCGAGAAGACGCAGCTGCAGTGCTGGAACATCCTCAAGATGCACGCGCAGAGCTACGACCCCATGGAGGACTTCCAGTCGAAGCCCGGCACGCGGTGGGTGTGGAGCACGGGCTCCGAGTTCGACCCGTCGGCGCCCAACCTGTACAACATCAGGCTGTGGATGCGCAAGAGCAACTACACCGAACTTGTACGGCGGAACCCCGACAGGGCTATGCCAAAGGACGCTGAGTTGAAGGTCCTGGCCTGCTTTACGTTGGATGAGGTAAGGGAGATCTGCTCCGACCTCACCGCGGCTGTCAAGAGGTGGACTGCCCATGCTGTGGATCTGCCCGAGAAGTTCGGCTACCCCATCAGTACAAGTGAGCCTGATTATGTCGATTTCAGGTTTTCTCGAAGTAAGATACCACCCTTTTCCTCCTTACGGAGAGTTGAACTGAAGGGTTTCCAGCCGGCAACCCCTTTCCTGGCTCCTGAGTTGGTGACCTCGATGGCGCCTCACGCTCAGGGAGAGTCCGGGCCAACAGGTGAGGTGTTGACTCGCAAGTAACGCGGGATTTGGCCGCGCGCGAGTGGGTTAGTGGAGTGTATGAGGATCTTTGGCCGTGATCGCGTTGGGCGCCGAGGTGGATGAGAGCTGCGGTTGCTGATTGCCCAGTCTCGTAGAGTATTAGTCGTACCATTAACCAGTGCGCGAAAGAGTTGCAGGAAAGAAAATACATTTCCACGCGGGAACAAAAGCTAGGAATTGCGGAACTTTACCAAAATGATCTCAGTGTAGTGAAAGCCCCTAATTTCCCATCCAGGGCAAAACCTAGAGAGTAATCCCTGAAGAGCTTTGTCCATGACGAGCATCCATCAAGAAACGCCCGACAGCTATTTGACCACAGTGACGCGACCACACAGTTCTGCACATCGACGAAACGACCGTAGGGAATCAAGATGATCTATTATTGTCAGAAAAGGAGCTTCTATCTCAAATTTCGACCTCTTCAATATCAAATCGCCCACCACATCATGGCCCCAAATGGGGACCATGCAGCATCCTCGGTGTCCCCTTGGGCCTGTGCTAGATCTGCCGAACCAAGTGATGCGCCCATGACACAGGGGCAAGGCCAGGAACCAGAGATTCGATGCGCTTGCTTCCATCAGACGTACGATAATCAGGTCACTCATCACTGATGACAAGAGGATAGTCCTGATGAATCTTGCCTAGATAGGAGGTACGGAGTTATCGGGAAGACAGACCTATATGCACCGAACGACAAATGCCAGTCCCCAACGCCTGAACAGGATGCATGGGAAGTCAAGACCCAAGACCTCAAGAGTTCACCCTCATCATCCAACCATATCCATGAAATAAATGCATGTGGACTCTCGCTCATCACCTTTTCACCCTATTCTTTCGCTATACTACATCAGGCCAAAGCATTATTCCACAATATCGGTTGTGGTCCATTTGTTTCGCGGGCTCTCAGTACCGGAGTCATTTGGCGAGAGCGACAGATCAGACACGCCCACCAGAGGATGTGGCAGGGGTGGAATTAGGGTCATGATACCGGCGCATCATAGCCGAATCATTGGTGTCGGGTGTCGACGCTTACTGGCTCTGCTGTAAAACCCGTTGCACCAGCTGGATGTCTTCGATAACCTCGTTGAAGACGCGAGTTACAGAAGAGAGCACCTTCATCCTGTTATGCTCTCCTCTACTTCGCCAGATCTCCGACATCAACTCGCGGTTGATCTGCTCAAGCTGCTCAATCGTGCAGCCGGAGGTACGCTTGGTGAGCGCATCCAAAAGCAAGTCGGCCGAAGTGTCATCCAGCTCGACCTGCTGCGAAAGGCGCTGGGACTGCGACTGCTCGTCTGGGGTCGGGTCATTCAGCAAGTTCGCCATGCTAGGTGCATGTGACGATCTGGCACCAGCTGGGGAAGCCTGACTGTGCGAGCTATGTGAAAGCCCAGGCTGTTGTATATATCCCCGCATGATGCCATGGGCCTGAGAGTGAGGCCACTGCTCGTCGCTCGACGTCGTTTGACTGGCACCAGGAATCGGCTGGGTATCGGGAATGTTCTCAACGGGGCTGGACTGATCATGGTGGACACCGTTGGTGGCCTGCGTGCTAAAGTTGGAGGAGCGATTGGAAGGATCTGAGGTCTTGGTGGTTGATGCGTCGTTTAGCAATGCCGATGGAGACACCCCTAGCGGGAGTGGTTGCACAGCCGATACCTGCGATATCGGGATCGAGCCGCCAGTGGTGGCTCTAGTGGACGTGTCTAGAGACCGTGGCTGCATGGGGGGCCATTGCGAAGGTGGCTGCATTGGTGACTTATCAACATCAGTCATTGGATAATCCTCACCCGGGGCTCGAGATGGGACAGATGTCCCATTGGTGTCGGCATGTGCTGACGAGTCCGCTCCTGTGCCGTTCGCGAGGTCTCCAATGACCTGGAACTGGGCGGTTGTCGTGTGCAGACCTTTCTGCGAGGGGCCTTCACCGTTGCCAGTGTCAGACTGGACCACGACTGACTGCATCGCCTTCCTTTTGCGAGCGCGCTCTGTTTTCTGAGCCTTACGCGCCTGGTCAACCTGATAGAGCCGCTCCCAGTCGATATCCATCGCTCTGAACTTTTCGTCGATGTCCGTAACATCAACTTCGACATTAGCCAAAAGTTCACTGGCCTTGAGCCAACGGGCCCGGTCGCCAATGTTTCCGGCATCCTTCTCTAGAGCCCGAACGTCCTTGAGGAATTCGAACGGTCGAGTGTAATAACCGTTGGCAAGTCTTGTCTCCATCGTGCCCACTTCTAGATTATAGAAGAACTTGCCCGTCTCTGAGGAACGAATACCGTAGGTACCCTCGTCGTCCTTGGCGATCTCAAATGGACGCTGTGGGGCATCTGCCACGTCTGGTCTGACGAAGTTGGGCTCTGCTTCGTCTAGCAAATACTGGTATTGAGACTCGGGGATGACAGGCTGCCGAAACTTCTGGTACTTTTTGGAGATCTGATCCATAATGGGCTGCAAATGCACCTTCATAAGGTTCAAGAGTTGCCGATACCGGATTCTCTCCGCGTTTATTTCCTCCTTCGTCAGTACCTTCGGTGCAGGAGGCGGAGCAACAGGGAGCACCTCCAAGACTCTCTTCTTCCGCTCCGCAGGATCAGGAAAGTCTTTGGGGAATCTTCTGATGTGCGAGATTACTCTCGAAAAGTACTCTTCACGGTTCGCCTAGAAGGAGTTAGTTGAGCATTTCAAAGATCCGCAGCTACATCGGACTTGCCTTTACTGGACGATCAATCTCGGCAGTATTCTTACTGGAATAGCCGAAGAGATCGCGTGCCAAGTCTGGATCAATGCTTTTGGACTCAACCTCTGCTGTGCCTAGCACCATAATGGGCTCGGTTGATCGAATTGACCTCAACATTCCCAGGAACGCAGTCATTGCCGGCCCATTTAATGTCTGATACCAAGTATCAACATTGGGAATGAATATGACACTGGGCATTTGGCGCTTGACTTCAGTGAAGAGTCCTACCAAGACTTGTTCGGCAGGCTATCAAGTAGTTAGCAATCGTCTCGATAAGCCGGGTGGCGGGAAGGCACTTACCCGCACATCACCAAGGACGGTGGGCAGATCGAAGTTCTGAACGTGGACTCCTTCCAGGTAGTGCAGGATACCAGCAATGATATACGCGTGACCCATGCCGGGTAAACCACAGATAAGTAGTCGTGGCCGAAAGACGCGGGAGGCTTCAAATTCCTGGCGAAGCGCTTCTCGCTCAAAGCCGTAGTCTTGATCTTGGTAAGGCTCATACATGGCCTCCTCTAGCGCAGTCGCAGTCTTCTTTCGCGGTAACGCGTTGTCCAAAAGCGTCGTGAAATGTTTGAACTGAGCCCTCAGAAGCGGTTCAATGGACTTGGGAAGCGGTGACGCCCCCGATGTCGAAGATCGCTCAGACGATGGGATGATCTTCTTTCTTGACAGGATAAAGTCAGTCATTTGTACTGTGACCTTTTCGGGATCTACAACGAGTTTGTCCTTGGAGGAGTAGATCTGTGGATAAGTTCTCTGGATTGAGTTGATGGCTGCCTCGGTGCACATGGCACGGAGATCAGCACCGCCAAAGCCCTTGGCGTCCTTGGCGAGTGCTTTCTTGAATTCGTCAGAGAGACCCCAGTCCTTAGTATGGATGTCGATGATTGATTTGCGGGCGTCAACATCGGGAAGCGGAAAGTAGAATTCCCGGTCGAAACGTCCAGGGCGACGAAGAGCTGGATCAATGTTATCTGGCCGATTTGTAGCACCGATGACGATGACTTGGCCGCGTCCATCCATCCCGTCCATCAGGGCTAGCAAGGTCGAAACGATGGATGCATGGATCTGTTCCTGCTTACTGGACCGAACAGGTGCGAGACCGTCAATCTCATCGAAGAAGATGATACTTGGCTGAGTTCTTCTGGCTTCCTCGAAAAGCAGACGAAGTTGCTTCTCAGCCTCGCCCACCCATTTGCTGAGGGCATCGGCACCCTTGCGCATGTAGAATGTTATCTTCCTACCCCCAATTCCAACGGAGTTTGCGAGAGCGCGAGCAAGGAGTGTTTTTCCTGTTCCAGGGGGGCCGTGGAACAGGACGCCTCTGGGTGGGGTCACGTGGAACCTGGCGAACAGTTCGGGATATAAGAGGGGCAACTGGACCATCTCCTTGAGCTGGTCGATATGTTCCGCCATACCTCCAACCTGGCTGAAGTCGACACTCAGGTCAACACCCAGAGGATCCGCATCGGCAAGAGCCTTATGGTCTTTCATCTTGCCCACGTTGGGTGCCGCGCCAGCAAGTCCCCTGCCAAACCCATCGGCAGCGGCGTGTTGAGCGGCGGCTCCTAGCAGCCCGTGGGTAGCCCCTGTCGAGGTACCGGCAGCGCCTGACCGTGCACCCAGTTCGTCATCGCTGTCGTCGGAGTCTGCATTACCGGCGGCAGCAGCAGCAGAGCCGTTGCCCCAGGGGCCGGTGAAAAGGGCTCCATCACCAGAGATGCCACCGAATGGACCAGCTGCGGTGTGGAGAGTGCGACTCGAGTAAGCGGTCGCAGCTGCACGTCCACGGCGGCGAGCTGGAGTCGACGCTTGAGGAGCTTCATCATCTTCGACCTCGTAAGGGCCTCCGTTGATCTGAGGAATGGTGTAATCAACCTTCTTGACTACTCTCCGCTTTCGCGTCTCTTCGAACAAGACCGGAGGCGTGGAGGCACGGCGACGTGGCTGCCGCGACGGTCTAAGATCTTCAAGCTCATCGCCCACTTCTTCCGGGTCGGGCGGCTCGTCTCCGGATTCTGAATGATGCCGAGATCTTCTTGCGGATCTTTTGCCCTTTCCTCTGGATGACTTCCTGCCACGACCGCGACCGCTTGGGCTAGAGTAGTCTTCGTCATCGCCAGCGGCCTCGTCTCGATTATCGCCTGAAACAGACTCGTTCTCGTCCTCAGACTCATTTCCAGGCTCGAAGTCACTGCTAGGTTCTTGAAGCGATTTGTTGAGTCGAGACTTGCGCGTAAGCCGGCGACGGGCACCAGCAGTCTTGTTCCCGGAGATGGCATCATCGGCAACAGCATCGCCGTCTGCATCGGCATCAGCATCGGCATGCAAATCAGCGTCATGGTCGACCGCCGCAGCCCTTCCGCGTGTTCGGCGAGTGATGGGCACATCATCCTCATCATCATCGCCATCTTCGTCGGTCTCAACTGTATCCATTGGCTCATCTTCGCCGGCATTACCACCGGCGGCATCCTTACTCGCTTCGTCAACAGGGTCTTGAGGGTTTTCGATATCCATTATATCCTGCTCGCCAAGGTCTTGGTCGCCCTTTTTACCCGGAGACTCGTCTTCCTCCTCGATGGGCGGGGGAGGTGATTTATTGGGACCTTTGCCGGCCCGGCTCGCCCTACCTCGAGACGAAGTTTCTGGGCTTTTGCTTTTGGAGCTCTGAGCAGGCTTTGCGTGCCTTCCAGAATTCGAGAGCTCCACTAGCTCAACGTCCTCGTCCTCTTCTGCGTCGGCTGTACGGGCGCGGGTGGATCTTCTGGTTCCGATATGAGCATTTGCGATGGATCCTGTTCGCGTCTTGCGCAGCGAGGCTGGTGGAATCTTCAGCTTGATGATTTTGCTTTGGCGCGGTGGTTGCTGCGGCGTATTATCAACTAGCTCATCCTTGTCATCCGAGGCTTCACCCAAGTCGGCGTCTTCATCTTCGGAGCTTTCCTTGTAGGTAGCCCGACGCGCGGCAGCCTTTCTCACCCGACGACCTGTGGCCTGGTTGATGGGGAGTTCTTCGTCCTCGTCTTCACTATCATCTTCGTGGAATGATTCTCCCTGACCACTATCCGAGATATCATCCTCGTCCACCTCGATATCAGATCCTCTATATTTGTGGTGTCGGCGGGCCGAAGGCTTGCTGCTCTTAGCGGGGCGCGACTTCTTCCGCGAACGCGGCGGACGATCCGCCTCAGGCTCGAAATTCTCATCCCCAGAGTCCGATTTGTTAGGGTCGAAGTCCTGAAGAATGTCTCGCTTTCGTTTTGGAGCCATGATGGCAGACGGTGAGAGGGCAGGCGCACTGCAGTTTTGTCATGTCAACAAACTGTATCTCACTATTGTTGTCCGAGCCAGAGCAGAGCTTGACATCCCAAAAGAAGTGGAGGAGACATACCTGAAGTTCACAAACTGGTCAAGAGAACTTTCGGGTGGCCAACTTCTAAGGTCCACGATGGAACGTGTACACGGAGAACGATTTTGCAGGAGGTAGCACACCAACACTACAATTTGGAGAACTTAGCATGAGGTTATTTCGTTCAGAGAAGGGGCAAGCGCAGACCCGGAAGATTGGCCATGGATCAAACTTACGGAAATAGAAAGGTTTCCAAGTTGTTTGGTGACCTGTTGGCGAAGGAAAACTCGGGTCAGTATATCTTGGACATCCTGCCAGGGAACTGGCATTGATGCGTGTAGTGGGAAGAGAGCTAACCTAGACTGAACTTCGATCTGCTCGACGAGACGATGTCTGCAAATCTAAATCCGTGCCACTTTGGGTGAGGTGATGTTCGGAAAAGGGTGGTTGCCGCAATGCTCCTTGAGGCGGCGCGAGCGTAACCAGAAACTACTATCAGGGGGAACGACGAGTTGGCTGCCGAAAGACATCGATCATCAGCTCAAGTGTGTCTGAATTTGGAAGGGCAGTCTTACCACAATATGCTTGGACAATGGGGTAAGTGTACCCGGATGCGCCCTCTTCGGGGATGGACAATGGGCCTAATCAGTATTGGGTCAGTATGAGTGACCTCCATTTGCAGATATTACGCGCATTCGCGGCGAGCGTACCTAGGAGCACATCCAAGGGGGCAGCGTTCAACGTCCTCGCAGCCCACAACCCACGATCTGGCAGCACTCAAATAACAGTCTCTTGATCTAAACAGACCCTGGCACGTCACACACTGGGCATCAGAGTGTAAGTCTGCCAAGCCACCGATCACCAAGCTCTTGTGGAGTATTTCGATCGTCGAAATCGAGATTGCCTCCGAGCGTGAGGCTATTCCGTGCCGATTTGCGTACAGGAGGACCTGGCGCTTTGTGCTACTGCTGTGTCGCTGTGAGCCAGTCTGGATGCGACCAGGCGATATCGATGGGTGAACACGCGGACAGGCGGACGCACGGACGGACGCACGAGAATGATTAAGGATATGAGCTTTCAGGCTGTCAGACTTGCAGTTAAGGCGGCAGATGGAAAGAGGGCACGCACGGAGGGTCGACCGTCAGAGAGTGGTGGTCGAACAAGGGCAATCTGTGATGAGGCGCATCTGGATTCAGCAGCTGTCAACTCGTATGGGCAGGCTAATTCGATGACCTGTTCTGGTATGGGCGGAACATAGTCGGACGGACTCAGTAATCGCGCATCGGTATAGGGGACTGACCAGATTGTCGCGAGCGAATGACAGTGGTATGAATGAAGGAGAAGAAGGGCAGGAGATGTTTGGCAGCGAGCTTTCCGGGGCGCGTCGCAGCAAGCAGCAGCAGCGAGCTAGGCAGGCAGGGTGTGCACAGACCAGCGGTAAAACCGTGACGCTGCAGCCAATCAGCGTGAGTCCCGCACGGCTTTTCTGGCACCCGATGACCAATTGTGACCAAAGTGTCACAACAACTCCAACCTGACAGCCCTGGCGCTTTCCTCATCCCCATTCCATTTTCCAAACATCAAACCTCGACATTCTCTCGCAGCCAGCATACCCGTCCATACGTATGCCGAAAGCCATGTTTTAACACCACTGCGGTGGTCGCCTGTCAACGGACCATGTAATTGACTATTTTTGCGCGCTCCCGCGCCCCACGGAAGGTGCGGATGGCACGGCATGCAAACCTCCAGTCGACTCTCTTCGACCTCGATATCTTCCCAAGTGAACCCCGGATTTTCGACCGTCATCGTCGGCGCTACGATGCGGCTCAAAACCCAAAATCCAGCCCTATGGCCCCGGGACCCCTGGTTGTGTCACGTGTGGGTATGGGCATTGCTGGAGGTCTTGCCAAGACTCCTGGACTCCAAGAGGGTGCGGGACTGCGGGAGTCGAAGGTTGAATCTAGCCCCCCGCCCCGCGTACGTGCCACTCAATCCACCCCACCCCCATGAGTCTTCAGCCACTGCCCGCACCTCTCAACTTCTCAACTGTTGTGAACCTGGAGTGCGACGAGAGACTCTGGTTCTGGCTCTCCTGGTTCCCTCTCTCATGTTTGGTTCGTTCCAAATGTGGAAGTGAAGTTCCAGAACGAAGTGGAGGAACGGAGCGGCACCCAACTCTCTTCCTGCGTTAAGCCTTGCGATCTGATTGGTGCAGAGGCTCTTGATCCCGTTCCGGCGCTAGGCCCTGTATGGCTAGCCTGGCTGGCTGGCTTCCTCTCTCCTAGCTGGCTGGCCCTCGTAGCTGCAGGTGGCTGCCAACGCACTGACAGGTACCCCCGCCTTTAGATGCCTGTTCGGAGCCCCTCCAAGGCCAGCCAGATAGGGCATCCCCAGGCACGTGCCAGGTCCCGTGACCCGTCTCCCGTCGGGAACTTCACTTCCATCTCCTGGGTGCGCCGCCCCGTAGCTTGCGTAGGGCCGTAGCGAAGCCTCGATTTTTCTAGGAGTATGACAATCTGCACTACCAAATTTTCCAATTTGTTAGGTGTCTTAAACTTTTGGATAGGTGAAGACCGCACCGCTACCTTTCGTACGAATAATGAACAAAGGTCGGTCACCTACTCTACTACCTTGGAAGATCTACCCTGGCATATTAAGCAGCACTATGGCCTGATATGTAGTACCTAGGGCTGACTATGTCCACTCACTCTGTCATTGTCGCGTTGCCGTCGCCAAAGCTCTGCTCCAGATTGGCGAACTGGCCAGTCAAGGTGACTGATGCTGTTGGACTCGGTCGCACAGCGTCCTTATCATCTTGCATAGGCGCATCTGCCCCAGAGAGACCAGACTCTCAGACCAGCATCCCTCTCAATTGCCTCATCCGACGGGACCCAGTGTGGTCACCATAGTGCTGTGTCCCTCGTACACATGGTAATCACAGCGTACGCTCTCTAACTCTTGAGTCTTTTTGCGAAGGAGGAAATGGCCGCCATGCATGGAATCAAGGATCTCATGCCCCACTGAAACCCTCGAGAGTTCCGGCTTCAGACCCGACTACTCGGTCAAGGGCAAGATTGGCCTCTAATGATATGTACGCTGAAGACGCAGACAGTTGCCAAGATGAACCAATGCAGCAAGAGCAGGTTAGGTCAATGAAGAGATCAACACATGTAAGTGCCTGTCGAGTTGACATGAGGGCAAGATGAATTGGCTACGTAATCTCTGTGTAGGGACCGTGACTCTGCCTGGTGGTATTGTTGCTGGAATGCGAATTTCACACGGCACCTGAGTGACATAGAATTGAGCTCGGCAGGGCTATCGGAGCTTGGGGAATATCGATTACATTGGAGATGAACTCTCCTTTTCCATTGCTACCGCGTCTATCTAGAATGCCTTCAAGGATCATCCCGAACGTTGCCAAGCCTCATCCTGGCTGGCCATGAGCTCCTCAGGCCGAACAGAAGCGTCATCATTGCTCTCGAGATTATCGTCCTGTCCGGGTCGACCGTTCCTACTCCTAGGTCATGGTCCAAGAGGCGTAACCACAAATCATACGTCATCTCCACACCCAACTCTGTCTTCAAGCTCAACCAGACCATGTAAGGGGTCCAAAACCGAGAGAGAAGTCTCACCCCAAGTCTTAAGCCGCGCCTCAGGAGGTGGTGTGCCACTATAACCAAGAATGCGCCGACCGGGCTACCGTGGTACGACGCGGTCGAAGGTTGGACGAGGGGGTTGTCGAGCAAGGGCTCATAGGGGTGGTTTCCGAGTAACATGAGCTTGCCGGAGACCATCCAGATGCAGACAAGCTGATACGCGGTGTACGCCAACAGATGCATGGCGGCCGCGCGTACTAGGTTGTAGAAAAGCACGAATTTATGGTCGTAGTAGCCGGCTCCATGCATGAGGGTCGTTTCGGATTTCGACATGAACAGGAAGACCAGGAGCCACAGAAAGATGGCGAGCAATAGCTGGATCCACACCGGGACTCCGTACTCCCAAAACAGCTCCCTGAGACCCTGGTGGTGGTCCAGGCCCGGAGTGGGCAGGGCGAATATGAGGGGCACGCTGGCAGCGAAGTCCTGGAGTCTCGTAGAGAAGAATCCGAGCATGGGCACGAGGATTCGTCTTGCAACCTCGCTCGTGGCTTCGTAGAACGATTGAAGACTCAGGATCCCCAGACAGCTGTAGATCAGGTTTGAGATCCCGAGGATGGTGTTCCGGAAAGGTTCGCGAAGGTTGTTCCTGTCTGCCACCCAGATGAAGTGGCCTTGTTCGTCGTGGGCGGGATTTGCGTCCTCGTCGAGGCGCCCCCAGCCCCATCGAACTATCAACCATTGGCCTATCCAATAGAGGAATTCAGACCGGAAGGTCCACTCTTTGATAACCTGGGCGAAGTTGCCGACGACCTCGAACGCGAGGACGCTGAACATCGAGATGCCCAGCGTCATCGCCGTCTTGAAGAGGATGCGCATCGCGTAGTGTAGGTGCCCGTTCCGCAGCAACCACTGCGTGTCGAGCTCGACGTGGACGATTAGCACGAGCGCAATCAGAATAGCGATTAGCCATTGCGCTTCGAGATTCAAGGGGAACAGCGGCGGTTTCATAGCTTCGGTCCAGAGGTCGGGGTCGTATTCTCCTTCATCTTCTTGTACAACTGGTTCTCCGCGGTACACGACGAGCCGCACCCATTGCTGCCATCGGGATGTGAAATTGGTGTTGAGTAAGCCATCATCATCCTCCTCCTCCTCATCTTCTGGTCCCACCTCGTCTTCCTCTTCCTCGTCCGGGTCAAGCGGGAATTGTTCTGGTTCCTCTTCAATAGGCTCCATAGTGAAAGTGAATCGAAATAATAACCACGAAACTGGGACCTCACAGAGGAAGATGCTCAATGATACATGCTTCTCTAGAACATATTGGGTTTGTTGTCCGCAATCGTCTTGTCGCGGCGAGTTAGACAATGAGCACAGGGTGCATGGCCGCATCTGGCAGCCTCAAAGAATTCGCTGGGCAAGGTAGTGTATAACTTGTCGAGGACTGGGGCTTCCCGGTACAAAGGGCAACATTACGTTCTCACTTAACCACACGTCAAAGAGAATGGCAGATGCAGCTAATGGTGAACAGATGAGCGCTGGTAGGAACAACCCTACTGTCGTATACAAGTACCGTGGCAGCTCAAAGACTGATGCCGTGGTTGATCCGAAGTCCCAATGACGACGCTCGAAATACTCCATAATATCTAAGAAATATGGTGCTTTGTTTCCTTATATGCTCCCAGATAACTCTCAAACCCCGGAGGACCTCTCCCGCGGTGACCGACTGCCGTGTCGGACACTTCTCGTGGAGCTCACTCAATCACCGAGCGACTCCAAGTAGTTGCAACCCCATACACCGGTTTCTTCGTTGACCACTGTACATTGACCCCAACATCCGGCTTCGAAACATTTGACGTGGTAGGCTTCTTTTTTCTCAGCATCGTAGCACTGTACAATGGCGCAATCGGCTACCATCTTCGTTTCATATTCCCCGCGCTTGAACATCGCCAGCTCCTCGCCGGGGACTCGTGCCTCGTCGACCACGTTGCCGTTCTCGTCGCGGCTCTGGATTCTCCCGTCTTCTGTCACGACTGAGGTGCCTCCTGGAGACCGGGCGAGTGACCCGATGATAGCAGCAGGACCTGGCTGAAAAGGTAACTTGTCAGCAATGACGACACGTTCTCGTAGGTTAGTGAATTGACTTACAACGGCAGATGCACCACTGGCGGCCAAGACGGCGAGAATGGCTGGGATAGCGGAAAATCTCATATTGAGAGATACTGCGGTGGCAAGGAGGATGATGCTTTACGTGATAGCTGACTGACTGAGGAAAGACTTGGAACCGTGTCAAGCGAAGTGGTGTGTTGTAGTGATCAGAAATTATGCTGGATAACAAGCCTTGGATTTCTTAACTGGCTGGCTGGCCTTCTTATACTCAATTGACTCAGCGCACCACTACTTAGAAACTGGCATTAGCAGGCAGTCATGCTACTAAGCCAGGGTCACATTTGCATTAGAACTTATGATGTAGTTTCATCATGCTGCCTGGACGTGGCAAAGATCCCTCAGGCGTGAAAAGTTCCGTCAGATGGGGCAAATCCTCACATACAATCCTAGAGTGGGGATGATCGTAGGGTGTCAGCCCCAGCCTATCTTTAAATATGAGGAGCACGAGAATGCCTTGTGCCTACCTAGGTAAGTCCTTTTCAAAAGCCGTGTCAGTGTTGTCTATGACGGAAGCATTATTTCCTACACTGGTTAGTTGCCTGGGTATATAGACTGCTAACGAGTCTTCGGAGCGCCCGTCATCCTTCATCGTTCATTACCGTCACGGTCATCTCGACGGTTAGACGCAGACCCGGGGCGTATACAGTAACATAACAGGACACCGAAACACATCGACTATGGTGATCATGCTAAAGGTCCCGATCTAAAATAAAGACAAGGCCTTATACCACATTAGATTAACAACGGCGGGCAGTATGTGGAATAAGGGGTCAAATCTAAGAGCAACTCTAGATTACCGAGGCGCTCCACTTACTGTTTATAGGTGCCCCCAATCCGAAAGGACAAAGACAAAGAGACAGAGCTCTTCAAGGAATGGTTACAAGAGAGAAATGTGAACACTGACCTTGTCATCTACTCAGATGGATCATAATTGGACGACAAAGGCACAACCCGCACTGGATGGGGCTATACCATCAGGAAAGGCAACACTACACAAGAAGTATATAGGGAAAAGGACAGACTTCTCTAAACAGAAGTAATAGATGCTGAAGTCCATGGTGCTCTCCAAGGGCTTGCAGCAGCCAGGGCAATTGGACACGGAAAACAGCTATCTGTCTGCCTGGACAACACAGCAATGGTAGATGGGCTCAATAGGACTCCACCCGAGACATAATAGAACATTTTTCTACGATTCCAAGAACTTGCCACGGCACACACTCCTGGAGTGACCGTCAAATGGATTCCTGGACACAGAGATATTAATGGCAACAAAGCTGCCGACACACTAACAAAAAAGGGTGCCATGCTAGAAACAGACACGACAAACCTTCCCACAATCTCAGGGTTCAAGAGAGATCTCAAAAAAAAGGGCAAGAAAGAGTTCAATGAATAATAAAAAAGCCAATCAAAACCTAGATATCAAGAAGTATACTCATATGCAGTAACTAAAAAAGACCTTATATCTTTTAAAAGGAGTACTTTACACAAACTTTTAGTGGCCAGATCTGGACATGGCGACTTTGCAAGATACCATGAACGCTTTGGGCATACAGACTCGAATGATCACTACAGCTGTGGTGAGAAGAAAACATCACAATATATTTTCTTTTGTAAGAGGCTGTGGAAAAGTCGGCTGCTGCCTAGGTACTCGCCTAGGACAGCTTGTTTACAATACTTAAGGGAGAGGAGCACAGAATGGGCAAAATTCGTGGAGAAGAGCAAATTCTTTTTATCAATCTGTCCTCGATAGATAGCTGTTCTTGAAGGACCAGATGGATGACCCAAGGTCATACCGCCGCAACAACGGTGATGGGCTCGTGAACGGGACTGACTGTACTTATTATCGGCCGTATGGCGCAATGGTCAAATGCGCCTGGTTGTGTTCTCGTTTGTGCGGTGGGCGACGAGAACAAGTGGGTTCGAATCCTGCTATGGCCCCCTTTCTGACCCGGCTTGTGCGAGTCGATAACCAGCACACGATAGTAGAGAGGCCCCATTTTATCGCAGAGCCCAATAGCCAAGCAGCTTATCTCCACAATACCCACTCCTGCAAGGTTTTTCCCCCTTGTGATTTCCCTCGCCAGCAGATAACAAACACCTATTCCACCCACCAATGCGACATATATCGAACGGCTACTGGAACGATATGTACACCAGAGAACTGAGGTTCATTGGGTCGCTTTGTCACTAGATAGGAGGTTTTTCTGACGGAATCGTGCTTGGGTATTGACTAAAACCATCTGAACACTCCAGATTGGTACCGCTACAGCGAGGATAGGCTCGTGCGCGGATCTGAATGTATCTAATTTGACACCTCTACAACCTTGCGATACAATGGCTCTGGGAGGCGTGGTTTGCACTACTGAGGAGCTACCCCCCACGTTAAATACAAAACAAACAAACAAACAAACAAACTGTACTTATTATCTTGATACCTCCACAACCCTGCGATGCAGAGGCTCTGGGAGGCGTGGTTTGCACTACTGAGGAGCAATCCCCCACGTTAAATGCAAAACAAACAAACACTATTTATAGGTGTGTTAAGTTCACTCTTGTGGCCTTAAGCAGAGTGTGTACATCTTTTATTTTGGTAACATCTAGTTTTCTCAATCGCGAATTTGCCTGAATTTCTGCTCAATTGTTTACGACGTCCTTTCGCAATGCACGCGGAGTCATATGGCAAGCATGGCCGGCATGTAAGAGACAGCCACAATGGTCCTTACCCCAGCCACAAGGACTGGTGTGGCTTTGTTGAACCTCATTCTCGAAGCCGAACACCGCACCTCACTTTACAATTCGCAAACCGACAAGCCCTCCATGGAATACACCCGCGGGGATCTTGAGTAAAGCGCCCTTCCAGCCATTCGGATCAACAACAACGAACATGTATCTCCTAGATCTTCCCTTAGAATGCTTTCGTTGCATCCTGTCGGAGGTAATCCTAGACGTGGGATTCCAGCAGTGCCTCACGCTTCGTCTAGTCAACGGTACGTCAAGGGTCCACACATAAACAACCCTCGCACTCGCTAATAAATACCTGTTTAGGCCTATTTGACCGCGAGGTGATGATCGCGATTGGGAATGCGAAGCTACTCGAGACTTTCCCTGCCGTCGCTGATAAGTCGATATGCTCCCATCCCCTCTTTACCAGGTACCCGGGCTATGTCGACTTCCTGGGGAGCTACCTCCTGTGCCAACCTCGGCCACAAGAACCTTGGAATGCGACCATCCCAGCTTTACTGAATCGTGTCGTCGATGAGGTTATGGCTGAGGAGGGGCTGGACGTCGATCATCCGTCGAGGGCCGAATTCCTCCGACCACTGTGCCGCGACGCGGTGGAGAAGAGCGGCTTCGAGGCCCTACCTCGTTTCTGCACGCAAAGTCTATTTCGCCGTGGGATTGATGTGGGAACAGAGGATCTTTCCATAATAGTTTTCCTTGCGAAATTATTACTTGGTCGTGGCCAGAACTCGGATGCCAACATCAAGACCTGGTCAATGCGCAGGAGCAGAGTGTTTGGCACACTTCTTGGCGTTGCCAGCCAGAGTGGACGAATTGACCTAATCAGAGCCATATTGAAGGATGGCCCGGCCATCCCGGGTGAATCGCCAGAAGTACAGGTGAACGGGGCCCTTGGGGCACTGGTCGGGGCCGTTGAAGGTCGGCAGGAGGGCACTCTGCGGGCTTTGCTGGAGCCAGAATTCCGAACTCTTCGTTCTAGACGTGAGATGGCATCTGCTCTCATGAGGTCAATTGGGACAGGTCAAGTAAACCTTGCGTTGCTTCTGCTCGCCAGTGGTGAGCTGCGCCTATCCGGAAGGTCCGAGATCCTAAGCAGGGGTTTCACCGAAGCGTGCTGCCGGGGTTACGTCGACGTCGCCGACGCAATGTGGGAATGCGGCGTTCGGCCTGGCCTTGGGGTTCAGCAATACGCTGCCTGGTTCAGCCAGGAGGCTATTCTGCGCAGTTTTTTCAATAAGGGAGTCAGGCCCGATACGCTTGCTCTACGGGCAGCTGCAATGACCGGCAACACCAACATTGCCCAGATCCTCGTCGATGGCGGCGCACAAGTCCGACCAATGGAATGGTGCCAGATCCTCACAGTCGCCGTGGAGCAGCGACAAGGAGAATTCGTCCGTTTTCTCTTCGAGGAGAATATCATCAATGTAGAGACCCTGAGGGAGGATGAGGACTCTGCTGCAGAACTCATGATGCACTCCTGTGTCTGCGGTGACCTCTTCATGATCAAGACGCTCGTTGCAGGAGGCATGCCGGTCGGAGGGGAGACCTACAGACCACGACCGCCAATACTCTGCGCTCACATGGGGGGACAGTCGCACATTGTCGAGGCCTTACTCGAGTTAGGTGCGACGATGATCGACCCCCTAGAGTCCGATCTGAAGGGGGAATTTGAAGCAGGACGGCTCCCTCGTGAATGGCCTCCGAAGAAGATCCGCCCGACGGTAAACGGGATCCTGAGGTGGGAGGTAATGCCAGGAGGGCTAGCAGAGGATGAATGGGGAACCTGAAAGAGGGGAGGACTGCAATATAGTCGACGTCACACATCTAATGAAGAGCAAAGCCTGCAGTTTAAACTCTATTTCATCTCGCGCGTCCTGTCTTCCAAAATCCATCATACAACTATCCATATTATGCGAATCGTTTTCCCTCTAGCCCTGAGCGATGAACTGCCGTTGAACTAGACGGTACAGCGCCCCTGTCGAAAACAGATGACAGAGTGCTCTGGAGCGGTTACTCGACCAAAGTGAAATTACAGAAGCGCACGCAGTATGAGGCAGAATGGATTGATAGATGGCGCACTCAGACCCACCGACGTGAAAGGAGCAGGAGGATAGGTACCTTGCAACTAGTACCGGTCTTGCCGCTGAACAAACCATGATTCATCAGATGGATGAGACAGCATCATTTTGCAAATTGCAAATGTTCATGGCGTTGTAGTGAATCTGGCGACGTTTTGGATCGACCAAGAACGGGACGATGATTACTCGTCAGGGCTATAAGCGCCTTGACCCACTTTTACGATCGTTCCTCCCTGTAGGTCAGGGACATTGACTACAGTTACCCCCCGTTTTTTGAACAGTGGATCTGGTCAATGACAGGCCTCGAAAACAAGCGCCAGAGGTCATTTCAAGGGTTGGTTTATGCCATGTCCTTCAGGAATCGATACCTTCGTAGGTCTGTGTCTAGTACCAGTTCCAATGTTAAAAAAACAGGGGGGAAACTGTACGACCCGTACTTTAACTCGGTTTAAAATGGCCTTTTCGCTTGCATTAAGCTTATATTAGCCACGAAGAGTTTTTTGAAAGTTCGCCCAGCCCCATATAACAGTTAGTTCTCATATAGCTTAATTATAACTATTACTAATAATTCGTCGCTGTTTTATTCAAAATGTTATATTTTTAAAAGTTTTAATAAGTTACGGTAATATAATTAAAATATAGCTGTAACATTAAGATTTTCGATCTCCAAACCACGTTTCAGTTTAACCCGAGTTAAAGTACGGGTTGTATTTAATATCTTTAACTTATAAAAAGAAACGACGGTAAATATAAATTAAGTCGTTTAAAAACTTAACGAGTAAAAAGTTAAAACAAAAAATGCTTCAAATACGTTTATCTTAACGTCATTACAATATTTTTATAAGCCGTAAAAATACCAGTCGATATTTTAATACCGTAAAAATGCTGCTTATTTAAATGATTAGCTGACTATTAGATACGATTTCGTTATTAAGCCTTTTAAACTAAAAGCGGTAATAATACCGTTTATTAATAAAAAGTGGAAGAAAATTTAAAACGTATACAAAATTAAGTAAAGAAACGCCTACTTAATCACTTTAAATTAAGCAAATATTCAAAAGGGAAAACTTTAAACCGATTTAATTAAATATGCTACATGAATCTTAATTAATTTAAAATACCGCATTTCTTAAAAAAGGTGTCACAGGGCAGCTTAGAGACGAGGACAAAAATGCCCATCAATATCTCCAATTTTACAAAAGTATTTTGGCAAAGAAGTGAAGAGAGATTTGCAGCACCAGCCAAATCTGGTGGTGTGATAGATCTTAAATCCCGACCTACAATTATCTATCTATCTGTGTAGTGGTGCAACGCGTCCACCCTATCAAACCACCTGATGAGTGTCAAATTCATCACAAAAGGCATAAAAATTTAAATAATATAATTAGAATAAACAGTAAATTCCCTGCTTAGTAAACAACTACAGCTTAGCTATTACAACGGCTTAGTTTTAAAAGCTTTTAACTAAAGCCTTATAATTAAATAAATCTAAACACTATATAGGTATAAAATTGAAAAAGGTACTTGAAAAATATTTTAATCCGGTGATTATGAGTAAATATATCACTAAATCCTCTTATTTATCGATTATAATTAAAATAATTCGTTATAATAATATTATCAATATTTATATTCTCTTTTTTACTTCTCTTTTAAACCATTATACCGTCGTTATTTGAAAGAATTTTTGTTGGTAATAACTTTTTAACTTTTAATCTAAAAACCTTAAAGCTAATATGTATTTTCATATTGCTTTTAATTTTTGTTAAAAATCTATATGATAATTACAGCGTTTAATATAAGCTAACAAACACATATATATAAAGTCATAACACTATTTTATTGTTTAAAACAAATTTATAAATTTATAAAAGATGAACTGTGTTGATAAACAATAATAATAAAATCACTTAAAACGTAAACACTTAACTTATAAAATATGTCTTTTAAACCTATTATACTATATTAATAAATAACAAAATTACTAATAATAAAAACTTAACTGGGCCTTATAAAGAATATATTTTTATAGTACCGATATATTTTAAAAATGAAACAAAATTTCATTAATAAAACTATAAAAGAAGGTCGGTACCGATGATTACAACAGTATAATAACCCGTTGAAATTACTTAAATAATACGATTCTTAAAAAAAACCTACATACTAACTAATATAAAAATATGATAATGTAGCTGATAAGCGAGTTGGAATTACAAGTGAGTTGACACTTGTTATAAACTCTCTAACTGCTATATAAAATAAGTTTACTACAACACATTCAATTCAATTCAATCAATCGAATTCCTCTTTCTTAGACGTTTCTATCTCTATTGTACAAGTTCGTGCATTATGGCCAGTGTTGCTGCAAATACCACACCGTCACTCGCGTGCTGCCGTCCTCCTTGAACGATGACTACCTTTTCCCATTTCCTGTCTTGCCAGCTCAGTACCATCTTTTGTAGCCTGAAGACCTATTATATTTTTAACAGAAAGTATTTTTCTTTTTATTAGATATTTATATCTTGTTTTCTGGCGTTTATTTAGTAAGTGATTGGCCTCTTTTAGCTCATGGACCCAAGAATTAACCAAAGCGACCTTGTGCATAAAACCATATATAGCCTTTGAAAATAAGCTTAATTCATTAATTATTGATGCGGATGAGCTTCTTTGGTAGTTTCTGACTCAATTTTGGATATAAACCGATTGGTTTACCGCTTCGTTAATGGTGGTAAGCGTCTTAAAACTCCAACTAGTGCGTGGCAGATTGGTGTCTGGCGACGGTGTTTGTACGATAGTAACAGCATCCAGCTTTGAAATGACACCTTCTGGATCAAAAGAAACAAGACCAGTGGCACTGAAACCTGTTTGGATGTTTCTTAGTGTCATTGTAGTATTATCTGCTTCACAAAACGCTGCAAGGAAGTCCTTTTTTGAAACATGGGTTATATGATGCTGGATGAGATCTTTAATTGAGCAACCATAAGCTCGTTTGAGTGGGCTGAAACAGCTAACATCTAGAGGGTGAAACCTATGTGACGAGTTGGCAGGCATATAAAGAATAATAATGCCATTGTTCTGGCAATAATTCTCAAAGACCTGGAAATGATGGCTTTCGTGGCCATTTAGGATGAGAAAGCGTTTATTTGCGGTCATACGCAGACTGGTATACTTGTCAAAATGCTGAATTCATTTCAAACTGATCTCATTTATAGTCTAACTGTTGTCAGACACAGCCACCTTCCAATCGTCTGGTAATGTTGTGTTGCGATATTATGATACGAAGTGGGTTTTGCCCTGTAAAATGATGAATGACGGGACTACCCAACTATCAGCATTGATAGCAGAGATTGCAGTAGACTATTCTCTGTTGCTTTGCTGAGCTTGTCCAGGCCTAACACTTCTTTTGGTGCTTGTGACAACCATGCCAGACCCAATAATGCCTATCATAAACCTAGTCTCGTCAAAGTTGTAAATGTCCGCATCTTAGATACCATGTTCTGTGCTTGCTGCTGCAATTTGGCAAAACCACGCACAATATGCGTCTGGATCTTTGTCCAAGACCGTTTCGTAGTCCATCCTCTGATGAAAACGCGTCCGGAGGCCTGGTGTGCGTTTAATGAAGTTCTGCATCCAGTTCTTTACAATGCGTCTAGCACCACGTGTTGCCAACAATTTATTTGCTATATCTTCAATATAACTATGCCAGGGTGGAAATGCTCACGCGTCCAGGTCAAAAATGAAGGAAAGAATAGTATTCTCTTTGGAAACTATAAGTTTCAAAGTATTGGGCATGCTATTGCGTTGTGATGGCATTTCTTTGATTCTATTACTCAAAGTGGGACGAGGGATGTTGAAGAGTTTTGTAAGCTGAAATATGAGGGCCACATCGTTTAGCTTGCACAGCTAGCGGTAAGTCTGATTCGTTGTAACGCGATGCCATTGTTGTTAGTGGAGATATAATGGTTTGAACCGTGTTAATTGGAAAGTTCATCACGAGTGCCAACTCGCTTGTCAGCGATGTTACAACTTTAAACATAATAAAAAATTACCTTAAAATGATCAATACTAATTAAATTATAAATAATATTTTGAGCTTACGATATAAATTCTTAATATTGTGACAGAACGTTTACTATAACCACCATGTCACGGCTGTTTCTCACAAAAGGATGTCGAATATCAAGCGTGGCAGCTTGACATTCAATAGTAGTACATGTACTCATGTCCGGGCTTTAGGACTCACCACATGGGTACCTGTACTAGACCATGACAAATACTAGGCCTTAATTAAGCATAAATCTAACCTATCCTTTTAGTTCTTTAAAACTATAACGTATACTGTATAGTCCTTTAGCACTAATTTTACGTTCTTAAATTTAAAAAAACAGAATATCGGCTATAAAAAATCAATCAAGCTTTAAAAGATATTATATAAAGCATATATTAACAAACCTTGAAAACCAACTAATAGTTTATACCTTATATCTTAAGCCTATATAAAGTTACATACTTATTAAACACATAAAGATATTGTAAAAGTTAACGCTTAAAATCACTAAATAAATACGAGTTAAAAGAAGACATTGAAAATCTAAAACTTTTATTAAAATATATCGAAAAACCCACGATTTACTTACGTAAATAAAGCTTAATTTTACAAAATATTCGAATACTATTAAAATGAAAAACCCAGGGAAAAAAAAGAATTTTTTTTAATAATATAAACCCTTTTTTATTAATTATATCACATATTTTATTAAACTTATAAGCCTTGAATTTTTTATCTATTTTATAATTACTTAATATAAGAAAAGCTAATATTTATAAAACTAGTATAAAGCGATTTAAAATCGATAACAAGTCTTTCTTTTCTTTATACTTATAACTTTAACTACGTAAATATCTTAGTATTATCACAATTCCGTAAATGTATTGGAAGGATACATGGACCCTTATTGACTATTAACGTATAACGAACTCTGGTTGAAGGAAATGAAAGATGTGGAGATGCACCCAAAATGGTTGGTAGCTAGATGTGGGCAGTCGTCCTCCACCAGACCCACCAGTGCATAGATTAACCTGTCCTCCGATCAGTTACGTGCTGAGTCACGTGACTCGGAGACCATGAGGACCATGGGGACCATTGCTAAACCTGATGAATAGTGGAACTATCACAATTATTCACTTAATTATTTATTTATATCTAAACTTTAATATCAACTAAATTTAAATCAGAAGAAATATTTATTAAGTAATTTTACGTAAATATTTAACGTTTTTGCTACGAAGAAATACATTTATTTACTTGATTATTATTATTGTTAACTTTATTATATTGTATCAACTTTTTATTATTATTATGTCAATAAATTTTTTACTTCAAACACCTCATTATCGTATTATTTATTTATTTATTTCTTATAGTGTTGGATCCATGCGATTCCAGACTGTAAACCATCTATACCAGGACCCACATGTATGATTAGATAAGATAAGATAGTGGATTGAGAGGGCACTTGGCCAGACCTTCGAGTCCAGCTAGATTCCTCTCAATCCAACCATCAGCAACATCATGACCTTGACCCCATACTCGAGTATTATGATTGATCGTTCAAGCCTGTTCTTACAATATTATATAATAGTTTATAAACTTTTATATTGCATATAATCTTCCACTATTATAAAACATCAACTAATTAATAACTATACTTATATTTAGCTTTATATAATAATTATAACGTTTTAATCAATAATAAATTAGTCAATAAAAAAGGTTTTATAATAATATAAACTCTAAATATTAATGGTTAATAATCAATATTAATTCTTGATAATTATTTTTATAATACAAGGCTAAAAATACCGGATAGAAGTAAATATTAAACACCGAAATTTTCAAATTACCCTGTTTGAATAAACCTTTTAACTCTAAAAATAATGTTAAAACCTAAATAATAAACAAAATTATACGGCGTAAAGTAAAAAAAACGATGAATTTACAGCTTAAAAAATCAATACGTTTTCAATAAAAACAACTTAATAATTGTCAGATGCAAGCGAGTTCAGAATGTGCAGGTTGTCAAGTGTGTTGTCTTTTTTCTTCTTCTCCTTCACCCCTTGAGCGTGCAGGAATTGATGATCTATCTTCTGGGTGGGTCAGATGCCCTGTGCGTTTCTGCCCTACTGGAGATCTTCCGGTGTCTATTTCCGGCTCCCATTCAACAATAATATAAGCATCAAACCTCGATTAAGCTATTAATTTCAACCGGAAATAACCGCGAATTGACCAGCAATAATTTTTTCAATTATATAAGCCACTTAATATATTGAGAAGCAAATTTACCGTATATTCACTACTTATAAGAAGACTGCCCCGACGCTAAGGTAAAAATGGTTCCTATAGCGCATATCATCGGCTTTAGTAGGGTTCTCGCCTCAATGTTCATGCCTTATTCAGCTTTCAATCCATCCTATCTGTTCTTTAATTACTTCTTTTGGTCGCCAACTCCCCTACCTGTAAGACCAACGTCGATAAACGACAAGACTCTCCATCTCACGCTTCATCCCTTCCTAAAACACCTAGGTATCCACGAAACAATCTCCACCATGACCACTACGAACGGCATCAACGGCACCAACAGTGCCAGCCGCGGGCTGCCGCATAGCCCACCTCACGCCGCCACCGCCCTCTCAGCGACCGAGCTGATCGGCAACACGCCGCTGGTGCGCCTGAACAAGATCCCGCAGTCGCTGGGCTTCGAGTGCGAGGTCTACGCCAAGGTCGAGCTCTTCAATGCGGGCGGCTCGGTGAAGGACCGCATCGCGCTGCGCATGGTCGAGGCCGCCGAGAAGAGCGGCCGCATCAAGCCCGGCGACACGCTGATCGAGCCGACGAGCGGCAACACGGGCATCGGGTTGGCCCTGGTCGGCGCCATCAAGGGCTACCACACCATCATCACCCTGCCCGAGAAGATGTCGGCCGAGAAGGTGTCGGTGCTCAAGGCCCTGGGCGCCACCATCATCCGCACCCCCACCGCCGCCGCTTGGGACAGCCCCGAGAGCCACATCGGCGTCGCGCGCCGCCTCGTCAAGGAGATCCCCAGCGCCCACATCCTCGACCAGTACTCCAACGAGAACAACCCGCTCGCCCACGAGTTCGGCACCGCCGAGGAGATCTGGGCCCAGACTGGCGGCAAGATTACGTGCGTGGTGGCGGGCGCTGGCACGGGCGGTACCATTACTGGGTTGGCTAGGGGCCTGCGCAAGCGCAAGAGCGACGTCAAGGTCGTGGCGGCCGACCCGCAGGGCAGCATCCTCGCGCTGCCCGAGAGCCTGAATGAGGCGCACCGCGACGAGCCCTACAAGGTCGAGGGTATCGGCTACGACTTCATCCCCGAGGTGCTGGACCGCGAGGTCGTCGACAAGTGGTACAAGACGGACGACACGGAATCGTTCAAGCTGGCGCGCCGCCTCATCGCCGAGGAGGGGCTGCTGGTCGGCGGCAGCTCGGGCAGCGCCATGGCTGCCGCGGTGCAGGCGATCAATGACCTGGGGCTCGGCAAGGGCGACGTCGTGGTCGTGATCCTGCCCGACAGCATCCGCAGCTACCTGACCAAGTTCGCCGACGACGACTGGCTCGCCGCCAACGACCTGCTGCCACCGACGGACGAGGAAGTCCAAGAGGCCGTGCTGAACGGGAGCGACGATACAAATGGAAAGAAGGCGCCGAAGAAGACCCAACAGGACCCCTACGCCGGCGCTACGGTCCGTTCCCTGCGCCTCAAGCCCGTCATCTCCGTGGCGGCCGACAGCACCTGCGCCGAGGCCATCGAGACGATGCGCGACAAGGGCTTCGACCAGCTGCCTGTGCTGTCCTCCCCATCGTCCTCATCGTCGGGCGGCAGCAAGCTGGTCGGGCTAGTCACTCTCGGCAACCTGCTGAGCTACATCTCGCGCGGGCGGGCGACGGGCCAGACCCGTGTCGGCGACGTTATGTTCGACTTTGGCCGGATGGATGAGGTGGTGACGGACCCGCGCGAGGGCAAGGGCGGCCGGAGGCGCAAGTTCGTCGAGATCACGCTGGACACGCCGCTCGCGGAGCTCGGCAACTTCTTCAAGTGGAATAGCGCGGCTGTTGTCACGGACGGGAGCGGGAAGGGCAGGGCGCTGAGAAAGCCCGTGGCGGTTGTCACGAAGGTGGACTTGTTGACTTGGATGGTGAAGCAGGTCAAGGCGTAAGCTTCCCTCGACTGCCCACGGTGGGGCGTGTGGTTTTTTTTATCAAGGGGCCGTGAAGTGGCATGTGGGTTGACACGAACATGATATGGTACGGCGTTGCAAAGCACGGCGTTCTGGATTGTGGACCGACACAGAGCGAGATCATTCATGCTCGGGGTGGTTCTGGTACTCTGGAAGGGATCAACTCGCATTTTTAAGTAGACTCGGGTGATGGGTTACACATACATGGCAGACTCAACGTCTACGGTGGTCTATAGAACATGGGACCGGTCGTATAAAAAGAGGGTTTGCGGGTTGTTTCCGCGTGGCCGTATCTACCAATTCTCATGCGCGTTGTCGGATTACACCTTCACTGATTTCCGCACTGTTGCGACTCGAGTGGGCTTTTCATGTGTATCACCCCGAAGCGAGCAAGTCGTCATGCCTAAGGACCATCTACTCAAGGTATATGCTTCGTGTTTTGCAATGAAGACTTTCTCAGCCGCTCGGAGACAGGCTCGGATTCTAGATATGGGCACGCTGGTGGGACACAGAGCAATTCACTCTTGAAAGTATGCAGTCATATCAACATCGCCTACATTTATCCGACTAGATGGGAAAGGAGACCCCTTTGGCGTCTCAACAGCCGCAGACTCTCTCCTTAACATTGGAGTGTGAGTATTCATCGTGGTGACATTTTAAAACCGTACTCCAACCTACTGCGTATCGCGCCGAACAAGAAAAGGAAAATCTGTCGAGTCTGACCACCAAGCTCAGTACTCAAGCAGGAAACAGCGCAACCTTGGTCCCATGCAAATTCAGGAAAGTGCTCCTCGTCTCCTCCGTCCAGGGCCTATCATCCCTACTTTCCAGTCCTCCAAACTCTCTCAGGATGAACACCATCGTATACGCCACCTCAGCAAAAGTAAGGCGAAACCCGGGGCAGATACGCGGTCCTCCGCCAAACGGCGTGTACTCCCACATGGGTCTCAGATCATCCCACCTCTCCGGCCGGAACTCGTCGGCGTCATCGCCCCAGAAGGTCTTGTCCCGAAACGTGTTCCTGAGATTCATCTCGATCACGTCTCCCTCCCGCATGTAGAGCGGGCTGCTGCCGTCCGTGCCGCCGCCGGTCGGGAGCACGACTTCCTTGACGCACTGGCGTATGATCATGGTCGAGATGGGCGTCACGCGGTGCGTCTCACGGATCACGTTCTTGAGGTACTGGTATTTCTTCAGCAGCTTGTACGTGATGGGCGCGTCGCTGGTCGGCAGCACTTCCGCCTGGAGCTTCGCCCACGCGGCCGGCTTCCGGGAGAGGTGGAAGAAGGCGTTGCTGAGCGTGATGGCCGCGCCGTCGTGCGCCGGCGTGAAGATGTTGTTCATCTGGAAGCGCAGCGTGAGTCGGTCCTGGGTCACTTTAGCCATCTCGTCGATCAGGAGGAGTTGCTGGTGTCCTTCTGGTTTCTCAGATTTCGTCGTTTGGCTCTTCTCTAAGCGAGCCAGTACCTCGTCCACCCGCTTGCCGAGAAAGGTGTTCACAGTGTCGCAGTCAGTGAACCACTTCGGGTCTCGAAACAAAAGCCAGAGATAGGGGCCGAGCATGAGGCGCACTCCAGCGCCTCGTTAGGCGTAGAAAAACGTATCCATGAAGTCCTTGTGGGCGTCTGGCGAGATCAACGCACCCAGGGACTTGCTGAATATGAACTCGCTCGCCGTGTCCAAGCTCTGTGATGACTTCGTCAGCATGTAAAAGTCTCGGGAGGTAGGAAAGGACAGCTGTACCAGGCGTCCGAATAGCGGCATCAAATCCACAGTTGTCCCATCGCGCGGCAAGAGCTCCATGAGGCGCGCAACGTGGTTCGCGAGGCTGCGGTTCTCCATATTGGCGATATGGGCTATGTCGAGCGAAGGCTTGATGAATTTCCGGCGGGCAGCCCATTTCTCACCCTCGACAATGGTGATGCCATCTCCCTAGAGGTATTCGATACCGGAACGGATCTTCTCCACGCCAAAATGGTCGAAGTACGTCGCGTGCACGTACTTGGTGATGTCTGTGTCCATGATCTTGATCGTGGGTGTGCCTAGGGGATGGGTGCGAAACGTCCTGCCATACTTCTGAAAGAGTCAGTAGTTCAGGTCCAGGAAGTCTCGCTCTTCGAAGGCTTTCTTGTAAAGCAGGAAGAGATCAAGGTCAAAGATTGGATCTTTGTGGGGATACGATGGCGGTTCTTGGCAGCCATTCTTGCGCATCACGTATCTGGTGTGTAGCCGAGTCTGGATCTTTGAGTAAGACAAGTGAGCGGCCCATATTGCTAGCAATGTAAGGACCGTGCGGAGTAACGGCAAAGAACATGGTAGCTCCATCATGAAGAAGTGTTGCTTGTGAGGTGAGTGGATGGGAGGAGCAGCCTTAAGTCTGCACCGTGGATTCCGGTGTGATGAGTTGCGCCACCCTCGTTTTATCCGGGCATTCTAATGGCGGTGGGCTTTGCTTTATGCGGTGATTTAGAACAGGAGGTTCAAGGTATGGTACGCAGGTAGCCGACTGCATATATTGATCGCTAACACGTACATGATCCCTGTCAATCGCCCCTACCCCTTACCTTAAATGCACTTGCACTGCCTCCTCCAACAGTCACCCTCCGATCGAACGCCGTTGGGCCTGTACATTTGTGCGCAGCCAAGGCACACTACATCTCAGCCTTACTTTATGAAACACCTGGGCTTGACTTCGTCTCGAGAGTTGAGTGTGCCGTGAGCAACCGGTGCTTGTTACAGTTAACTCATCAGTGTTCAGTGAGAAGATCGAAGGTATCCTCGTATGCTTACCTGCATCCGAACATGTCTCCGAAGAGCCGAGATCGTCACTTCTCCCTATCATTGTGGATCCAGTGCATGGACCCATATGGAGTATTCTGGTAACCCCACCAGATAGATATGTTGGAGGTTACCTGATGAAGGCTGCCTGGCAACCCTTTGTTGCCCCAGGTACCTCACCACTGTAATTTAAGTATTTAGATACATCTCGGATGGAATCCTTTCCATCCGACCTTTTAATGAAGCACCACCCAGACCACTGATAGATTACAACAAGACTTGTGATTTGTCAGCATCTGGGAAAGCTACCAAAAGGCACATCATGGGCGTTAGCAAGATTATCGAGTATCAGAGCTCACATAACTCACCCGTGGCGGAAGACATGCCTGGGCTTGAAGGCTAGGGTGGTAGCCACGTAAAGTCCAACAACACTCGCTAAGGCCACATCAGGACGCTGTAGACTTGGGAGAAGTCATGTGGTATTGAAGGGAGGTGGTTTCCTTTTCACATAGGAGTGCCAGTCTTGTGTCAGGGTGGTTCCGAAGCATCGCCTGGGTGGACTGTGTAACTCGTCAGCTTCTTTCTGCAACCTAAATCACTCGTTGGTTTCCATTATGATGTAAATCATTATGGGCCCGGAAACACGCGGCGGCTTAAAGAAATTATATTCAACCAGAGTGACCCCGTGACAGTACTGGGGAGCAAATTCAGACACCAAGTCCACCACGTGAAACGAGCCTAGTACCAGACAGCTTGGGAATCGGCAAGGAGGAACCAGTGGCCTAATTGACAACCTATGAGCAATCCCACATGATTTCCAGGTACTGTTTCGATGAAGATGAGCCTGCGTGCGTTTCTAATTTGAGCGTCTATGTAAGCTGTGTCTTCCGTCGCGTCACCGATTGTGAACTTCCAAGTTTTCTCCGTCGATTCGTAGCACTCATCTAGAAGGCCCAATCCGATGGAACGAAACGCAGTGATTACCCCCAACACCAGACGTCTATGCCAGACTGATCAGTGGTTCCTAGCAAGCTCGTTCAGTAATTGCAAGCCTGCGTGAAAACGCCACGTAGGCAGGCCAAGGTCTCGCCTAGCAACTAAAAGCATCTCTTCTCAGCTTCATCATCGCCTCCGCCCCATTTCCTGTTAATGCAGGACATAAACCCGCAACCATGATCCTTATTGAGTTTCTCGCACGTCTCAAAGTCCTCGCACTTCTTTCTGTAACACTGGTCTTCTTCAGGTAGGATCTCCGTGACGCCAGGTAAATGCAGGATGGCATCGATGTCAGCTCGACGACCGAGCCCCTTGTCGAGGGCCTCGACTTCGCCGTCGGAGAGCTCGGTCTCGTAGTCCGAGTCGCCGTTGGCATAGTGCCCGATGAACTTGTTCTTGTCTCTGATGTCGGCTAGCCTCTGGGTGTCGGTCGACGGGGGGTCCCAGACGGCGATGGCTTCCCTGATGGACTTATCTCTCTGTTGATGGGCATGTCAGCTCGGATCTCCCTGCCATGTAGCGGTGGTGGGGAGGGTTATTGGGGTCATTACAGCTGCAAGATGATTGCCGCGCTGCTCGCTCGGCGCTGACGCTCCGGAGGTGATGGCCCATGCTGCCATGAGCGTAGCAACGGCGGAGGTCTTCATCTAGAATCTTAAGGCGGATTGAAACTCCTTTGGGCTATATCTGGATCACCTCGTGACGAAAGCTTGTCTTATAGTCGGGAATGCGAAGATGCCGGTGTTGATGAATTGACGGACAATATGGTCGATACAGGGCCTAAGAAGGGTAGTATATATACACTTACACAGGTAGGCGTACCGAGTTACGAGGGCACTGTAAGTCGAGACGGAGGCGCTTATTACGTATTTCGGTCTAAAAGTGTCTACCATGCTTGTTCTTGCTGCGTTCTGGATGAGGCTTTAATCCGCAGTCGTTTATTTAACGCCGTCCTACCTGCCCTACTCGCCACCGGCGAGCAGTGGTATGTTTAGAATGACCAGCATAATGAGGCCAAGGGCAATTGCACTATAGAGTGTGTAGCTAGCTTTCTCGTCAGCTGCCCTGACACCTTCACCGGCATGGAACATCTTTGGATCGCATAGTCTCCCACTTTATTCCATCCAGCGCTGAACTTCCTAATTGAGATATACGAGGCCTGCATCAGGATCCAAGTCGAGATCCAAGTGGCCACCGACACATCCTGAAGGATCCCCGATGAAGCGGAGAACCCTCGTAGGCACTCTTGGCTACCTTCGGGGACCCCGAATGCGCACTCGCGGCTGCTTCCAGATGACGGATCGTAAACTTGGAAAGATTCACGTGTATCGCTGGGAACCCATGGCCGACCGAGTAAGTCGTCATGCCTTTTATGTCTGGCAATGAGGACCTTGAGCAGACAGCTTGGTATACATTTGGGGTATTATGATGAATCAAGTTGCTCGACTCGCTACCCCGTACTCGGGAAGCCCCCTAGATCCGGTCCACGATCCAATCCCACCACTTGTCAGCCTCGCCCTTAAGCACACTGCCCCCAACAACATCGATCTCGATATCAAATTCTCTCATCTGGCCGAAGGAGAACTTCTCCGAGCCGTACTCGCCCAACCAGGCATCCTGCTCCTCCGATCCAATATCGTCGATGCCGACCCCCGAATCCAACAGCCCCTTGCTCTTCGACTGCCGTATGCGCCCCAGCTCCGCCTCCAGCTTGCTCCTGACCAGCGACGCCGGCAGCGCCGTGAACAGGTCGAGCTTGTTCGCCGCCATCAGCACACTGACCGCGTTTGGCGACCGCGACGTCTTGCCCGCGCCCGTGCGCCGCTGCAGCGCCAGCAGGATGTCGTACAGGTACGCCGCCGTCTCCGCCAGCGAGTCCACAAGAGTGGCCGCGTCAAGCACGAACACGACCCCCTTCAGCGTCTTCTGCCCCGGGCCCTGGTCCTTGCTTTTGTCGGCGCCGACCAGGCTGCCCATGGCGTGGTTGCGCAGCTTGCCGTGGCCCGGGGTGTCGACCAGTAGGAACTTCTTGTGCGAGCCGGGAGCGTCGTCCCGCGCGGCCTCGCGGTACGTGCGCGCGCCGCCGTCGGTCGACGCGGTCAGCTCGACGGATTGGGGCGTCTGCGAGGTGTGGGTTGCGGCGGCCGCATCGCCACGCTCGAAGAGCGTTAGGAGGGAAGTCTTGCCGCCGCCTGGGGGGCCCGCGAGCAGGATTGAGGGAAGATTCGTGTACGGCGTGCTGCGCGATATGAATAGGTGCACGAGGATGGGCACGACGAGCACGACGATGGCGCCGGCGATGAAGATGGGCGCCGAGGGCGTCAGGAGGAACTCGAGGGCTCGTTTGAGGTCGTCCATCGTCGCGGTGTTTTAGGGGTTCGTGCCGCTCAAAATTAGGAAGAAGGGGTGAAGTCAAGAAGGAGCGGGACCTCAAATCATTTATGGAGGAGGGTGTAGTTGAGCAGGCCGTACTGGACAACAGCTCATGTCTGGGCGGTGGGTTGACATTAATGATCTGTCAAATGTCAAAATGGCCTTATTCGGGAAGTCTTGGTGCCGTCATTCGATGCCAAGTCGGTGGTGGCCAGCCCTGCTGGGATCAGCCAGCTGCCAAGATTCCGGGGACCTCCTACCAATCAGACGCCACCTCAACGCTCTTCAATGTTTCGGCTACCGGCATCCTCAGTGGTCACAGTGGCTGTGCAGCGCCTTGCAACAATGTACAGCGCCGGTGTTTCACTGGTAGGCGGTGAACACAGCGGGCGGGCTACACTGTGGCTCAGCGCTGATGACGCCCGAAATGGCAAAGCCTCACTCGCTCTTTATTTCGAAGCAAATGGCTTCCTCCGGTCATCTGCTGACAGACCCTGCCTCCCGTCTCCTGCTTCAACTGAAATATTGCATTGTTGTCCCTCTCGCACATTATAGCAAGCAGTGCGCCGGCGTTGAATCATCTCTTTCGCTTCTGCGGTGCCGTCTGTTTGCGCGCCTGTGTACAAAAGTTATTGTCGATAGCAGCCACTGTTTCTATTTTCCATCGTCCAATATACCTACTTAGCCATTCATCGAGAGCAAGGCCGACATGTTCTTTGACGACTGTCTATAACCCCAAACCTCCGCCGACATTATCGAAACCCAGAGACCATCAGTATACTGTAGTTACACGACTGGTCGAGAAACCCTCTGCACAACCAATGTCGCAAACAATACCGAATGGCGCCTCGGGCGGAGCTCCCATACAACCTTCCTCGAAAGCCAACGCTGCCATGCCGAAGCTCAACTCGCAAGAAATGGAGATGGGCAACCTCTCCGGCGGCGAGGAGCTTCCTACCGTGCCAGACATCATGCAGCTAGCAAGAGTCGGGGACATACCGGGCATGGAGAAGCTGTTCGAGTCGTCAGAGTTGGATGCTACCTACACAGACGACGAGGGCATAACGCCTCTACATGTATGCGCTACACCTCCTTTCTTGCAGGTTCCGCGTACTGACAAAGACGTGTAGTGGTCCGCCATTAACAACCAGTATGCGATGTGCAAGTACCTTATCGAAAAAGGAGCCGACATCAACAGGAAGGGAGGCGACTCGGTCGCCACACCGTTGCAATGGGCTGCCCAGAGGTCTAACTACTATACCGTCAACCTGCTCCTCCAACACGGCGCCGATCCTCTCATTTCCGACGCGCAAGGGTACAACACGCTACACATATCCGTCTTCAATGGCAATGCTCTGCTGGTTGTGCTACTGCTGCACCAGGGAATACCCGTGGATGTGGCCGACGCGTACGGTCACACGAGCCTCATGTGGGCTGCGTACAAGGGCTTCCCACAATGTGTAGACCTCTTCCTTCGATGGGGCGCAAGTGTGCATGCGACCGACGAGCAAGGCTTCACGGCATTGCACTGGGCTTTGGTCAAAGGGTCGCCGCAGTGCATCCTCAAGCTCATCGAGTACGGGGCGGACCGGTTCGCCAAGACGGCAACCGGCAAGACTCCCGCCATTACCGCCAAGGACCTGAACACCGTCGGCGCATGGCATCGCGCGTTGAGAGAGTGTGGCTACGACGACGAGGCCCATGCCGTAATTCCCTGGTGGCCTGGCTCATCTTTCTTTCTCAAGGACAAGCGTGGGTTCATGAACAAGTTCTTGTTTCTGCTGCCGACCGTTATGGTCTGGATGGAGTTCATGATCACGTCCCACTTACCAGTCTTCTTGTCTGTGCCCCTGGCCTTCTTGGTTGGCTTTGGATTTCAGTGGATTACCAATCAGGTCCTCGAGTATGCGCCACCGGATATGAGGCATCTGCATAAAACGGTATGTTATGCGTTATTGAAGGTGCGCGGCATGTACTGACAGCATGTAGCCATGGCTAGCTGGGATCTTCGCCGGCTCTTTGTTCTTGACTGGCGTGCAGTGGCTGTTCGTCATATTACCAGGTAAGATATCATACCTTTTTGAAGAATGGCCGGCTTGCTTACCGGATCTAGCGACCTTTTCGAGTCACCCGGTCCTCAACTTCGTCTTCATCACTGTTATCGGGCTCACGGCATACTTCTACGCTATATGCATGGTCTTCGACCCGGGTTTCGTGCCCAAGCTCAATGGAATCGCCGAGCAGAAAGCCGTGATTGACGAATTGTTAAGCTTGTGGAAGTTTGACGAAACCAACTTCTGTGTCACTTGCATGATCCGCACACCTCTAAGAAGTAAGCACTGTCGGCGATGCCAACGTTGCGTGGCCAAACATGACCAGTAAGTCCTTCTCAATCTACAACTGCGTGGACTACAACTTAAGCATGGTAGCCATTGCCCGTGGGTGAACAACTGCGTTGGCGTGAACAACCATCGGCATTTCTTCCTCTACCTGCTCAACCTGATATTTGGTGTTGCATTCTTTGACTGGTTGTTATACCTCTACTTTTCGGAAATGCCAAAGTCTGGGTCCTCATCCGAATGTCTGATTCTATCCGAATCTGTGTGCAATATCTTCAGCTCGGACCCCTACAGTATGCTGGTCGGCATTTGGGCGACGCTGCAGCTCACATGGGTCAGCATGCTCATCTTTGTGCAGTTTGTACAAGTCGCCCGGGCCATGACCACATACGAGAACATGTACGGTATCCAGGATGGTTCGGCAACCTCTCTCGGTTCGACATTCACCAGTACTGGCGCACCGTTGGATCCGAGCCATCCCGATGCCGGAACACCTACATCGGCGGCGGATGACCCGCTCGGCACCGGAAGGGGGGCGCACGCGCACAAACACCGGAGCTTCCTACAACAGTGGAGCCGTCTACTGGGCGTCGATACTTTCCTCGAAATAGCCACTGGTCGTGGCGCCGCAGCTGGAAAGAAGATGCGCAAGAAGAAGAACCCATACAGCCAGGGCTACTTCCAGAATTGCAAGGACTTCTGGTGCGACCCGGCACCCATCTTTGGGCGTCGGGAGACTGGTGATGCGATGATTGGCGGAGCGCGGATCAACTACACCGAGATATATGAGAGCCCGTCTGCGTTGAACATGGGGCTGAATGGGAGGAGGAGAGGTGGTTATGAAACTGTCGCGGGCGAGGAAGTATAGACTTTCCTGGTGACATGATGTGGCTATGATGACGGCAGCAAGGCATGGTGTCCAGTGAATGTATCATGTGGCGTTCAGACCTGCAGTCCAGGTAGGCAATTGTTTCTACGCCTGCTAATATACCTATCAATGCATGGGCTGTGTATACCTACCCCTGACGAGCTTATGTGGCACATTCAATCGAGATGAATATCAAGCAGATTTTTCTCCATCAAAAACCTCCGTACTGATCCGGAAATACTTGCGAAAGTTGAGAACCACTTCCTGCACATACCCCCTATTCAGCTGGTTCAGACAAGCAGGCGACCGATTCATCTTCCTCCCCACCGGCGGCCGCCTCGCCAGCGCCTCCAGCGCCTCGAGGAACAGGCTCGCCTTGCGCACCAGGTCCAGCACCAGCACACGCTTGCACAGCGCCGGGTCGTCGTCGAGCGCGACCTCGTAGTAGTCGCCCGCGCCCGTGCCCGCACCGTTACCGATCCCGATCCTGACGGTGGTGGCGACGCCGTCGAGCCCGGCCTTGACGACGTAGTTGAAGCACGCGGCCGTCTGCTGGAACACGGCCACGACGCACACCAGGTCCACGGGGCCGAGCAGCGGCTGGCAGCGCGCGCAGTCGACGGCGGCCTGGGCGGCGGCGATGACGCGCGCCGTGGTGCGCAGGGCCGCGTCTAGGCGCGGGGAGGGGCTGGTCTGGGTTATGGTCTCGAGGAAGGGGATTTGGGCGGTTAGGTTGGTGCGGCAGGGGCAGGGTGGTGGTTGTGGTGCTGCTTCTGGTGAGGATGGGATGGTGGATGGGGGGTGTGCTGGGTTCTGGGGATTTGCTTTGCTGTCTGCTGCATTTGAAGTTGGAGCTGCGGCCGCGATGGATGGCGCGGCACCTAGATCGTCTGGGATATGGCTGGATGATGAGGATATCCCGCTTGGCTGCGTGAGTGTGTCAACAACATTGATACAAGGTAGCGCGTGATAGAAGCCCTTGTTCACGTGGCAGCTTACATCAACGATGCTCTCCGGAAACACCCAGTCGAACTGCTCGAGCGCATGCTCGAAAGACTCGTCGGGCCATTCCAGCGCTCCTCCCTGAACATTTTCGTGAGCCTCGCTAGCGCTATTTACATAGCTTGAATTCGCACCCCCGGAAGAATCCGCCGAGGACTGATCTTGCGTCTGCAAGGTCGACGATGTGGCGTCACCGGCTGTCACTCCACTGCTCATCGGGGACAGTGCCTGGACGGGTGGGTTGGTGTCACTGTCATCTGGCGAGGCGACGTAGCTGCAGCGAACGCCTCGGCTCTTGCATCATCCGCACTCCTGCTGTCCGCTGCATTTCACTTTCGCTCTTCGACAGCCCAGGCATGCTGTTCGCGGCCGCCGGACCCGCGGCCTTGCGCCTGAGCCATCTGATGCCGGTGGGCACCAGTCGTGCACGAGTACGCCGTGGTTGCGAATGGCGGGAGAGGAGGACGACATAGTCTATCTTCTTGAATTCTGGCGTATGGCAAATGTGCCGGAGATTGAGTTGATAACATTGCTGATTACTGATTGATCTCGCTGGCGGCTGTTATTTGGATGTGGTTGGGGTTCACGTCTGCATTTTCTGACAGCTGACTAATAGGGTAACATTGATTCAACGTCAAGCCTCCCTATGGGATGTCCATGCTGGACGGGCCAATCAGAGGCACGGGGATGGCCTGCAGGCATGAGCAAACGTCCGTGTCTAGAACGGTGTACTCATCATATCCTTCATTCAGATTGACCAGCATGATTTCATGCCTACCATGCTCCGAGGTCGCCCGGGGTCCTGGTCGTTACCGACGCCTTGTTGAGAGACGACGTCCTTCAACCAGGCACAAGACCTGGCAAGTTCCAGTTTCCTTCCGCTGCTATAACAGTCATACGGATACAACCGATCTGAAGTGTCCGTGGTGGAAGAACATAGATTTTAGAAATCTCTTTCCATCCCACGGATTTTGGTTACCAGTCCTCCTTTACGCTTGTCGCCTATTCTTAACTGGCGCTACCTTGGAAATCGAAGTTCGCCGCGAGGAGATCACACTACGGGAGTGCTACAACACACGACGTAAGCTACCCGACACACTGGTGCTTGCTTGATACGTTATACCCCTGTCCCTGAATCTGAAGGCTGACGGGTCCTTTTGTGGCCGGGCTCTCCTAGATCAGTCGGGACTCTTTCTGATTTCCTGTCTGTCGGACACTTACGAATTAAGCATGTAAGGGACTTGATCCGGCCACGACCTGCTAAACGAACAAGGAGGAGCAAGTGGCCAGATCACATAATCTATGAGCCTATACGCTGGCTAGATAGTGACCAATCCTAGTACTGGATGATCAGCAGCGTGCTGGAGCGATAGTGGTGTAGTAGCGCTAGAATATCCACGAATATGTTGCCTGTCGAGGATTGCATCTATCTACCGTGTTGCATATTATGAGATATGCTGCTCCACTATCGCTGTTGATCCAGCTGTGATTGCTCTAGTCCTGGTGTTCTGAAGGTCAAACTTGTATCCGGGGTGACCAGGTCGACTGGAACAGATAAATAAGGCTCCCCCACGCGAGTGGTTTTCACACCCTCCTCTCAACTTCTTCATCTCCGAATTCCACCATCACCTCCACCCAGCTATCGGGATGGATGAACCCAACGACGACGCTGGCGAACCCAGCCAAAGATCTGTATGATCAGCCTTTCACCATATTGTCACCTAGTCTTTGGAATCATAGCTAACATTTGCCTGGAAAGCTTCCGCAGTTGATTCAACGACAAGCAATCGGCCAGGAGCCGTACGCCCGTTCTTGTGCATTCGGGTTCCACCACGGAGTATTGTATGGAGAGCACACTTCGCCACCGGGAGGGGATTTCATTGCTCCAGCAACGTCTTCTGAGACACCGAGTCTTTCTGAATACCCTGTGCCACCCGAACAACACGGCGGAGCTCAGTCCTGGCCAACGAACTCAGCACAGCGAATTTGAGATTTTGCCCTTGAACATCGAATACGACAGACCCCAAGACTCGCGTATGGGCTTCCGACACGACGCGTCTCAACATGTACCTATGGTTTCTCAGTATAGCGGACCGCAGGACTTTCTATGCACCCCAACAACCACAGCGGGTTCGACGACACACCCAGGACTTCGGAGCGGCTTTTCGAGCCCTCAAGCTGCCACACAAGATGACGAGGGCACAACAGATCGGCCTACGAAGAAAAACAGGGCTAGCAACACTTGCGAACTGCCCACAAAGTTATCGACGATGTAAGGAAGAGAGGCCGCAGTGTTCTCGTGGCAGAGAGCTCGGTGGGGATTGCGAATATACTGCTGAGAAGAAGCAAGGACCGGTTTAGCTGACATTTGTAAGGCCTTGGGATCGCGTTAAGTCCCAACTACGAGACCTTCTCATGCACCTTTGATGGCGCCGCCTGCGCCAGCAGAAGAAACCGTGCTGCTCGTCCTAAAGTTCGCCACTACAGCGATCGACTCGGACAAGCCTCAGGGGCGTATAAGATCACGCGCTGCAACGACGCCGTCCGATCCAGCGGCCCTGCAGGCCGAGTACGGCTGCCGGTTACCGCCGGTTATCGACAGCGATGTGGCCTACCTGACCGAGTGCCCGCCGTCGCAGGCCGGCAATATGTCTACTTGCCCCATCCACAACGGCAACACAGCTGCTTGGGTTCTCCCCTGTAAGTAATGTCACCTTTAGTAGAGTTGAGCTTACACTAACCCTACGTTCAGCCCAGATCCAATGAATCACAGACGGCAAGTCCGTCCAGAACGTGTCCGCCGCGGTGAACATTTGTAAGTGCTCATCCTACGTTGAGCTCACGTTGAATCCACGACCACTGACTATACAAATAGTGTCGCCCAAGGCTCGAGTCACTATCTCGAAGTCCAATGGCAGCGTGTACCTCAGCCCACGTTAGGCCTACGTTGAGCATATGCTGACAGGATACCAGATGTATGATGGAACTGGAGGCTGGATCTGGCAATGGCACCATGTTTGGCGAGACCGCCTCCCGCTCCTCTACTCGACCTTTTCTTTACGCACGCTCGAAGCATTTGCTCCCGATGCCACGAAAGTTTGACCCGTACAACAATGGTCGCGATTCGTGTAAATGTAAGTCCAGGCCGATCCTGATCCTATTTTTCGACCTATTGCAAGAGTGAGCTGACGCGCCAAAGTCCACAAGCATTTCGAGCCCACAGAGCGTGTGAAGTACACAGCAGGAAACCGCTGGACGATGGAGCGACCTTTGAGAACAGACACAGCGTGGGCCCAACGTCCGTGAAAGGATGTACGTTTAGGGAAAAGAAAGGAGCGAATGGGACACCGGGGCATGGCAGGATGACAATCTTTTGTGCACTTGGTAGCGTTTTCCTTGACATTCAAACAGCGAGTTAGGACTCAGGAGTCTTGGGTTTTCTCTATCTCCGCACCATGAAGCAGTGATTTAGGATAGTAGCAACCCAGGTCTCACCATCCACTACGGCTTCGCCGCGGACTTTTATCGGAGATCTGGTAAGCGTTTACCACCATCTTGAGAGCCGCAGCCAATCACAGGATCAACTCCGAGAACGCAGCATTAATTGTCGACGAACGCGTCCAATTTAGCGCTTCTACCCGCGTAGATATCGACAGACAGCCATGCAGTAACTCAGTGCCCTGGGCGGATTGAACAAGTATTCGAAGGGTTTCGCTGCAAACCTTCCGCCGTTGAGTCTAGGTCAGAACTTTACCTATGTAGCAACAGACTTTTGATATGCCGATGTACAAGAGCAGCACGTCCTCAAAACGGAAGCCGATAAGGTGTGAGCTATGCTTTCAAAGGTCTTGGCTTCGAACTTGGGCATGACGGAGAAGATGAAGGCTATGGATGGGTGCATGTGAATCTTATTTGCGAGCCAACGGATGTGGGTATGATGGAAGGAGAGATGCATGGAGAGCTGGAAGATTGCGGATGTCTTGACTCACATGGAGCTTGATACTTGACAATATGACAGTGAGAGCACCAGCTCTGTCTTTTTCTTGTCGTCCAAGATTAATCGCGAGATATTCTGCATATCTCATCTGCCCGGGCTCCTTCTGGTTGAACTGATGCTTGAAATTAGCGGTGATAGCGTTTTGAGTTAATGAACGACTAAGTCATATCTTGTTTTACATTGGCTGATGCGTATAACGTCAATAGAATTGGATGTGCATGGGCTTTCGGTAGTGCTAAATGACAGCTCGTCGAATATTCTGACCAAGGGCCTTGACTAGGTAGTAATTCCGTAAAGGCATGAATACCGGGTTGTATGACATCTTGTCCAAGTGTTAGGATGGGCCAGTGGCGCTGGAGCATATATATATTGATATGATCTAGACTCTCCCGGACCCTGTTGTGAACCCCTTGGTGTTGATTTCCAACTCAGCTGTTAAACTTCCCGTGGTGCGATGATGGAGAAATTATCATATTTGAAAAGGTTAAGCTATATGTTCTCAGAGTCCAACGCTAACGAAGTAAGAAGCAAACAACCCCAGGTCGGCGAGACATAATCATTCCTCATTACAGTTCCCTCCCTATCCTTACATCTCATAAAGCGTCGCGGGACTCTTGGCGTTCAACTAAAGCTCATGCGCAACGACCGACAGCACAGCAAGCTTGGCTTCCACGGTGTCTGTGGTGTTCAGCTTGGATAGGACATCAGCCATCGGCGCCATACGCTCATGCACGTAGTCCAACCAGAAAGTGCCCATGCCCAGCATCCAAGTCACCCGTTTCCCTTCAATTGCCCTGATAGTGTTGACCAGCGGCGGGATAACAACACGCGGGTCCATGTCCGCACTGCACTGAGCATCGGCGAGACTGTACTTAGCCACTTCGATGTAGTAATTCTCCCCTTTCCAATCTGTGACACTCTCCATTCCATAGGCGACGACGTCGGCCCACCGACGTTGGGCCTCTTCCCAGTCATGTTGCATGTGGGCGATCTGGGCCAGACTGCACTTGATGGCAAAGTGCCGAATCTGCTCGTCATACCACGACCCAGTGGCCTCGATCCGCCTGAAGCGCTCGATGATCCTGCGTAGCTCCTTCTCGGCGGTTGCATAACGTTCAGGTGCGTGTTTCCCCTGGTGCGTAAGCGTCATGGCGTGGATTATCTCCAGCCATACGGTGTCTCCTTCTTTGGCGTTCATTCGAGATTCTGGTGTGAGGTATCCTCGTTCAAACATGCGACTCTCTATAGCCCTCGAGAGGACTTAAGAAGAGAGATCGCAGGCCCGTGCACACTCGGTCAGAGGTACCTTCTCGCCGAAGTTGGTGCCATGGGCAGCAAGGTCGGCCAAGATCTCTTTACCATCTTCGGTTTCCTCGAGCTCGACCACCAGCTGCCCGAAGTCGCCGATCGCCCAGCCTTCTTCACGGCTGCCTCTTTCTGCATATAGCTCACAGTACTCTTTCAAGCCGAAGTAAGCTTCCTTGAATTGCCCGAAGTCCTTGGCAAGCTTGCCGCGCATCCGGAGCCCAAGCCCAACAATGTAATTCTCTAACGTCGAAGGGTGGTTGGGGTGCAGCGGCTTCCATGCATCGATGAAGTCGGCACGCTTCTGCCATCGTTCCCTCGGTGACAATTCCGGCTCCGGGGGGTGATGTTCAACGGTCAGGGCTCTGAGGATCCCCACTTCATCATTGTCCCGGTTCGTCCACCCTTGTCGATCGCGCTCCGCCTCAAGTGATTCCAAGAATGTGTCTGCAGCTTTGCAGCCTTCATAGAGTCTCCCGGGCTTATAGTATTCAAGAGGAAGTCGCTTAGAACAGAGCCGCGCGCGAAGGAACATGCTGCTTGAATCCCTCAGTAGTAAGCTGCTGTAGAGTGTCTCGACGGCCTTTGAAGTGACTTGACGTGTCCCAAGGAATGAAGACACGAGCGTTGCTTGAGACAGTCCCGTTCTTCATGAAGAACGCGAGACTGTCAACCACTTGTTGGAAGACTTCGTCGTCTGTGTTCTCGAATTTCGCGATATTACGATGGTTGCGCTCAGCGCCGTACAACCTTTCACTAGGTATATGCAAGATCGCGGAATCTTTCGTGACCACCTAAACCATCGTCAGCTCCGGGAACATACAAGAAAAGGCGCCGATGGCCTACGACAAAGTTCATGCAAGGAATCGCAGTGAAGGCGTGGAGCTCGTAAAAGCTGGCGATGGGCATCCGCCTTTGGTTGACGATCTGCCTGAATTTCTCGGCGATAGCCCGTCTAAGAAGAGTTTAGCAATATAACGCAAACCCCTCGGGTTGGTTGGTGTGCTCACAGTTCTGGGGACCTCTGTTTCAAGGCCTTGACGAACTTTTGCGGAGCACCAGTGACGTTCGTGAATCGAATGATCTTATCAGCGATATCGGCCATTGCACTCCCGCGGTGAGGCGTTGCTAGAAAGACGATGCCCTCAACCGACCACAGGATATGTCTTAATGATAGGGCATTGTTGCTTGTGATGAGAGCCTTATGCAGGTTAGCGCCGACGTTTGATGTTTCGTCACCCAGCCGATCTACGAACCTTCTTCAGAACCAGGCCACCAAGAGAATGCACGATGAATATTAGGGGTCGGTTGCGTTGCTTTCAGTGTGCCAGATAGAGCCATAACATCTCCCACCCCCCTGCGGACCACCCCCCCCCGCGGACCAGCGCGTTCTGACCCACAAACGCGTAATTCACCAACCACCAGGATTATGGTGATCCACCATCTACACCATCACTTTTGCATCTTTTTTTTCACAAAGCACACTATTTGAATCCTTATCCACTGCTAAATCTCATGATATCATTTTACGACTGTCAAATAAAAGCTGAAGCCGCCATTTTGGCCATCCAACGCGGAGCTCCAGTCCGCTCGTCAGCCCTCGAATGGCAAATCAGTCGCTCGTACGTCAACCGACGAATCTCTGGCACCCCAACACAGAATGAGACCAGCGCTCTCCAACAGGCTCTCTCACCGTATCTCGAACATAAGCTGGCAAGCTGGGCCCTGGGGCAAGCACGGCTAGGGTATTCTCCGGCGGTCTCTAAGTTCCGTCTCATGGCCCAGCGGATGCTCCATGCCACCGGGGATGCTTAAGAATTAGGGGAAAATTGGGCATCCAAGTTCCTGTCTCGAAACCCGGAAGTCAAGATAATAAAGTCTCGTGTTATCGACTACAACCGAGTGAATGGTGCTACAACGGCAAATATCAACATTTTTTTCGATCGGTGTGACGCCCCTGACGTGGTTAACCTCATGCCAGCACGCTGGTACAACGTCGACGAAATGGGAATCGCCCAGGGGGTTGGGGACTCCCATTAGGTGGTCTCCGAGGCCTCCGGCAACGTGGCTATGAAGAAAGGGGTCGAGAAGGGTGAATAGATAACTGCCCTAGAGTGTGTGAGCGGATCTGGTGAGACCTTGCCGCCGCTGGTGATTCTCAAGGGGGTTAACGTACAAGCCCAGTGGTTTAGCAACCAAAATGAGGGCAAATTCACCAACTGGAGGTTTATTATGTCGCCCAATGGATAGACCTCGAATCCCATTGCATTAGAATGGCTTCAACGTATCTTTATTCCTCACATTCGGGAGGTCCACGGCAACACATGGGTGGTTTTGGTGTGTGATGACCACGACTCCCACACGAATGACGAGTTCCTAGCCACCTGCTTAAGAAACAAAGTATGGTTGATCTTTTATGAACCTCACTGCTCCCATATAGTCCAGGTGTTAGATATAAGAGTCTTTAATTTAGTAAAGAAAAGGTTAAAGACCTTACTCCAGGAGACGCCCAGCGGCCGTCTGGGACTCAGGCCATCTAAGGAGGAGGTTTTGGAGTGCTACGAGCAGGCCCGGAAGGACACAATGACGCTCCTTAACATCAGAATTGCCTGGAAAAAGACTGGGAATGTTCCTTGCAACAGAGCGGAGGCATTAAAGTCGAAATATATGATTCTGGAGGACAAGGGGGTGGCCAGGGCACGCCAAAGGGACCCTAAGGCTTCCGAGCGAGCCACAACACCAGATTTTCTCGAGATGGTAGCTAAAACCATTGTCACAACACCTTCTGGAAGCCGGGCTTTGCGGGAGAGTGCTCAAAAGCTCGAAAGAAAGGACCCTTCCTTTGGGGGGCCCTCTGAGCGCTTGTTGGTGCAAAAGGCTGGCAAGGCCATGGATATTCAGGCTGCTATCATTGCAAATCTACGGGCTAAATGTGAGCTGCTTGAGGCTCAAGTGGCTAAAAAGGCTAATACCACTCGAAAAGCAGTCAAACCAACACCAGGGGAACGATTCGTCACAATAGCTAACATAAGGGAGGCCAAAATGGAGCTAAGGAACAGGAGGGTCTATAGGGACTCCGCTGCAGGCGAAGAGGTCCCACAAGAGGTCCCTGGTGAAGATTTAGGGTCGGAATCGGATTCTGGGAGCTGTATTATGGTTAGAACACCACGACCGTAGTGTATTTAGCAACTGTGGTGGTTGTAGATGGCTTCATCTGAATGAGAGTGGTGTGGTGTGGAGTGGTCCGTGGGGGGGTGGTCCGCAGGGGGGGGTGAGATGTTACGCGCTTGGATGGTCGTAAGAAGAGCGTTCCTCAGTCATTGCCCGCACCTTCTCAAGGCCATGAATGAGCTTCCAGGCAGCGTCTTCAATGTCGAGATCCAATTTAGTGCCATGTTGACCAGCGGCGTAGCCGAATGTCATGATTCTGTTGACCCCTATTCTAGCAGACATCTTTGGGAGCAGATGCTGCGGCCAGCACACATCCCGGTCGGTCGTCCGGGTCTTCATGTAGTGACCCGTGAGACCATGAATTGTGACAATGCTATAGCGAAAATCTGCCCCGGAAAAGTGAGCAAAAGTAAAGACTTGGAGGGATTGATGGGCTTGATAGTATGTACTCTGCGTTTACGTTGTCACCAGTGTCATCCAGCTGGCCGGAGAGGATGACCAAGCACGAAGCAGCATCATTGACGGCGTTCTTGGACCCGCGCGACACCCATGATGGTTGTGCTTCCGACCCTTCCCGCACTCGCGTCATTTGATGCACAGTTTTCTTGGACTCGATATTGCTGACTTCGTTGAGGAGGTTTGGTATATCTGTCAAATGGCACGCAAGCCACAGTGGCGTTCAGGGAAGTGGCAGTGCACCAACAGGGCCTCTAGGGCAATCTCGGGCCCTGCAGCTTACGACAGCAGATCCTTCAGAGACACACACTCTAATAAGAATCACCAGAATACACGTTATCAACCAGATGAACCATAATGCACGCTGTTTAACAATATCAGGTTGCGCTCGTGAGTCGATTAGGCTGTGTGACAGAGCGGGGAGCAAACACTTCCACAGGAGATTATTCCATTGAGTATATTGCCACCGGGGGCGTCCTGGACTACTTTTTTCTTGCAGGGCCAACGCCAAAAGAGGTCTCGCAGCAATATGCGGGTGTTGTTGGACCACCGGCATTAATACCCTACTGGAGTCTCGGAGTTCGTTGATTCTCTCCAAGGCTAGCGGAGTTGAACCTAACATTGTCCCAGTTCCATCAATGCAAGTTTGGGTACCAGGACTGGTTTGACGTCGCAGAGGTTATCACCAACTATTCTCTTGCTGGCATCCCTCTCGAGTAGGCATTCCTTGTTTATGCTATCGTAGGCTTTGGCTGGCCAAACAAGACTATTCCGCTTACAACAGAGGGGTTGACATGAATGTGTTCCTAAAAACTCCGAACGGGGCCTTCTTCGAAGGTGTAGTCTGGCCAGTAAGTCATCTTGTGGGACATCTTGATACCTCGACTCACTGATTCAAGGACGTGACTATGTTCCCAGACTGGTACCACCCTAATGCCACTGCCTTTTGGATCGAGCAATTCGTGGATAATTTCGATCCCGAGTCGGGTATAGATATTGATGGAATCTGGTACGTTCCGAGTCTCTCTTGCGCGGAATCTCGGTCACCGCTGCTGACTAGCTAGGATCGACATAAATGAGCCAGCCAGCATGTGCAAATTTCCATGCGAGGACCCCCTGGCTGAAGCCAGGCGGCTCGGTATGCCTCCTGAGCCACCACCATTGAGAGAGCCCCCTCGGTCACTACCAAATTTTACCACATCCAGTCCAAATCCCGACTCAGTCTTTGAAAGTCAGGCCCAGTGGCTCGTTCAACTCCTTGAGGTTTCTCAGAATTATCAACGACAGCACAAGCTTGGTACCCGAGGTCCCACGTATCCGGAAGCTGACAACCACTTGCTACACCCACCTTATAACATTAGCAATGGAGGACCATCTGGTCAGTTAAGTGACCTGACCGTACCAACAAATGTACGGCACGCGAACGGGCTGCTTGAATACGACATCCACAACCTTTATGGAATGAGTAAGTGCCGTATTTCACCCGCCTTTTTGAAGATATACTGATTGACTGACAGTGATGAGCATGGCTACTCACCAAGCTATGCTGCACAGGCGACCACTATTGAGGCCGTTCATCATCACCCGCAGTACGTTTGCCGGTGTCGGTAGATACGTCCAGAAGTGGCTTGGAGACAACGCATCTAGATGGGATCACTAGTACGTGACCATACCATCTTACCCAATCCGTCACTGCTAAAATGATTGCTGTAGCCGTTCCTCTATTGCAGGAATGTTGGGATTCGCCGCGATATTCCAGATCCCCATGGTCGGAAGCGACGTAAGAGGGTGCCCGCTGCCATCTCGTGTACGTAGCATGCTAACGGATGATATAGGTCTGTGGCTTCGAACTGACACCCACCCCCGAACTCTGTGCTCATTGGACGACTCTCGGCGCGTTTATCCCCTTTTTCCGTAACCACGCACATGATGAAGCTCCACCGCAGGAGTTCTACCTCTGGCCACTCGTCACCTCGGCTGCGAAGCATGCGATCTCACTGCGGTATCGCTTACTGGACTACCTCTACAGAGCACTATACGCGCAGTCCCTAGATAGCACACCCGCGATCAACCCCATGTGGTATCTCTACCCTTCAGACCCCAACACATTTGCCATCGACCTCAGTACTTCTACGGCGACTGCATACTCGTCTCCCCAGTGACCGATGAGAACGCGACGGACGTACACATCTATCTCCCCGATGACGTCTTCTACGACCTAGAGACCGGGGAAGCGGTGCGTGGACGGGGCGAGTATGTCCATCTGCGCTGTGTACCGTTTGACCGCATCCCGCTGCACGTGCGAGGGGGCTGTGTGGTCCCTATGCGGGTTGAGAGTGCGAATACGACGACTGAGCTGCGCAAGAAGGCCTTCGAGTTATTGGTGGCCCCCGGCTTGGACCGGACTGCGGCTGGGATGTTGTATGTTGATGACGGTGTGTCGCTTACGGGCAGCGGCGACAGGCTGGGCTTACGCTTTCGCTATGATGGTGATGCGGTAGGGATATCGCCAATGGAAAAGTTCCATGCTGATGAGGAAGGATTACCTGATCGGATGGAGAAGGCTGGGATACGTATCGCACGAACAACGATCATGGGCCAGGAAGTGAAAGGGGGTTTGAGTGGAGATCATCTCAGGCAATGAATGACCCTCAAGAGAGACAGGAAGAATGTTAACATACGAATTCGCACATCACGTGCAGCAGTCACTTCTGCTTCTCAAGCTGCGTATAGTCCATGTCTATACCGAAGCCCCGCATCAATTGAAGAAACAGATTAACGCATCTAATGAAGGACATGATGATCTGAAATTGTATCGAATTCCCATACGAAACCTGATCATGATAGTCATTTAGTTTGGCTAAGCTGTCTAAAGTTATCCAGCTGTGACGCGACATGATGTTCTAGAACCGAGTGGCATCTCCATACGAAACCCGATCGTGGTGGCCACTAAGCCTGGCATGGTGAATAGGGGCTGCACTGCAGTTGGCGGCAGGTGGCTGCAGGTGTAGCTGAAAAACAGCATCGTTGCAAATAGTATGACTCTTGATTTATTGCGTGTAATTAGTTCGACCTCTAGGTCCGTCACTACCAGCACTTACATATAACAAGGATATCGTTTAGAAAGAGCTCAGAACGCCTAGAAGTAATCCAGTATGACGAGCACACCTAAATCGTCTCCTACGCGCAAGACGCGCATTGTCTGCATCTCAGACACGCACAACCAGACGCCCAAGCTGCCAAAGGGCGACGTGCTGATTCACGCAGGCGACCTGGCCAAGCAGGGGAGCCGCTCCGAGCTGAAGAAGACGGTGGACTGGATCGAGAGGGCCGATTTTGAAGCCAAGATTGTCATCGCCGGTACGTGGACGGCTGTGGGTGCTGCTTGCACGGTGGCTACCTAAGTACTTGGAGCGTCCATCATGTTGACTCGGGCGGACTAGGAAACCACGATATAACTCTAGACGCACCGTTCTACGCGAAACACGGCTCGTCGCGGAAGTGGCCCTGCCCTCAGAACTGCGAGGAGAACCGTCGGCTTCTTACGGAGTCCGCCTCGATCACGTATCTGGAGAATGAGGCTGCGACTATTTACTTGACGGCACAGAATGGGCCAGGCACCTGCTTCAAGGTGTACGGCAGTCCGTACACGCCCAACAACCGGGAATGGGCTTTTCGATACCAGCCTGGACAATATGCGGCACGGCAGCTGTGGGATGCGATGCCCGCAGACGTCGACATTGTCGTTACGCATACCCCGCCACGCGGCCATCGCGATACGACGGTAGGGGGCGAGAGTTCGGGCTGCGAGGTACTTCTCCGCGCCCTTCATCGCGTACGGCCAATGCTCTCTGTGTTTGGTCACATTCATGAAGGACGTGGTGCGGAGAGGGTGCGATGGAAACTCGAGCCTCTGGAAGACGGACGCCTGACGGAGGGCCTGGAGGTATGGGCTGATCCGGGAGCAGGGAGCAGCAAGCAGTCACTACTCAATTTATCGGCCAAACGTGGTCGTCCTCTGGACAACTGCAGCAGATTGGCGACATGTCAGACCTATGATCCTGAGCTCTTACTAGCCCCGGGAGGGCATCTGGGCGTCCAACCTACCGATGACAGTACAACACGCTCATCTCTCAATGAAAGCGTAGCTGGCGAGGCAAGGGGGAGGGCGAAGGTCATGCTCGGTGGCGCGATTGAGTATCGTCAAGGTGTGCGATCAAGCGAGACTTTCGGGCTCGGGCACGAGCCTGACTGGGGGAGCGGCGGGAGGCGCGAGACTGTCATGATCAACGCGGCTTTTCTGGGTCCGCATCATCTGAAGAAGACATTCAACAAGCCGATTATAGTTGACGTCGATCTCCCCGTGTGGAGAGGGAGAACAGGACCCGATGCAGAACGATGTATAGGTGACTAAGCCCTACCACCAGACTGGGCGAAAGTGTCCCTGTGTTCCCCTCGCCGTTGTATATAGTTATATCTTAATGTGTACATGTAACATAGACCCTTACCACCGCCGTCTTCATGCTCTACACTCTTATACAACCCCAACAAAAGAATTGCTAAGAAATGACAAAACTCACGTAAGAAACAAGTTGATTTAATTTACAGTATAAATTCTACAGGCAGGAAGAGTCTCTCAGAGCTTCCCCTTCCATACTCGAAGGCAGTTACCTTGAATATGACATATGACTGACCGGCAATGTCGACTGCCAGACATACCCAGAAGACTGTACGACTATGCTTCGCGTGCTTGTGCCAAATAGGGTTGGTCAACGAAATTCTCACCCATCCGGCAGTCGAATTCACTTTTCCGGAACAAGACATCGGCCGTGGCATTTGCAGACCAGTCGCATCGTGCAAGCAAGGAGGAGATCATTTAGTCCCTTTTGGCCCAATTCTGTATATCCACTCATATTCTGTGTCCATGCACTTTGTCTTTCCTCTTGTGTGTGGGTGTTGGCAAGCGTGTGGTATGACATTCCTCCTCTCAGTGGCTTATAGTAGTAGAGGATCCTGAAAGGCCCCGGGCGGGCATTTCAAAGGAGAGTCGCAGTGGTAACGACTGGGACCAAAAGGCAGGTAAAGTGCGGTGCCTGTAATGTCGTCTGTTACTCCGAAGATCTTATTAGCTGTTCGGGGCTCTTCCCCGCAGGGAAGTGCAGCAGATGCCGAGACATGGGTACCACAAGGATCTAGTTGGGGAGGAGATCCATCGCAACGCGCAATAACGCCTCGGTCAGTACGGAAATTATTGCCATTCTTCAAGGTTGGGGATCCGGTGCGAACATATGCGCGACAGGACTACCGCGGAATGCATCGAGCCAATCTTGTCCCTTCTCCTGCGCTTTGATGTGCCTCAATGGCGAGACACCTGTCGGGTCTTTTTTGGCTAGGTACTCCTGAATCTGTTTTTCCAGAGCCGGACTTTTGCTGCTAATATAGCCCATAATCTTTTCTACCAACGAGTGAGCACCTTTGACAGGCCCTCTTTCCTTGCGGGCTGCATACATGCACTGCTCATCCGCAAGCTCACAGTTGGAGCACCGCGGGATCTGCTCGGTGCAGGGTTGGTGGAGCCGGCGACATCGTTCACAAGGGTTGGATGCCCGTTTTCTCTTTCTATTGGGTTGGTTGACCGTGACGGGAATAGCTCCTGAAGGAGAGTGCTGCGGTTGGCTACCAAGCGGAAACATGTCTTGACCGTTCGATCCGGAGTGCAGGATGTTTGGTCCTTCTTGTATGCCGTACCCATACGCGTTCATGTCTTGAGTACCCGTGTTTTGCACGCGCTCGTAGACTGGAGCGAGCGGGTTCAGGCTCCAAGCGGACGCGTTGTGTGTTCTTTCCATTTCCTGAAGGTGTCTCATGGGGGGGTATTCATTGCTTGTAACAGAGGTGGCAGCTGGTCCGGTGCTGGTTGGAAGAGCATAGTAACCTGGGCCTGCGTATATGTTTAGACCGGGAGGGTGGGACGTCTGGTAGTCCGATTCTGGAAGATAGGGAGCCAGCGGCAAAGCTCGTGTATTGGGGAATGTTCCCTCTGTTGCAGGGGGGTCGTCAATGGCATATCCCATTTGTTCAGCTTGATCCATGGCGGATAGTTCGAGTCTGGGGCTCCCGCTCTACAGCCATGGTGCCAGCTAGCGCTCTATAACAGAGTCGCGATCAAAAGGGCCATCTTACCATCGTGGAGACTGCGTCAAAGGGATTGAAGGGCGAGACGATCAAACTTCAACGAAAATGCGTTTCTCCTTTATGTTGTTCTGTGCGCGGACTTGAAGTGTAGGGTAAATTGAAATCTACCGCACGAGACGTTTAGTGGGCTGTATTGTGGTTGCTCAGGTACCAAGATCCAAAAATCGAGCGTTGCCCAGCTGCTTTACTGCATTCAAACAGTGGTCGCCCAGCAGTAGCCGTTTCAACGACGAGCTGCTGCAGAGAGCGACGGAACAACTCCAGATGAATGATGTAAGATCGCTCGCACTTCTTTGCATCCTCAAGTTTCCACTAGGATGCAAGGTCGAATCAGGAATATATAAATCTTATCAGAACAGTGGTCGCGTGAGGCCGATGAAATTTACTTCCTACATTCGAACCGGATGTTCATCGGCAAAAGCCACCACCAGAGCGATTAACATAGTCTGAAATCTAAGCTGTGGAAGTTGGTAAGTTTCAGTGGATTTACTCTGCTCGCTACAAAGTTGAAACCCCCGGAGAAGCTATTTTGGCCTAACAGCAAACAGAGTCTCTCCTGCGATATATTCCGTAAAACGCGATGGAGAGCACTTTAATCTTCGGGTCAGATCGAGGTTAGTACAGCAGCTAACTCGGCTTGCGAAATCGTAGGTCTTATACAGTATTCTTCATGAGCTTTTCATAGAGTGCTTGGGCATAAAGACATATCACCAACCCTGAACACCACTGCGATCATTTGACGAAGATAGAAGAGCGTCATCATCTCGACTGATGTTTACGTTTGTCTGGAAATGACACATTGTCGTTACTCTTGCTTCAAAGAGTCACAATGAAGAGCCAAGGGTTACGATACCATAATTGGCGACTCACCCGGCTGTTATAATTGCGAATGGATCAGGATTGCGCCGGAGCTACATCCTCTGTCATCTGCCATGTCTAGAAATCCACAAAATAGTATTGGTCTACGCGATATTAATTGTTTGAAGATACAGGCAATTACCAGGCGGAAGGAAGCACAGTGGAACTCTTCGACTCTTTCCGTGGCTGCTTGTTTTCAGACACCTTCCGTCAAATGGACTGGGCCTTCGATGAGGCTAGAACAGGTTTGCTCAAGTGGTGGTGTCTGAGTGACCTGTGCACATGAAGACGGCCATAACTGTTAGATTTCAAAGTGTTCTATTAAGGAGAGGAATTCCAGCTACTCTGGAGCGGCCAGAATGGCCCTATATATATCCAAGATACTAAAGGAAAGGATACGTGGCCTTATATTGGCCACGTATGTGACAGAGTCACAAATGGGGATGGTGATCCTGAAGGATGACTATGGATGGGCTAACGTAGCCCAGAATCCAACAATAACTCACAATTAGTCCTGCCCAGTGATATTTCCCATATCTGTCTCTCTAAATCCCACAAATTAACATGCTCGCGTGCCCATCCCATATCCTCTCCCATACACACACATCACTCCATGTTCGTAGCTCGGGACGCCCCCTCCACAAGTTGATGCGACCGGCCTCCAACAGGGGCTCCGCACTCCGGACACGGTGCCACCTCCATGGGCATACCACACTCACCGATAGCAAACTGTCACACGAGATTACGGTCAGCAACGAAACCGGCAGGAAAACCAGGCAAGTCAAGAAGACAAAACAGCCACGGGCAGCAGCAGGATTGATGCACAACCTGGAGCCACCTTGGCCGACCCTGGAGAGATTCCCACCTCTCGCTTCGTAACAGACGAGCACAAACCTTGCGACGATGGAAATAACGATACGTAGCAAAAGGGATGAAACTTACCGGGTGTCCATTAACGCAGTTATACCAATGCCCCATATGCGTAGCAATGCCACCCCTTCCGCTTACCATAGCAGTCTTGATAGCGGCCAGCTCCTCAGGCGTGACGATCTCATATCGTGGACCCTCGTAGAGTCGCATGATAGCCTCGACGGATTTCCGTAGTGCCAGTGTCTGCTCGACGGGTAACTTGTCGCACATCTCTAGGGCAGTTGTCAGCAGCTCGCGGACGAAGAGCGCCCGGTCAGGTCGATCGGTAGCCGTATCCGTCGTGATGCCGGGGTGCGTATGGCAATACCATGCTTCTAACCTATAATTGGGTAATGTCAGCACGAATAGAAGTTGGAGTGAAAAACTAGGTATTGGTGATAGTTGCTGTGAGACTTTGGCGAAAGAAAGAATGGCAGCAATTGCGATCCGAGACAGGAAAGCCTCACGGGCCTGTGCGATAAGTGCTTCGCAGTCACGCAGAAACAAGACGGTATGTTGATGGGGCGATCCCCAGGGGGTCGGGATCAAGGCCGAATCCCTTGTGACACTGAACATGTCACGAAGTGCGATCTCCTGTACCTTGATTTGCACGAGCCATGCGCCTAGCGTGATGCGCTTGTCGAAAGCCGGAAGACCAGGCGCGAGGCTCAGTTTGTTCAGCTGCGAAGTTAATGGACCAGGGTGGACTGAACGTTGTCGTGTGAGGATGACGTCGAGGAGCTTCTTCATAGGCTGATGGGCCACATCCATACTATGCTGAAGGGCCTTCGCAGTTTTGCTGAGGATGAAGGCGTCGGAGTATCTTCTTTGGGGAATGGTGTCAATAGCCTCGGGCTCGGCGATACTGTTCAAGTTCAACCGCGTTGAATCAAGTGTATTTTCGACCGCTGCTAGGCGCTTTTCGAGGTCTTCGAGGTCTTCGCGCCCCTTGGTGATGAATCGTTTCGATGTCTCGTCCAAGACGGCCCGATTGATGACACGATTGTACCGTCTCGTGGCAAACTGGCGAATTGGACGCTTGCAGTCTGGACAGAATGGAACCTTGTCAACCATAGCCAGTCCATCCGCGAGGCCGTTAAACTCTCCTTCATTGTCTGTGGTGTAGACTTCGGTCATACCAACTAATCCATCAAGAGTCTCGCCAGTGAAGAAATGGCCGCATCCTAAAACGACGATGGGACTCTCGCCTACGTCGATCTCGTCATACGACTTGAACTCAAGCATGTCGACACGAGCGTCAGCCTTGTCGCCGCATTCGTGGCAGTAGCCTACTGGGCATTCTTCTCCACAGTAGCTAGGGCAACGGTGATCACAAGCAAGGGTTCTGCTGCAACGCTCGTTGCAGGGAAGGCGATTGCAAGGCGCGGCACAAGGCATAGTGCAGGATCCTTGGTGCGGGCATGTCCAGGCGCACTTCTCGATGCAAGGCGCACACGCTTTGCTACAAGCAGAGCTACAGCCAGAGTGTGGACAGCGAACCTTCGTAGAAACATGATTAGAACGCATGAGCATACCTACGGTATCTAGGGGTCGCGAATGCGAATGATGACATACCTCGCATTGCTGCTTGCAGCTACCGCATGGTGTACTATCGTGGCATGGCTGGGAGCACCTGTGGTTGCAAGTCCCATACGGTCGATCGCAAGTTTTTCGACACTTAACATGCGCGATAGCCACGATCCCACCGTCGTCTTGCTTTCGGCAGTGTCTACACGAACCACCGCAGACATGGCCGCATTCCAGCACTTGGCTGCAAGGCGCAGAGCAAAGAAAGGACTTAGCTTCAACATCCTTGTAGCAGTCAACTGCGATAGTGTGACCACAGCCAGGAACAGTTCTTTGCACCTGTGTATTACATTTGATCTTGGTGAGATCAGGCGTCTGGTGGCAGAACACCTCGTGCTTGACATGGCCACAAGGGAGTTGAACAATTGTCCAGTTTGACCAAGCACCTGCCGCATTCCTCACCGCAGAGTTTGGGGCAACCGTGCTCACATGTCATGTGTAGACGCGGGCAAGGCTGTGTACAAGCGAAAACTTCATGCATCATGTCAGAATGGCACATGGCCTGGCATCGATGACCGCAGGGATCGAGCCTCCGGTCGCATTGCAAGTTGCAGCCTCCTTCTGGGCTGTGCTTCGCAAAGTCGTTAGGCTCCGAACATGAAATCTGCGTCTCCGGGTGGCGAGGACAGCATAGAGGTAACGAATTTCCGACGGGATCGGCGTATGCGAGTTTTCCATGCACGTCGGCCCACATCTTGACGTGGAGATACGTTTCGCTGTTGCCAATTAGGTACATCCCGTGCTGAGCCCGGCTAAGTAGGACATTGATCCTGTTCTCGGTGCGCAGGAAGCCTACCTTGCGAGCTGGGTTGCTGCGCACCAAAGAGACAATGAAGACCTTGGCTTCCTCCCCTTGGAAGTTGTCGACAGTAGCTAAGCGCAAGGTTTGAATCAGTTGTTTCTTCTGTAGTGTTCTAGGAGCTGGCGACAGTGTATTCGGTGAGAGTAGTCCATTACCGCTGTCTTCGAACCCATCAGCGGCCAGTGTATCCAGATCGCGGTCACTCAAGAAAATCTCGAAGTCTTTGGCTAGTGACCGCCTGAGCTTCTGCAGTTGGCCAGTGTAAGGCGTCAAAAGGGCAATGTCGGTGGCACTGTAGTGTCCTTGTCGAACCAAGTGCCGTCCCAATCCAGTCGCCATATCTACTTCCCACTGGTTGCTGTGAGATCGGACACGGCTACCATCATCTCTCACGTCTTCGACATGATCATGATCGAGCCAGAAGAGATTGTGACGCATCCCAACAACACCCGGAAGAGTCTTCACGCTCTCGTGGTCCTCGAGCATGGGGTAGACGCTGCGAATCAGCTTTGATATTTCAGGTCGCATCCGGCGCTGGACGTTGAGTTGAGCAACCGGCGCGGGGCTCAGGCCTGGCTCGCCGACAGCGCGCCTCTCGAATTGGCTTCTGTCAAGCTGCCATGCCACTCCGGATCCTGACTCCATGCTGAGAGAATAATTGTTTATCTGCGGACGAAGCTGCCGATGATCGCCTATCTGGATCATGTGTTCTACGCCTGGCATCAGGGCGGACATAATATGGGGCTCTAGGACCTCTGCTGCTTCTTCGCAGATAACGACTCTGGAGCGAACGTGGCGGAGCATTTCGATATTGCGGGCAAGGGCAGTTGTGGTAATGCCAATGACGTCTGCTCTAGCGAGGGCGCGACGGTTGATGTCGTCATGCACACCAGTGATATTGTGCTAGCGACGGTCTGCTTCGGCTAGAGATTCATAGAGAATTTCAGTCTTACCCGTGCGCATCTCAATGAGCCAATGGTCAGCAAGATTCCATCGTTCTTCGCGCGTGAGTCCATGGACATCCTGCTCAGCACGTCGCGTGAGGGCGGCTATATCGACATCTTGGCGTAGCCCCTTTTCAGCTGGCAGCTCGATTGGCCGATTGCCCAGCCACCGCATGAGAGGGTCCCCACCAACTGTCTCCCAGCCCTCGTCGTCTTCAGGTTCAAGCGGCCTGTGTATGTTGGAGCTTTTCCGAAGAAGGTATGTCGCTAGAATTGACCATGAAGGACCTTTTCGTAACTGATGGAGTGGCTTCAAGGTGTTGCCAGCAGTCTTCATGCAGTGTTCAAGTGCGCCGTAGCTCTTGCCGAGAATCTGGGATTCTACTCTTGTTTTGCCCCCATCTTTGTTGACGACGCGAAGGTTGTTGCCTTCCAGTTCGGGGGTTGCGCTTCGTCCGCCAATTCTGATCAGTCTACTTACCCCAACCTCCTTGAGATGCATCAAGAACTGATCGAGAGCATGGTTTGTATAGCAACTGATATAAGGTCAGCTATATCAAAGGCAGCATTCTGCCATGAATTTGATTGGTATACTTGCTGTAGCATTTACTTACATGATTAGAATAGGCCCCAGTCTTGCTTTGTCCTTATTGTCAAGCAGAACTCTGACAAGCTGGACGCCAACGTAGGACTTTCCCGTACCTGGCGGTCCCTGTATGAGCGCGTACTCGCGGCTGAGAGCAGCCAGTAGTCCATGACATTGGCCGCGATCAAGGGTTGTATGAGCCTCGAGTATCTGTGTACTCCCCGTCCAATCACTCGGCTTCAAGGCAACGCGATATCCGTTGTTGGTGATGGAGCCCAAGTTGAAGGCGAATCCGGGACGTCGCGCGTACATGGGGGGAGGTATGCTAGCATATTCGACGGCTGTGCTGTTGGCCTTTGGAAGAATCCATTGTTGGAATCTAACCTGCCCTTCACCCATCATTTGTTGAAGGTTTCGTAAGATGGGGTCAAAGGTGGCTGGAATGAGATTGTGGAAGTCGACCAGCACACCGTGGGTCTTCTCGCCGTGGATCCTTGTCAGCAGGTTTAGGTTGTCACGATTGCTCGTTGCAACCTTGACAGTGATGCTGGGCGATGATTTTTCAAAGGCAAGACTGCTTGTGGGTTTGCCTCCTCGAGCGTCTTCGGTGCTCTTAACCACAACTTCGACGAACAGGATTATCTTCGTTCGTGCATTGGCTGACACAAAACAGACAAGAGAACCTTCTTCTAGCCGAGACGATTCGGTCCACCATCGACGTTGCTCCGCCTTAGACTTCCGAGCCTGTTGGGGTGCAACAAAAGATACGATGGCCTCAAGCCCACGTTTTTCACTGATGAAGATATGTTGGATGCTGGCTTGCGAGTACGTATGCGCCCGCATGTCGTTTTTGGCAAGTGCGCGTGGCTCATGTTGGGAACCATCGTGTGATAGGAGCTCGCTGAGCACATCCTTCACAGACCCAAAAATGTCATGGCGTAGGAGGCGAAACGAAGCGTCGATGTGTCTTTGCACCGGGTCCTGCAGAAAATGCGGCTGAAGCAGGTCTGTCGAGGGGAGGTATTCCTCCTCATAACTCATGATCTCGAGATAGGTAGGCAAGATCTGGATCTGTGCTATATCTGCGACGTCGTTGTCGTGTCGTCCACCAGGCATGGTCATCTCCTTTGGGAACGCGGACCGAACCCTGTATGGTAGAGCGACGTCGCCGGCACTCTCTTCACGAACCAAGCGGCTTGTGGCCATGGCAATCTTCCTCCGTACCACATCAATTTGGGCCTTGATGCTGTGCGATTCTGCTCCAGGGCAAGACGGCGCAATTGGATCAGCGAGCCCATCCATTGACTCGACGACGGATGTGATGTCATCATGGAGACGGGCCTTGGGCTGGCGAGCGAGAAACTCGTACATGGCCTTCAGGGTGAGCGACAGCATCTCCGAGACTGGTGAAGCTGTCGTAGCGGTATCAGAGGCAGCATGTGCTGCTAATTTGCGAGCAATGCTGCGAAAAAGGGCGATAGCTTGTTCCCCATCGGCCTTCCCCCCCAACACTCGATAGATAGTCCCGACAAAGGAGTCAACAGAGATGCAGTCCAGCAAAGCTGGGTGCGTGATGACTTGCAAGAATGGCTTTACAGTCCGCAAGACCTTGTCCGTGTCAGAGCTCTTGGTACAGACCGTGGCTGTCATGATGACAGACTCGAGGCCCAGAAAGTCGTCGTCGACAAGATCCCGAGCCAAGTTCTGCTGGAATTCTTGACTGTCGATATTGAGAACTGCGAGTGCCTCTTGCCACAGCTGGAGGCAGGTGCCTTGGTCAAGACAATCAGGGGAAGTGACACCTCGTCGAATAGATCTCTTCCAGTCGAAATACTGTTCATGACCTGGCAGCTCGTATACCACCGGGCGATTGATCTCCTGATGACGCGAGGCACCTCGTCCGCCTCGGCCGCGCTGGCGACCTGCGTGATGGTTGTTGCCCCTGCCTCGAGCAGGACCGCCGAGTCTCCAAGATAGAGACATGGGAAACGGGAGTGGTTCGTTCAAGTTACAGCAAAAAATGCGTCCAGCTCGTCGACTTGTTGCAGTCGGCAGGGGCGATAGACGGGAATCATCTGCCCTTTCAAAGGTGTGGTGCTCTTGAATACCAAGCCCAGCGACGGAGAACGACAGCAACGGCGAATCGAGTCTCGATGGGAAGAAGCGTCCAGAAACTTGTTGGGTCGACTTGACATCCAGCAAACGCACCTCGGGAATGAGAAGAAGAGGGATGAAGCGCAACAGGGCATTGCTGATGCCTGGATGGAGGCCAACGGCAACATCTCGTGTCCACGTTTCAAGCTGCGGCCTCCCGCCCGGTACACTGCAGGCTGGGTGACCGGTGACTGTCAACGCTGCGACGGTCCATCGTGATTGGAGGGAAGCAGACCGGCCTGGCTGCCTGGGTGGTCGTGCAGAAGCCCACTGTGCGGCGAAGAGAGGCTCTGTTTGCACGACATAACAGCAGGTAGGTGGTATTGGTCTATGAGCCTCGAGAGGCTGACTTGTTGTCGCGGCAAGGCATGTCACAGCGTTGGTAGATACCCTTGGTCCATGCGCATTGGTCGACAGGCGTACCCGAGCAAAGCTCAGACCACCTGGCACCCTTTTAAGCAGATACTGATGCAGTTAAGAATAGGCATAAATATAAGCTTGTACATTTTTGCCTTGTGGTAGCGGTATCCAGAATAAGGACCAGGGTCACGAATGGTGGCTATTGGTCTGTATTCTGGAAGTTGCTTGATTGAAAGAAGGGATGGGTGGTGTCCCCATCCCAGAAGTAGCTATCATCCCAGTTGGGTACGAATCTGGTACAAACGGGTACTAGTTGGGCTCCAAGGTACCTTGTACCCTGGTCCGTGACCCGACCGTCATTGTGGCTGGAAAATGGGTTGAGGAGCCACACATGTATCCAATGCAGGAACGTGTGCGACAGAGAAAAGAAACCATAATCGCAACAATCAAGTAGGTATGCAATAGTGCGACCCATTCTAGTCTATTCTTACAAGATCGCCTAAACCATCGTGTATGTGGCATAATCAAGTACGTCCCATCTATCTGATTGTACAGGTCCAGATTGTATCTCAGGATGGCTGACCCTGAAGTTGCCCTCCACACATGGCCTAGGCAATGATACCGGACCAATCCTGCTTCGCATCAGCATCAGAAGACTGCTTCATGACCGCCGCAATATCCGTGTCCGACTCGACATAGATGCCGAACTTGTCACCACTGTCGTTCTTCGGGTCGTACGAGCAGCCTGAGTCCTGCTTGGGCAGGAACTGCCAGTACAGGTTCGGGACGGCGACGGAGTTGATGTCGTCGGCCTCGGCCGCGAGCTCGGTCGTTGGGTCGCTGCTGCCGGTGTTGACGCCCCACTCCTCAACAAAGACCAGCTTGCCGTTGGACTTTGAAATCCAGTTGCTGGCGCTGTTGGACCACTGCGACGGGTTGGAGGACTGCTTCCCGGCGTACTTGTGCGCCGCGATCAGGTCGATCTGGTCGCACTGGGTGGCGGCTGAGAGGGTGGTGCAGCCGTGCGAGTCGTCGCCGCCGATGCCGCCCGTCGCGATCTTGATGGGGTTGTCGGCACCGAGCGTCTCGCGCATGTGCTGCGCGGTCTGGCAGAGCCATTTGCCGGTATCACCGCCTGTGCAGACAGAGTTGTCTGCGCTCATCGGCTCGTTCTGTTGCTGCTCGTTAGTCGCGAAGCACCCCACCGAGAATGTGCAAGGACACGTACCTGGAGGTCAAAGGCCATGATGGCATCACCCCAATTCTTCCACACTTTCCCAGAGGTCTTGCCTTGATAGTTGAAGATGTAGTCGATCCTCTTCTTGTACGCATCGAGAGCATCGGAGTCGGTGTAAAAGGATTTCGCCCCCCATTTGTCGAAGTACACATCCCTGCAATGGACCCTTTAGCTGGAGCTCGACATGGCTTTTGGTATGCTTGTCACTTACTTTCTGTAGTCTCCAAGTAGCGAGTTGCCGTCGTGAGGAGAGATAAGGGACTTAATGCCCTTCTGGGCGAGCTTGTTGATGACCACGTCGAGGGCATCCAAAGTATCGCTGTTGTACTCGCCCAGAGTCGTTTCCAGGGCTGGCACTTTCTGGGTGATCTTGCTTCCCTTCACGCAAGTATTGTCACCGGGTTGCTCGTTGACCCAGACTCGCACGACCTTGGCCCCGTGGTTCGCGAGGTCCTCGATGTACGCGTCTTGGGCATCGTCTGAAAGCCCTTGGAGGAAGTAGAGGTTGCCTCCCATGAACGACTTGGAGCTTGCGTTCCGAGGAATCATGAAGGTTCTTGCTGACACGCTTGTGAGCGCGAACGCACCGACCGAGAGGAGGAACGACTTCATTTTCGACGCCTACTGGATGGATGCTGATATTGTACAGGTGAACGAAGGGAATAGTGTAAGAGTGCAATGTGCTTGTGATGTTTGCTTTGGGGTGGAATACCCAACGGGAGCCCACTCCTCTATATACCCGCTCCTCTCGTAATTCAACCTCGAGGGTGACAATTTATCAAGCCGGGGGTACCTTGCAAGGCCATTCCGGTGAGGCTGTGGGGGCTAGCTCTAGTTTCGTCTTAACGATTCCATCGAAGATGGAGCGTCTCTTGAGCGGGCAGAAGTCACTAGCTCCAGGGGCTGAACGACGTAAGGGCCGTAAGGCGGCAGCCCGCAGCGAGTTGGAAGACGACAAGATTCTTCACTGCACTGGCAATAGTTTCCATGTTGCATCATGAAGCTCGATTGGCCGGCTTGAAAGTCACAAGCGACTTGCAACGGCCCGTGCCGCGGTTTGAGTTGAGGTATCGCCCATATTGTCGATCAACTCTCAGCTGCTTGACGATCAGCATGGCATGGGTCCAATTAAAGATCGCGGGATGCATCTCAATTGGGCGGCACGCACTAGAGTTGTCCTTCATCAGCCGCACTCCCAGCGTTCGGTACGATCCTTATTTGCATTTTCTACTCTCTAGTCTGATCATGACGCTCCGCCTCAGCCATTCCATCATCGATAGATTACATTCGGACCCCTCATACTTGAGCTCCGGCATTCGTTCATCTGGCCCCTGATAGGCAACTTATGAAGATCGCGACGAATTTAAGCCTTTGTGCCGCCAAGCCACTTGCGTACCTGCCCCTAGAAGTGGAAACGTACCTTTTCGACGCTCGTTCGACGTTGACCCATATTCGTCAACTCAGCTCTGTATTCGATCCATATAATGGCCCACAATAACAGGAAGAGGTAGAAACCCCAGTATCCCGGCCAATTAGCACTATTATTCACGAAGAAGAGAGTCCGAACCCAGAGTAATAGCGCGATTCGTTCAGCGGACCAATAGCTGGTTATTACCTACTTCTTCACTTCCTTCGAGCGCCCGTTGCGATCGCCGTGGGGAAAGCCACAGCCTCGCGGGAAATAGGGGCCGTTGATCGGCGGCACGCTGCATGCCTACGCAGGGTTTAATGAGCCGGGGGTAAAGGATCGCGAAGGCTCAGCTGAGAGCTACTACTCGACGCATCGTGACGTCAAATCAGGGGAGATTAGCCTGAGGCTGAAGATCAGCGAGCTTGTATCCACATAACAAAGGACATCTTTGATCAAACGGGTTTGGACTTGAGCAGAAGATCACCACAGGATCCTAAACATAGAGATTGCAGAAGGTTCAGGGATGAGGTTATATGGGTCCATCCTAGTAACGCATTGCTAGGGAGAACTAGTGCCTTATTGGGTACCGCTCAAGGGTAGGACTGACCATCTAGGCTGATGAAGGTATATCGTGTCTCATAGGATTGTTCTGCTTACGAGCGTTGGTCGGAAAACAGCTACAAACATGCTAGCAGATGTTGCAGGATGTCTTGGATAAGCATAGCGCTCACAGAGGCGGCCGTACCTGACTGGGCATCATATTGCCGATCAGATTGGACAACACAGTTGTAGTCTTCACACGTCGTGTGCGTAGCCCATGATGATTCAAGAAATAATGCCGAGGATTGGGCTGGGGTGCAGTTAGTTGCTGTGGGAGATCGAGAAAACCAGATAGGAGAAAGGGACTGCCGCGTAGTGAGTTGATCCCTGGTAAGGTGATGAGCCACGGGTGGGTGACTTCGTAAGCTCGGCAAACCTAGAAGCAGTCATCCTGTGTGGCCAGGGACACATTAATCCGATGTAGTTATTTGTCCATCATGGGTGAATGGCCAAGGAAAGAAGTGTCATGTATTCGGGGTCTATCATTCCCGTGTGGCGCAGGAGGTTTGCTTCGGCATATGTTCTACTAGCTGTTCTATCAAGATTTTGCAAACCCTGAAGTATACTTAAACATGCAGTAGTTGAGTGTAGGGTTTTGTTCCATTGCTAAGAATATATCTTACTACTGACGAAAACGTCACGGTGGCATCACCTCATGAGAAATATCTCCTTTAATCACTAGCCAAAATATTTTCTTCGGTAGATGGCGTTGGCCCGGCAACACCTATCATGCTCCAGACTTCCAGTTGGTGGTCGCTACTCATTTTCCCTGCTTCTGCTTGACGCGTGTCCAGCCCACCAGCATTTTAGCCACACCACCACCTGCCAACCTAGGATGGAAGGAAGTAACGACGGCCTCCAGGGTCCGCAGCGCATCCGAAACGAATCTTCGTTTATATGGTTGCGTAACGAAGAGTCCAAAGCCTGTTCGCAGGTAATTTGAAATTCTTCCATTGCCCCTGAACCTGCTCACCTCCCCAAGACGACTCTGAAAAGTTTCTAACGTGCCAGCACCAGCTCGGAGAGCCCGTTAAGCACGACTTCTAACCTGACCATCCCCAAACTGGTACTGCGCTATACGACTATTAGACGACCCCTGCAGCGTACAATCCAGAAAGCTTAATTTAGGGAGGCCCCGGACCTCTCTACGGCTAGGGCGGCTCACCATTCTCGATGTATGCAGGAGAGGGTCGGCAAGCAGGGAATGCTGCACCCACCCTGCATGCCCCCGTACAACTCCAGGCTCGTTACCAGGTCACCCTACCTGCTCTGGCCGCCATACCCGCCTTGAACCCGCAACCCGGACAAAAGCCGACTACGACCTTTCAGCCGAGCGCCCCCAGTGCCCACCCAGCCGCCGGAACGAAGAGACCGATCAGGAACCGTCGAAGAAAAAGAGAAAGCGAGCACGGGACCCTTGCCAGCAATGTCGTATTGATCACCAATCCCGCAACGAGGGGCAGCCAGCTTGCTCCCGCTGTGCAAGCCTCGGCAAGGATTGTCTTCATGCGCAGCCCAGAAGACTGGGCCCTGTCAAAGGCTATGCATCTAACCTCGGCGAGAGCTTCCTCGGGCTGATCCATAGGGAGAATCCGAGCTTGGAACAATATATTCTGGAGTTTTTTGAATTCCCGGGACACAGGCGTAAAAATGGCCTGTTTGTGCTGCTGGTGGGTCGACATAGGCGGTCCATGGGGGATCATGGGGCTTGATTCTGCCGTATCAATGTCGACGTGACCCTCCTCCCGTACAGCCCGACGAAGGTACTACAGCTCGTGCTCTTCCTGATCAACAGCACATGTCCTTCACTACTGAAGGCACCCACCACTTTTTACCGAACATCCGCATCGAGGCAGCCGCTGATTCGGAACATCGCAGAGTTCGCTGCGACCAAGTTGCTGCAGCTCTTGCTGCCTCCTCGACACAGGTTAGCAAGTACGTTGCTTTCGTTTTCAACCTTATCGGCAATGGCACTTTAGTCATCAACGAGAAGTAATGGGTCGATAGTCACGGCTATCCCCTTGCGCACAACCCTTCTGCCTACCTCAGTTCACCGGACAGCCCTACGGAGGTTCAGGATGAGGAGGACCAGCACGGGTCAAACCCGCCTCGGCCCCGTTACGATGGGCGACGACCTCCCGGCAATCATTGGCCATAACGGAGTCGTGGGCACCCTTCCCAATGGCGCGACTAAGTTCGTCTGCTATGAATAGAAGCTCGACAGCACGGGCTTGTGCCACGCTGCCATTAATAACGTCAAGACGAGCCTGGAAAATCACCTCGAAAAGATACACAACCCGACTCTGAGTACCACAAGCAGCAGGACAAGACCAGAGTGTTCAGATGCACCGTCTCGGGCTGCGACAAGGAGGTCGCTAGCTTCAACGCGTACCTGGGATACCGGCGATATGGTAGACCAACATATGGAGGATCAGCATATGGGAGATGATCGTGTAGTGGTTGAGGATGTAGTGGAGTGCCTCGGGCAAATCGAATAATGAGCACATTGACGATCAAGGTAACATGTCGGCTTTGATCTATGATTTCCGATATGACCCTTTGCCCGGTCTATTCAAATAGCTGGCGAGGCACACCCGAGATGGTCTTAGGCACGATAGACTTTGTTATCACCTATACGTTACTGCAGCTTCGTTGATACCGAGTGATGTTCGCTTAATTTCTACAAACCCTTACTTGGGGAATTGGAGTCTTATTCGAGTTTACCATCTATTGTCATAACTCCATGAGAGGGTAACAGCAAATCAAACCCCTTGTGGCGAGCCGTCTAACCTATAAGGCTAAAGGGTTATATAGGGTTTATGTTCTGAGATAAGTTAACACAAAGGACGATAGAGGCTTCTGTCAACTAGAAGACACTCAGATGTTGGGGCAAGGTCTAGATCCGGGAGGATCACTGAATAGTCGAGTTATCAGGAGATTTCTTTCACCTTAGGATTGGCTAAGATGCTTTGATTAATCACTGAGATAGAGACTATCTATCTATTTAGTTAGGAAATGTCTATCCTTGTATATTCAATCTCTCCCTTACTGATGAGGTGGATATCTTGGATCGTTGGCTATCCCAGCGATCCTGGATATCGTGGATAGCTGGCTGTCCCAGCTATCCCCTGGTCACGTGACTCGTGTCGCAGTATCCTTCTTCCGTGCGTTGTGCTTATCGTTCATTTTCTGCCAATGAACCCTGGCCTGTCCGCGGGCCTCCTCCCCTGTGTGGTCTTTAGGTTCGTAACACACTATACGTAGAGTACATGGCGCTGTTATCCGGGCCGGCAAGACACTCAAAATTTGCGTCTCAGGAATACCCAGAGGTCCAGTGGCCCCGAGGCATACTTCGTACGTGATGATTTGGCATGGCGTATGGTCCGATCGTAACATGCTCATCCGAGTACACGGGGAAGACGACCTCATGCGGCGCAACAGCCACAAACGACGGCTTGTGGGTTAGTAGCTCGAGTGCTGGATATGTTGGGCGAAGAGAATGAAAACGCAAACTGCAACTATTGAAGTTGATGTCGGGGGACAGAATCAAGTCCTGACAAAATGGGTGTTGCCCCAACCTATGAAATGCCAGGCCGTCACT